CTTTATGGTCCAGCTCTCACTTCCATACATCACTACTGGGAAAACCATAGCTTTAACTATACGGACCTTTGTTGGCAAGGTGATGTCTCTGCTTTTTAAGATGCTGTCTAGGTTTGTCATTTGTAATCCAGGGCTAGTATGTGTCTACTGCCCTCTGCTGATGGCGATAGGGAGGGGTGGATGGGGCTTCAAAGTTATTCTTCTGGACGTATTTCAGACCCCAAGGTATCCACACGCAGGCGTCCCATGTTACTAATGTAAGGCCTTATGAGCACACTCCTTTTGACTGGGAAGGTAGCTCTATAATGGAACACTTATTTTCATGCTTGTAACTGTCATACACATGGTACATAAAAACAATTTTAAATCAACGAAATAAAAGCTGCCTCACTGAATTCTTGGAATGGCTATGTTCTGAAGGGACCCATTTTGGTCTAGGAGGCTGTGACATGCTGGAATAACATGGGACGGCAGCCATTTAAACGATCCACATCTGGCAACTCTCTTTGTAACCCAGAGCAAAGAAAGCTGTTATGTACTAATTTTGTGGCATTGCAAAGACCCCTTTATTCTCCTCTGGGTTATTCCCATCTATAAGCCTACACATAAATGCACTTTTGGCAGTTAATCTGAGCCGTTCACTCAGCAGTCTGATTATTCTTCTGCGTTCTATTTTTTCCTCAAATTATTCTGAGTCATATCCTTACATAGACAATTTGGATTCCAAGTGGTACAACACAATGCACTCAGTCCCAAACAGCGAAGAAGATTACATCTCTGGGTTTTGAAACCAGATTGAATGGAGGCTAGGTTCTGCTCCTGTTGTAATTTTAATGCATTGTTGCAAGCAAAAATATGCAGTACACTGCTAAGTAAGCTCAAATCCTCCAGATTTAAAAGTGGAACAAGGCCACTTTGCACTCCACATGCAAACCAGGGCCAGCTCTACCATTAGGCAGAGTGAGGTGATTGCCTCAGGCAGCTGATTTGAGATATCATGAGAGGGCAACAAATCATTATTAGAATTTTTTAGTGGCAAGGAGAGGAAGAGGTGCTTGTGGGATTTTCTGCCACATGTGCCAAAATGACTTGGCTGGCCTTGGATATTATGCCTCTTGACTGTTGTACCTCAGGCAGCAAAATGCCTTGGGCTGGCCCTGGTTGGGACTTTGCTGTAGGTCCTTGTGCAAAATATATTTTGGGGGAGCAATTTCCCAATTTAGTCTTACTATACACCTTCTGTTGCAGATGAAATATCCCAAAGAGAAGACATTTAATTAAATAGGATCTATAAAGGTGATATTCAATTTCCTGTCTCCAGCCTTAAGTTATCCATCCCTCTCTCTGCCTCCTTCCTGATCCTGGCTTCAGGACAGGCAAGATCCCATACCATCTCCTCGCAGGTGATTGGTGAGAGGGGTGGGATGTGTCAAGCAGGCCTCCTGCATTAACTCAGCCTGCCCAGGAGCCCCACACCCACAGAAGACCATCATTCCTCTTAACCCCAGAAGCTCAGGCCTGGACTATAGCATCTGACTTTGGGATTGGCCTAATGTGAGGTAAAAAATGGTGGCTCCTTCAGTCCTCTGGGCCCTGGCATTTGCCCAACATGGGATGACCTCTGTCATTAGCTGGAACTGCTTGCTGGCAATTCAGGGCTGGGAACTCCTAACCAGGGCTGCCAGACTCCCATGGCTACATTCACACTGTCACTTTAAATAACTCTTTGTGAGAGACTTGACTTGACTGAACCTGGATAAGCCATCTCAAAGGGCTTGAGCCCATGCTTTTAAAAGCTGCAAGGCAAGCAGACATTCACCAGGTACTGTTTTTGCCCATCATCACTAACCCTGCATGCTCAAAAAGCTTTGCCTGCTGACTACTGTATCTGCTTGCCATAACAACGTAAGAGTCGTGCTGGATCAGGACCAGAGGTCATCATTCCCCACAGTGGCCAGACGGGTGCCTATGAGAAAGATGGTGCTCTTCAGAGACATGGTGTCGCCAGTCCTGGAGGCAGAACAAAGCCATTGCAGATAGTTTAAAAAGCATCTAAGTTGGTAGCCATCACTGCGTATTTCTGTCTATTCCTAGCCTGTCTTCAGAGTGTCTGTCACATCTTGTTGCAATAAATGCCTCATTTTAACTACACACTGTGAAGTGTTTGTCTTCCTCTTGGCTCTCCTCAATCAGCAATCAGTTTCATTAGACAGCTTATACTATTATGGGGGGGGGAATCTGTCCACTTTCTCTTCACCATCCATGTGTAATTTAATATTCCCCTATCATGTCCCACCTTACGCATCTTTTTGCTAAGCTAAAGAGCTCAATGTAAACTTTCCTCCAAGGAGAACTGCTCCTGTCCCAATCGTTTTGACTGCCCTTTTCAGCACTTTTCTGGGCTCCGCAATATCCTTTTTAAGGTCCAGTGACCAGAACTCTACAGGGTATTCCTACTGCAGTTGCACTGCAGATTTAATCAAACTATGGCAAGTTCTTAAAGAAATGGGAGTGCCTGATCACCTCATCTGTCTCCTGAGAAATCTCTATGTGGGACAAGAAGCTACAGTTAGAACTGGATATGGAACAACTGTTTGGTTCAAAATTGGGAAAGGAGTATGACAAGGCTGTATATTGTCTCCCTGCTTATTTAACTTATATGCAGAATTCATCATGCGAAAGGCTGGACTGGATGAATCCCAAGCCGGAATTAAGATTGCCGGAAGAAATATCAACAACCTCAGATATGCAGATGACACAACTTTGATGGCAGAAAGTGAGAAGGAATTAAAGAATCTCTTAATGAGGGTGAAAGAGGAGAGCACAAAATATGGTCTGAAGCTCAACAGCAAACAAACGAAGATCATGGCCACTGGTCCCATCACCTCCTGGCAAATAGAAGGGGAAGAAATGGAGGCAGTGAGAGATTTTACTTTCTTGGGCTCCATGATCACTGCAGATGGTGACAGCAGTCACAAAATTAAAAGACGCCTGCTTCTTGGGAGAAAAGCAAGACAAACCTAGAAAGCATCTTAAAAAGCAGAGACATCACCTTGCCAACAAAGGTCCATATAGTTAAAGCTATGGTTTTCCCAGTAGTGATGTATGGAAGTGAGAGCTGGACCATAAAGAAGGCTGATCGCCGAAGAATTGATGCTTTTGAATTATGGTGCTGGAGGAGACTCTTGAGAGTCCCATGGACTGCAAGAAGATCAAACCTATCCATTCTTAAGGAAATCAGCCCTGAGGGCTCACTGGAAGGACAGATCCTGAAGCTGAGGCTCCAATACTTTGGCACCTCATGAGAAGAGAAGACTCCCTGGAAAAGACCCAGATGTTGGGAAAGATGGAGGGCACAAGGAGAAGGGGAGGACAGAGGACGAGATGGTGGGTCAGTGTTCTCAAAGCTCCCAAAATGAGTTTGACCAAACTGCAGGAGGCAGTGGAAGACAGGAGTGCCTGGTGTGCTCTGGTCCATGGGGTCACGAAGAGTCGGACATGACTAAACAACTAAACAACAACAACAACACCATATGTAGGCTATAGAAGCTGTGATATATTGCTGAATGGGGCAGGAGAAGAGAAGAGATGGGGAAAGCAAATCTTCAATCACCAGTCTTGTCTGGGACTCATCCAGAAAGTATAGCCAGAGACATTTTGGCAAATTTTTAAAATGTTACCCCCTGAAAAAGAGGATGTGTCCTGGAAAAAGAAGACACACGGCAATGGGGGCAGCACTGATTTACCTGTGACACAATTGGTTAGTTAAGTTTTTTTTTTTATGTACTTGATTAGGGGGGCAGTTCTCCCCCCGAACCCCCGACCACACCACCTGCAACCAGGGGCGAAGGAAGGGGGGGTGCGGTAGGTGCGGGGCCGCCCTCGGTGTCACAACTGAGGGGGGTGACAAAATGCCGGACGGCACTCACCACGGGGCCTGCAGTGGGCCCAAGCCAAGCGTCTCTCCTGGGAGATGTGGTGGCTTGGGCATGCGCAGGCTCCGTGCTGCCCTAACAGTCCACCCACTGCCTCCCCCCCCCCCAGCTGAAGGGTGACTGAGTGGGAGGAGGCAGGCAGACTTTGGAGGCCCCATGGTGCACCCCACCCCATGAACGGCTTGCCCCACCCTCACCCTGCCCCTATGGGCAGCACCCCAGGCGCCCGAGCGGCTTCCTCCGCCGCTGTCTGTCACTGGCAATAAATACTGGTTTTAACCCTCTCACTGGTCAAAGCTGAAGTTATTATTTACAACTTTAAAACAAGATACAACAAATTTTCACTTGTGATATTCATAGTTGGCAATTTTAGATGTTGATTGTAGATGATAGATAGATAGATAGACGTAGATGGCTTTAACAGTTTCTTAGCATTTTCTTAAAGCGATAGGCTATCCATTTTGGGGGCCCTGGGACCCCTCCCACAAGGAGAATCTCCAAAAAAGCACCCTGTGGAGGAGAGTTTCCTGCTGTCACTCAAAGAAGAATTCAAACTCAGGCTGCAGTGTCTACCAAAATCTTTAATGTTCAGATCAGTGCGATACTTGGGCAAAATGTCATTAAAAGGCACAGCACGTTCTACAAATAGCCAAGCAAACAAAGACATGGATCCAGGAATGACACATACCCCGGCTTAGGAGCTAACTCCTCTTAAGCCCATACCCCCCAAAAAATAATTGAGGGGGCTGGGAACCCCCCCCCCCCAAGTTGATGGCCATTGCCATTTAATTGTGTGTGCCGTGTCATGTGACTATGTAGGGCAGGGCTTACCGCCCCCCACCCCCCATATTTTATTCAAGTTGGCATCCCAGCAACCCTGTTATTAGGGAGTGATGCCGGCACTAATTTCTCACCCATGCGCAGTGATCCCATGTTGAAAACAAACCCATTTGTATCCACTGTATTAATGCGCCAAGGGACTATTTTATGTGTCCTTATGACTGACAGGTGGTGGAAGGAGCGAGCCAGAGGCTAGTGAGTGAGACTGTCCCTGGCAATAATACTGGTTTTAGCCCTCTCACGGGTCAGAGCTGAAGTCTCACTGAAGTTGTTATTTACAACTTTAAAAAGAGATACAACAAATGTTCACTTGTGATCTCCATAGTTGGCAATTTTAAATGTTGTTTGTTGATGATAGACAGACAGACAGAAGCTAAATAGATTCAGTAACTCCCTAAAAGGTGTTAGGAGACGCAATACATTTTAAATTTAAAGGAAACAAAGAAAATAAGAAGACCAACAAAGAATTAATCATAGTAAAACAGGGAGAGTAAATTGCGGACAGATGCTGGACTTTGAGAAAGCCCCCAAAAGAAAGCTTAGCCAAGAAAAAATTAAACTGAAAAATCATAAAAAACACCAAGATGAAGATTATAAAGAGAATCAAGAAAAGCAGATATACCTGATGACTAGAAAAGCCAAGGGAAAACTAAGACAAAGAAAAGAATGTGAGGGGCGAAATCAAGTTTATTTCCCTTTCGAGCAACAAGTCTTTGGATGTACAAAGGAGCAGAGGAAAGGGTAGGTGGAGATGAAGTCTGCTTCAAGCAGAGTGAAGAATAATTGCAGAAAATAGAAGGCATTTCTTTTAAAAGGAGAAGCCATTTCATAAAAAGAAGTTTGGCGTTTCTGTTGCTGAAGTTCTTATTATCATTATTTATTGAATTTCTATACCGCCCTATACCCGAAGGTCTAAGGGCGGTTCTCATAAAATATCAACTACACCAAATCAAAACAAGAACGACCCAAGAACGGGTTCCCAGAGCAGAGACAGCAGGAGTCAGGCTATCCCTGTCCAGAGAGGGGCACAACTGGGCCACCAGCCGAAGCTGATGGAGGGCACTGGGGGTGACTGAGCGCCTTGCCTTGTCTCTCGACAGAGGTGCAGGGCGACCAAGGCCTAAACCCTGATTGAAATGGATCCAGAAAAGCAGCTTCTTCCAAGGGCACCTGGATCTGGTCTACAACCACTGGCTCCAGAACCTTGCTCCAGAAGTTGGAAAAACCAAGACGGGTAAGATTTTAACACAGGTAAGACTTAGAAGTGAGAAGGGTAGGGGGATCTAACGGGATCCAGGGGGAAAGAAAGCTGTGCATGCGATAAAGAGCAGAGCAGAGGCGCAGAAGACAACATAGTTCCATTTAATTTCATGTTAGCTCAGGCTGCCCTGTTGACAAAAATGCTTTGCAGCCATTTTGTGATAGCTTCTAGGGGACTATAGAAAAGCTCCTTTGCTAATGGGAAGAACTTCCTTTTATTTATAATGTGGCTTCCAAGGAGTAAAATAACAAACGCTCTTGAGCAGCAGGCTTGAAAGTTGTGGCATTGGGCATCTGAAGCCAAACAAATTGTATTTACTTCAGAAGAGGGTCACCAAAATATTGTTGAGTTTTGGTTCCTTCAGGTGTGTATAAATCCAAAAAGTTCCAAACATGCCAGCATTTTGGATCCTCACCAGTAATTCTGTTCCTAAGTGTATTTAGGTATTTAGAATACCCATTTTAAAAGCTGATGCATCAAACTGCTTCTTTTGTCTGTAACAGTTGCCTTGCTGATTTCAGTGTGAAAAAGCAAATAAGGCATTTTGAGGGTGAATCTACTGATGGCAATGGGAGAGGCCTAGTAGAGGCCTTGGAGTGAGTAGAGGTTTTCACTATTTTGCCGGCCATTTCTAAGCAAAAAAAGTCCAGCAAACGTTTAAGCACAAACATATTCACAATTAGGAAGGATGAGCCGTGACCATTTTTTCCTGTACATAAAGGGCAGAATTTTTTTCTGCTAATGGTAAGGCTTAAATGACTGAGAAAATTTTTGAAATCTTATGAATCCTGACTCTCTGGCCATTTTTACTCATACATAAGGGGGTGGCTGATTGTTCCACTAATGACCAGAGAGGGACACACAAAATCATAATAACCCACATTTGTGAAACATTTTAGAATAGAGGTCTGTACCCTTCAATCCTGTAGATAAAGGAGGCATGTAGCTCCCAATTTTCTTTGCCTGGGGTACATGTATGTCTGTTGAATGCAGGGAACATGATCCATAAATGCTGAGACTATTCAAAATTTAATTTGACCCAAATTGTATTGCTGACTTTTTGGTGAAAACTTGCACGATAGGGTTGATAGTTGCTGGGTTTTCAACAAACGCTAAAATCAGGATCCTCGCCAGTACTTCTGTTCCTAAGGTAATATATTTAAAACCTGGTGTAGCAAACTGCTTACTTTGCCTGTAACCTCTCACTTGGTTACCTTCAACTGCAATCGTAGCTTCTATTAATAAAACTTTTGAATGACCAGAGGTGGCGATAGGCACTAATAACTAACAAGTAATCTCTAAATGCTCTATCGTAATTATAGCAGCAATACAGTTGTGTGTCTTCTGGCTGAAGCTCAACTAGGTGAGTATCTTGTGCTTGACTGAGGGGAAAATCTCTGTTGTATTCTGCCTGCAACTCTTTGTACAAAGATTCTTTCAGGTCGCAGTGAGGGGGACCATTCAAGCACCCTGAGCCTGTTGGAGAAAAGGTAGGCTCTAAATGGAATCATCCATCAAATATGAAAACTAAATATTCCAAAGAGCTTGTATTGAGCAACGTTGGTTATTCAATCCCTGTTTCAGAAGAGCTGCAAACTCAAAAGCCTAATGCGGTCGCTCTCCGTGCTTCTACCTGGAGGGACTTCTCTTGTCGGGACACCACTGCAGGGGAGGCCCTTTCCTGTGCCATCACCACACAATAAGGTACATCTTTTGGTGGGACAGCCAGCCTTGTTTTGTTCCAGCTCTTATTTTTACAGACTTCACAGAGCTACCGGTGCCGGAAGCAGATCTGCTCCATTGGCAAGTAAGAGGCAGGGTCAGAGCTCTTGATACATCAAATGAACATTCACAGTGCAGGATTGACAGACACCTGTGTCTTGACTGCGCTGCTTTAGGTAACCGGCGGTTTTTGCTCCTGTGTCTGGAGGGGAGGGCTGCCTGAAGACCCTAGTCTCTTCCAGGTGCATCTCAGGGACGCAAGAAATAGAATTTTGCAAGCCTTCAGGAAACTTAACGGCAAGTGAACTTCACACTCCACAATTCCGTGATCTTTTTCAGTCCGATCCTTTTGTGCTGGCTTCTCCATTTCCCCCCGCTTGATCTCTTCACAGTTCTGTCCCAGAGCCCACCACACTCAGGTGAAGCCAGCTCTTCCTGCAGAAGTCAGGTCAGTAAGACCAGCTGTGTTCCAAAAACATTTCTCTGGAATTGGCGGGAAAGGGCCGGGGACAAACTAATGAGTCCAGATTGCTTTTCACAGACCAGCAGAAGGAACTTCCAGGCCCATGAATTCACACTTCAGAGGGACAAACAAAAAGGTGAGCATAAAGGCAGAGTTTGAAGACTGGAACCAGTCTCTCTGTTCTGCCCTGCAAATTAATGGCAGTCAACATGGCACTCTGTGACTTAAACACATCAAGGTGAATATCCCTTGCTAATGGCAAGGGATAAAACCTCGATTGTGTTCTGTCTGCAACTTCATAATTCTTAAGGGTTTTCTTTTTTCCTGAGAGAACATTCTATATTCAGAGTGTTCTCTCAGGTTTTGCTTTTCACCTTGTTGCATTGGCCAAAAAAAAGCAAAAGACGCTGGTGGTTGGCGCTCCTGGTTTCCAGGACGGGGTTCAAGCCCCTGCGGTGTCCCTGCTTACTTCCAATGCAACCTCTCTCTCTCTCTTTATCTATCTTTCCCCTTAAGAACTAAATGAAGCAAAGTGCTCCTGTGATGCATCACTGGTGTGTGTCTAAGACAAGGTGGATTACATGGATGCTTCCCATCCTAGCACTCCTTGTCATATGGAGCAAAATACTTTATGCATATATATAAAGTTATATAGGCAATGGCCTTGCTATGGTCGCCTTGGTTGTCCGAGGGGCCAGGTAGGAATTTTTCCACTTGGCAAATTGGCACTGGCCACTTGGTTTTCGCCTACCTCGTAGCAATCGTCACAACTTTGTTAGGGTTGCGGTTAGGCATTGATTGACCTTGTGTGGGGGAGGGGACATGTGGCCATCACCTGCCCCTCCAAGCTTAAGGGTATTCCGTTAAAGGAATCCGCGGGTGTTGATCTTGTCCGAAGCCCGGCTGGGGGCTGGGGCCTTGACAGGACCCCGAAGGGAACACCAAGGGGAGCTTGAGTTGGTCTGCATCGACAGGGCTCACCCATCCGGTGGTTTACCCTTACCGGACTTCCTGCACTGCGGGCAGGAGTCAGATATAGTTGGGTCCAATCAATGCCTAAGCCAATACAGCTCACATTCTATAATTTAATAAAGTTGTGGCAAAATTTGCCCAATAACATAAACCTAATATCTGTGTCTCTGTGTGAGTTATTTCCCAATGAGGGGGTGGCTGCGGGGTCTCAACACGCAAAGTAACCTAAATATACAAACAAATGGATCCTACTTAGATTATTCAGAATGTGGAAAAGGCCTGGATAAAAGAAGAAATGGCATGACATTCACTCATTAGCAGAAGAGCAAATATAAGATGCTCAGGTGTCCTATTTTACAGAAGTCAGTTGTCAATTTTCAGGGCTGTCAGAGGCTTAAGATGTGGACAGGTGACAGTTCTCTGTATGAAGGTGTCCTCTATTTGAATGGCCGGGCATTCCAGGTCTGGCTGAAAGATACAGAAGGAAGAGCAGGGGCACTGAAGTTGCCCATCAACAGATAGCACCTTGGCAGCAGACTAAGCACAACCACCTAGGCCACAGTCTTCTCCACTACAGTGAGAATATTCCCCTGTAGAATTATAGGGTGACCTAACACATCAGTCATATATCCAGCTAAGTCATACTCGGAGTCACTGAAATCAATGGGACTAGTGACTATGACTTAGTAGAATACAAATTACTAATAATAAATGTGCATCTACACACACCGTATGCAAACTGGTGTCCTTTCCTTTGGCCAAGTGTCAATGGCCACTCTAAGCAAAGACGTGTCCAATTTCTGCAATTGGGGGTATCTAGGGATGCAACATTGTATGTTCAGTCAGGCCCTTTTATTTTCTCCTGATCATGAGGAATGCAGTTTGACCCTAAGTAAGTTTACTTTGAAGGAAGTCGGAGTGCTTCCATAGTCTTACTCCCTAGTAAGTGCACGTTGGGATAGGGCTATAGCTCTGTTTCAGAGTGCATGCTTTGTATGCAGGAGGTGGGGTCCCAGGCATTTCCAGATAGGGCTGCTAAGAAAGATCCTTCCAGAGCCACTGCAAGTCAGGGATACCCAGGCATTAGAAGATCTATCCACCCAGATCTTCAGGAGGGCCAGAATTGCATTTTGCAACGTTTTCCACTACGTAGTTTGTGGAAATTTCTTTCTTTCCTCAGGGCGGTGTTGCTGAAGGGAATGGCACACCTTCCCCTACAGCGAGAATTCCTACAAACACACCACACACACACACACACACTCTATATTGGGGAATGGAAGCACCAATGACTCACAATTCCTCTTCCAATACTTATTTTAGTGTGTGTAGTTCCCCTTTGAGAAAATTCCAATCTTACTGCATTATAATGAAGCGCATGGGACACTAAATGTGACACTGATTTGGTACCAATGTTCTGGGCCTGGTAACATGTCACAGAAGTGCTCTGGCCTGGCCAGAGAACAACTTGGAAAGTTATACATGATTCTACAAACCATCGTGTTCACCATAAATCTACTCATAAACCTCTCTGTTGTTGTTTTTTTTACAGCTTTCTCAGAAAATCAAGCATGTGTGCAAGGTCACAGCCACGCCATAGATGCAAAGCACATTTAAAGCACGTGGTCCCACCCACACACCCAGAATCGTAGGAACTATAGTTTATCCCTCACAGAGCTACAATGCTCAGCACATTTAAGAAACTACTGTTCCCAGAATCCTCTGGGGAAGCCATGTGTTTTAAATGTATAGTGTAAATGGGACCAAAGTTCCATCTGCATTTTCTTGTGTCTCATAGATTTCTCCCCTGACAGAGGACAGTAGTTTCCTTGCTGTAATCCGTTTCTCTATGCATAGGCCTAAAATCAGCAACAAATTAATTACCATTATGTGACCCCTTCTCCTGCCGTGCACTGGAACACTCCCGCCTTGCCCAGCTCAGCCAGAGGAGGGAGCCTTCCACAAGCTGGCAGAAGGGGTGGGCAGAGGGCTGCCTCTTGCTTTTTTGCCGCCTGAAGCAGGTCCTTTGCCCTGCCTCCGCAGTGGGCCGGCTCTGATCATGTGGTCCATAAAGCCAAAATCGTGTGTAGTCAAAACACATTGGGTGCAATGGCATGCCAGATTGCCCAAGTCTTTCCCCCCAGATCCTTTCAAACCCATTTTTTAAATTAAAAAAAACCACTGCTGAGCACAGAAAGCTGAAAGTGTGCAAGTTAAATGAACATTTATCGCGGGATTGCTGTACTTTATACCAAAAGTGACTGGTCGATTGGCAAGCTATGCTGCCAAGTTTTGCTTTTGTGTTTATTGTTCTTCTGTGGAAAAACCCCAACCCTCCACACATTGGGCGTATTTCCCTATAATATTCATAAACGCCTACTGCTCTCCGCCACCTCCTCTCCAACGCTACAGCTAAGGCTGGTGGATTCCGAAGGATCCCCCCATGTGGGCTGGCCGCTCCCTGGGATCCACCCCTGGGGGGAGGAGGAGCGGCAGCACCAGCCAGAGGGAGCGCTGTGTCCCAGCCAGGCCTCGCCTTGTATCCGGCAGAAAAGAAGCAGGTGAGACGAAAACGACTAAACAACAACAATCAAGATCTTAGAAGCTTTATTGTCAGCCTGTTTCCCAATGATCCCAAACATGGAATTTGCCTTTATCACAGCTGCTGTGCACTGGTCCAACATTTTCACTGAGCTATTCAACACAACCCCTGGTCAACTGTTGTCAACTTAGCCCCTATCAGGATGTATTGCCTATTCGTCCAATTAGGAGCTGTTCATGATTCCCTTTTTGTTTTTACCACCTTAACTAATTTGTGTCATCAGCAGAACATAGCTCAAATCCTAACTCCTCCTTATTTATGAACAAGTTCAAAACAGCTCGAATTGCAACGAGTCCTTTTGGGACTCGCTTCTGACATCCCTCCAATCAGACAGCTGCCCATTTATTCCTACTCTCCACTTCCTGTCCTCTTAACCCGTGGCTTCTAGGTTTATTCAAGAGACTTGATCAAAATATTTTTTCCCCAAAGCTTTCCTGCCTGTTCCTCTATTGCAGGTCAGAATTTTGAAGATTTGGCATTCTTGTGCGACAAAACCACGTAAAAATAAAGCAGACTTTTTGCAGTGATTGGAAAATTCACTGGAAAGAGTGGGGTTACAATTGCTAGATGTGACCTCATGAAACTTCTTTATAAACCACATCAAGTTGAATGCTTAATAAATAGGTACAGTAGTTTGGTATACATTGCTATACGTGGTCAACTGCCTTATCTGTATCCACAAGCTGAACGCTCTCAGGTTAGGGATACAGGACTTGTGCAACTGGCTAGAGACTGCAGGCTTACCAGAAATGAATTAGAATATTGTTCAGTATGAACACTACAGAAATACAGTACTGAAGCTATTTTCTGTGTCCTTGCAGAAGCATCTGACACCCTTTGCTCATAGAGTTGAATGCAGGCCATGATTGCCCAGACAACGTTGGGATAAGCCTCACCCCATCAAAGAAGACCCTGGGACCAAATATATTCACACTGGGATTTAACAGGGTCTCCACCGAGCCTTTATTATTCACTCCCACCCATGTACAGGGTATGAATAATTCTCGTTTGAGCCCTTGCCTTTTTCTTGCAATCTGATGCTTAGCATCATCTTTTGCGTTTCCTGCACGGAACTAAAATTCCACTTTTTACATCCCTTCCGCCGTTCTCTCCATCGCCTATAGCGAGCACGGGGGCGATCGCATATCTGGTTTCCAGAATCGCAAAGCTTTCTATTAAACGCAGTTCCTGCAAATCATCGCCGCCTGCCAGTACCGTGCACCAGTCAGAAAACCATTTCCTCCGGGCGTCTTGCAGCTTTGCATCCATGACTTCCTGCAGGTCTGCAACGTGGGGCTGCTCACGTCCTCGAAGGGATTTCTCTGCAATGGGTTCTGCACTGCAAAACTCCCCCCCCCCCCGTGTCGGCTGGGTAAAGACAACAACCGAAACCCCCCTGGCCTGCAGTTTTGCAAATCGGGTCGTTCCCCTGGCGGATTTCGCATAGCTCTTTCCGTAAAGCTTTTCCTGCACATTCACACGTGCAAATTTCCCAACGCGCAAGGCGAGGCATTTTTAGTACAGGGACAGCCTCAAGGGCTCTCCATGCCTTCGCGCCAGCCTCCCCATCTTTCCCTTCCTCCCTTCCCTGTTTGCTTTGTTCCGATCCCAAGAAATCCCAACCCACAGGCGTGCAAACTCAGCAAAGGGAAGGGAGGGGCGTCCCGGGGTCGCGCGCGCGCGCCGAGCTCCGCCCTCCTCGGGAACGCGCAGGAAACCACGTGCCCCATCCAGGAAGCCGCGTGCGTCGTAGAAAGCAGACGCCGCCGCCGCCGCCGCCGCCCTGGAAGGGGAGCTTCGACCTGGAGGGTAAGAAGGAGGATCGGGGCCGGAGTGGGCGGAAGGGCCGGGCATGGGGCACCGCGGCATGCAAGTAGATTGACATGCGCGTGCTGGTTACGCGGGCAGCTTTCAAGCGCGCGACCCCGACCTGCAGGCTGAAGTTCAGCGGGGGAGGCGGCACATGGGTCCGGCCGATGGAATCAAACAGTTGTGAGATCTGGCATCCTGCTTCGTGAACGATCAAGGGGATCTTTCAGAAGGGTTTCATGACAAATCTGAAGAATCATGAACTGTGCAGGCTGTTTATGCCGGCCAGATTTAATATGTTTCCCTCGATGACAGTAAGAGGAAGATATTTAGCTCTCCCAGAAGCGTCTCTGCAAATGTGGTAGGCAGGAACCTGAGACGTTGGAGCATATTTTCTTTTCTTGTGAGTTTGGCATTTATGCCAGAAGACAATTGTTAGAGGCCTTACAACTTAACAGGCTCGGCTCTATGCTGCCAATGGTTCAAGACCTGCTCTCGGATGGGAATGATCAAATTACTTTAATAGTGGTTAAATTTTTGAGTGTTGTCCATGTGGAAAGACTGGGCCATTATAGAGAGATTTAGTGGTTCTTGATTGCTCAGTGATGTGGTAGTGTTAGACTGTATTATTTATGCAAATTGTTATGCCGAATTCGTATTTTCCACATCTGTATACAGTGTTTGTTTTATAATGTGTGGTTTGCTGTGCCTAATAAAGGATTGTTTGAATAAGATAAAGGGGATCAAGGAGGTGTGAGTGTCCTGTCCAAGGTTTGTGGGCGCTCTCTGCCTTGTTTGGTTATCTCTGTTCTGTTTCTCCAGCAACAAGAGATCACAAGGTTTCGGTTCTCCTCCGCTCAGATCTTTGGTTCTGAAATAGGGGTGCTGGTGGCACCTTTCCTTCCTTTTTCCAGTTGCTCTTAATCAGAAAAGAGTGCAACATAGAAGTTTATCCAGAGGTCACAGAAGCTCTCATCGGACAGAAAAACAAACCTCCACCTCTCTCAGCTTTTGACGCCATGTCAAAAAGTAAGTCATTTTGCCAGGTTTATGGGTCAAACGTTGCATTCCTACAAACTGGGGAACCCAAATGTAAAATGGTGCTCACCTTTGATTTCATTCCCCCCTCTGCAGAGCAGAAAAAATCCGGGAAGAGACAGAAACATGGCAAGGTGAGAAGACTGGCAGCACCAACCATTCCCACTCTTCATAAGTCCTTTTGAAAAGTGAAATTTAGCAGGTGGAAGCATGAAGGGAGCCAACAAGGAAAAGAAGGGCCAGTTGCACTGAAGGCAGCAGAGGTCAAAAAGTGGAAAGGCAGAGAGACATCTTTGGATTTGGCAGTGCGATAGCTGCCAGTAATTTTAGGGAGCTGAGTTTCATTGGAGGAGAGGAGGCAGATTCTGTCTGGGTCAAAATAAGAGTTGTAAAAGACAAAGTAAGTAAGCTTCACTTAAGTTAAAATCCAGAGTACAGTTTGCAGATGTGAAACATAACAAGATTCATGGGCTCAGCAAGGGAGTGGAAAATAACAGGCTGGGAACTGGGAGGACTTTATTCCTAAGTTTTGAGGGGAAGGGACTGAAGCTTCTGACTGTAGCACTAGCTGGAAGAACAAGGGTCTTTTAATTTTTACTTTCAGTGAAGCTAAGGTGAATTTCTAGGGTCTTCTATCTCTGATGTCTCGTCCAGTTCATTGCCTTTACCAGTGTGTCTCCTTTGGCTTTCATAGAGAAGGGATGCAAAGCCTCATGGGAAAAAGGACCCAGGAGTGCCTCAGCTGTCACATTTCAAAGAACATGTCAAGAAAGGAGCAGCACTAAAAGAGAAAAGGGTGAGATTAAGCAGTGGGAAGCCCTGCATGGGGAAATGAAGGCTGGCTTCTTCGAGTTCCTGGTTTCATTTCCCAGTTTGGGATCAGTGGTTGGGTACCAAACCTTGGCTCTAGAGCAGCTTTTCTCAACCTGTGGGTCCCCAGATGTTGTTGAACTACAACTCCCAGCACCCCTAGCTAGCAAGACCAGAGCCCAGGGATGATGGGAGTTGTAGTCCAACAACATCTGGGGACCCGCAGGTTGAGAACCGCTGCTGTAGAGTCTTAGGTTTCAAAGAGCCTGAAAAATGGGTCTCTTTCCAATGGGGCTCGTGGCAACCTCTTTGAGTTACGGCTTTGCACATCCTCTCAGGCTACAGAACTGCAGGAGCGGCAGCGAACGGCACGGCAGAAGGAAATCAGCCGGTTCCGGAGTTTAGAAGGGCTGCAGAAGGATGCCTTGCACAGACAGCAGAATTTTGAGCAGAAGGTACTGAAGTTTCAAAGACATCAAAGCCGACTGCAGTGGGACCCTGTTCATTTAGCTGTTTCGAAACTACTTGTCTGCCTCCTTTTTTGGAGACCCTGTAAGGCAGAGCTGGGGAACCTTTTTCAAAACCGATGGCCATGTTCCCTTCTCTCTGTGGCGCCTTCCAGGGCCATGTGCCAGTGATGTGCGGGGACAGAAGCAGAAGCAACAAATGTGGAGCAACAAATGCACATTTCCCCTATGTACTGTAAACTAGTTTTTACATTCTCAGGCCTCTCTATCCTGTGTTCCATCCACAAACACAGATCATCATCAGCTCCATGTTTTCCCTGTCTTAACAACTTGCTGGTTGTGCCCAGGCTTAATAATAATAATAATAATAATAATTTATTTATACCCCGCCCATCTGGTTGGGTTTCCCCAGCCACTCTGGGCAGCTTCCAACAAAATATTAAAATACAATAATCTGTTAAACATTAAACTTTGGAACAGCCTCCTGAGAGAGGCCCCATCACTGCCTTTGTTTAGACAGCCATTCTCAAAATGTGGATTTACTCCCCAATGTGAATATTCCTGTTGCTCTAAAGTGGCTTGTTTTTAGGTTTTGGTCATATTTTACATTTTGTGTCATGTCGTCTAAACCGCAAGCTCCCGTGTGTATGGTTGTAGATAGGTAGGATAGAAATTATTGTCCTAAACCCAACCCATGGGCTTCTTGGTTTCCAGACAGTGGCTCATAGTGGCAGTCCTTGTAATTCTGCTTATGCTACAAGCAAAATTGCAATTCACTTTCCATGCTGTTCGAAGCATTGGACTTGTTCCTTTATGTATGTCCCACTGGGTTCCATTCGCCCTGCCTTATTTTTTTAATTTATCTTTTACTTAGTGTTAAAATGCTTTCCCAGCTGTAATTATTATTAATAATATCTGTTGTTTATTAAATTTGTATACCGGGGATAATGCTGTAAGGTTATTTAATTTATTTTTAAGCTAAAATATGAACTCTTTCTCTCCCTGCAGGAGATGGATCTGAAGCAACTGGCGAAACATGCCATGCTGGAGAAAGACAGTTCCTGCAAGGCCTATTATAGGGAGTTCAGGAAGGTCAGTGGGACTGTTGTCACTTAGTGTGGGGAAAGATGCATCTGCTCTGAGCGCGACTGTCCTCAGGGGCTGAGCCAGTTGTCAGGTGGCAAACTCTCTTGGCCTTCTCTCCCTTTAGGTGGTGGAAGCAGCTGATGTGATCCTGGAAGTCCTTGACGCACGAGATCCACAAGGCTGCCGCTGCCCCCAGGTTGAGCAGGCCGTGGTGCAAGCTGGAGCTAACAAGAGGCTAGTCCTGGTGTTAAATAAAATAGGCAAGTGTGAAGGCCAGCCATGAACGGCTCTCTGGGAAGGAAAGGGGGTCTGGCACTGGTATGCTATGATTCTAGTCCTCTCTGCTGTGTTACTCAAGGATAGCAGAGTGTTAGATGCTCTCATAGTCAGTGTTCAGCAAGTGTTAACCAGAATCCTGCACTGTTATATTCAGGGTCTTTGCTTCTCTCCCAGAATTCAAATTCTGGCAGGGCAGTCCAGAGAAGTACATAGAATAAACAGACAAATTACAATAGCTGCTTTTCCATAATTTTATTGTGATTTCAGGGTTCTTGCATTCAAATAATTTGGAAACATATGCTTTGGGGAAGCAGAGAAGGGCAAATGAGAGAGCGGTAGAGGCTTAATGACTGATTTTCTGCAACCATAAGCTTAAGAAGCTGAGTTGCAGCCACACAAGCCCTTTGTTCCTTCCCTTGCAGGTGTGAGTGATTGAACAGGCAAGGAAGCCTTCCGTTAACTATGATTTCCCATTTTCACTCAGCTGAGCAACTGTGATTAACAGCTTCAGAACCAGCCATGCTAGGAAGCTTGTTGGGCTACTGCAAAGAGAGGAGGAAAGGGGCTGCGTTCACACCCAGAATGTATTTTTATATCTCAGCTTATTAAACTCAGAGATTACTCAAAGCAGTCCAGAGGGGTTTGGCAAGGCTTGGCAGTTGTTGCAGAGATGTTTTGTCCCTGGAGACGTGCTTGGTATTCAAGCTTCGCTGAGGATCCTAAAGTTAACTCTTCTCTTCTGTTCCTGGCCCAGATCTGGTATCTAAGGAAATTGTAGCAAAGTGGCTGAAGTACCTGAGGAACGAATTCCCCACGGTGGCCTTTAAAGCTTCCACTCAGCAGCAGAGCAAAAACCTGGTAAGTGGTGCTGGGATTTTGCAGTGGGGCAAGTGAGTGACAGTTTTGGCCAGTTATTAGTTTTCATTGAAAGCCATTTCGGGAAGAGCGGCTTCAGCCCTCTCCTCTTAAAGGGCTCTGTCAGCCGGTTCTGTTTCCACTGATTCCTCTTACTCCTTATTACTGTTAACGCAAAGTTAGCAACTCTGAGGCCAAGTGGTGCCTTTCAAGAGGTATTAAGGTGCTGATTCCTCATGGATGAAGGAGCGTCTCCACCCCCAATCATTCTGCCCAGACACTGAGGTCCAACTCCAAGGGCCTTCTGGCGGTTCCCTCACTGTGAGAAGCCAAGTTACAGGGAACCAGGCAGAGGGCCTTCTTGGTAGTGGCACCCGCCCTGTGGAACGCCCTCCCACCAGATGTCAAAGAGAAAAACAACTACCAGACTTTTAGATGACATCTGAAGGCAGCCCTGTTTAGGGAAGCTTTTAATGGTTGATTAATTACTGTATTTTAATATTGTGTTGGAAGCTGCCCAGAGTGGCTGGGGAAACCCAGCCAGATGGGCGGGGTATAAATAAATTATTATTATTATTATTATTATTATTATTATTATTATTATTATTAAACCACTGAGCCTCTTGGGCTTGCTGAAGGTTGGTAGTTCGAATCCCCGTGACAGGGTCAGCTCCTGTTGCTCGGTCCCAGCTCCTGCCAACCTAGCAGTTTGAAAGCGTGCCCAAAAGTGCAAGTAGATAAATAGGTACCGCTCCAGCGGGAAAGTAAACGACGTTTCCGTGCACTGCTCTGGTTTTGCCAGAAGTGGCTTAGTCATGACCCGGAAACTGTACGCCGGCTCCCTGTCGGCTTAACTGGACTTAACTGTCAGGGTCCTTTACCTTTTCCTTTTTTTAACTGTATGTGAGACTCCAGATTACCAGAGGTGCCAACTTGAATAAAATATTGAGGACAGGTAAGCCCCACCTGGCACAATCAACCGCATGACATGGTGCATGCATACCATTTGAATGGCAATGCCTATTAACTTTGGGGGGACCCGGCCCCCTCAAATACTTTATGGGGAGGGGCGAAACCCTGTTGGCCCCTAGGAGTTGGCTCTTATGCAGATTACTATGATCCATGGCCAATATTTCCTTTCTCTTTTATTGTTTATATTCCTTCATTGTATTGATTGTTGGGGGAGGGGGGAAACAGTAAAACAGTAAAGAAGAAAAACAAGCCATTTTTTAAAGCGGCAGAACTTCTGGCGCTTCTCTTTTCCCCCACCTCCAGCAACAGAGCCGAGTCCCCGTATCTCAGGCTTCGGGGGAGCTGCTCAGCGGGGGAGCCTGTGTTGGGGCAGACTGCCTCATGAAGGTGCTGGCCAACTACTGCCGGAACCAGGATGTCAGGACAGCCATCAGTGTTGGGGTTGTGGGTGAGTAGGGAGCCCCTCTTGGAGGGAGATGTAAAGCCGGCTGGGGGGGGGGATCTCTTAAATCCTACCCCCATTGCTCAGAAAGACATTGGGATAATTCGAGGTAATTTAAATATGTTTTGGGACGCGGGTGGCGCTGTGGGTTAAACCACAGAGCCGAAGACTTGCCGATCAGAAGGTCGGCGGTTCGAATCCCCGCAACGGGGTGAGCTCCCGTTGCTCGGTCCCTGCTCCTGGCAACCTAGCAGTTCGAAAGCACGCCAAAGTGCAAATAGATAAATAGAAACCGCTCCGGCGGGAAGGTAAACGGCATTTCCGTGCACTGCTCTGGTTCGCCAGAAGCGGCTTAGTCATGCTGGCCACACGGCCCGGAAGCTGTACGCCAGCTCCCTCGTCCAGTAAAGCGAGATGAGCATCGCAACCCCAGAGTCGGTCACGACTGGACCTAATGGTCAGGGGTCCCTTTACCTTTAAATACGTTTTAATATTTTAACTTTTGTATGTTTTAAAGCACAGTTGTATTCTTTCTTGACTTTCTCGTGTTATCTTCTTGTAAATGCTTTGAGGGTTTTTAAAAAAAAGTTAAGCGGTGTATAAATTTTGTGAAAATTTATAAAATATGGTAGGAATCAAAGCACTTGGATATCTTTCCTGACCTTGTTAAATATCGGACCTCTTGCCTCTCAGGTCCAGATGACCTGGCAAAGTTGTGCCAAGGCTGCAAGCCCATGATGTGTGGGTACGCACATTGTAAAAATAATATTTATTTATTTATTTATTTATTCCCCACCTTTTCCCCTGGCAGCGATTCAAGGCTGCTTAGAGATAAAAAAAACAAAACAGCTAAAAATGGGGGGGGGGCAGCATTAAAAAATTATTAAGCATTTATAGAATATTATGTATATTCTATTTAAAACATACAGTCACAACAAAAGCAGTATAGCACCAGCTCCCTCTTTAAAAGCAGCCCATTCCCAAAAGCCTGTTGGAACAAGAACGTCTTCACCTGCCCATGGAAGGACAGCCAGGAGGGAGCCAGTCTAACTTCTCTAAGGAGGGTGTTCCAAAATTGTCTGGCCACCACCGAAAAGGCCCTCTCCTGCGTCTCCACTCAGAGAAGGGCCTCCCTCAGAGATCTCAAAACCCGGCCAGGTTTGTAGGAGGGAATGCAGCCCTTCAGGTAGTTTGGACTTAAGCTGAATAGGGTTTTATAGGTCATAACCAGCACTTTGCATTGTGCCCGGAAACAGACCGGAGCCGCTGCAACAAGGGAGTCATATGCGGCACATCAGAACGACTTGCTACTGAGCAAGGATCCTGCCTGTTGGTGTTGCTGGACAAGAACCTTTGAAGATGCCTTTGTTCTGGCTGCTGGCGCTCATTCATTCAAAGACGAAAGGCGGCTTGTGGGCAGCTGTGCCTTCCTTTTCGGTGCTGCGTTATTTTTGCTATAGGGAGTGGAGAGAAGGAGGTGCTCACAGAGGTAGGACTAATCTTGAGTGGGAGCAGGTGCTTTTGCTGATGGCTCTGCCCGCTTCTCCCATATCTCACTGCAGGCTTCCCTAATGTTGGCAAAAGCAGCTTGATCAACAGCTTGAAGAGGAGCCGGGCCTGCGGTGTTGGTGCTACTCCTGGCGTCACCAAGTACGTAGCAGTCCTTCTGTGCATGCTGTAGAAGCCAGGGTTTTGGGGTGGGGGTAGTTCTCCCTTGAGCTTTGTCTATGTATGGCAGCAGTTCTCAACCTGTGGGTCCTCAGATGTCGTTGGACTACAACTCGCATCATCTCTGAGCTCTGGCCTTGCTAGCTAGGGGTGATGGGAGTTGTAGTTCAACAACATCTGGGGACCCACAGGTTGAGAAAGGCTGGTGTACGGTGTCTTAAGTTGTTAAGGCCATTCAGTTCTAGGTTATCTGTAGAACCCGCAACATTTTAGGGTGTTTGTGAGCCAGCCAGAGGCGCAGCTGCAGAACAGCATTGGTTGTGCTGGAAAGGAGAGCTTTGGACCTTGTGTGTTCAGGCCAAGTTGGATTTCAGGGCACCGGTATGGAAAGGAAAGGTTGGCTAGACAGTGTGCAAGGAAGGGGAATGATGGAACTGTGGGTGCACTCCAGCTCAGCAGTGGCACATGTGACATCTCCCCAGATGCTGGGAAGGGGCTGTGGGCCTCAGAGACACAGGGAAGAAGATTTGTGCTGTGGGTCTTAAGAGACGAGGCAAGATGCATCCCTCTACCCCCTTTCCTGAGACAGTCTGGACCATAGTTTAGAGGTCCCGGGCCCTAAGGAAGTCAGACTATCCTCCACCAGGGCCAGGGCCTTTTCGGTGATGGCTCCGACCTGGTGGAATGCTGTGTCCTATGAGACTAGGGCCCTTCAGGATTTAACCTCCTTCCGTCGGGCCTGTAAGACAGAGCTATTCCGCCTGGCCTTTAATTTGAATTCAGCCTGATCTTTTATTTCCCTTTTCTTCCCTCCCCCTCCCCTTTTATGAAGATTACCTGCTCTGAAACCCCACAGTTAATTCTCCCCTGGCCTCCTCGCTGGCCCAAGTAGGACCAATTCAGCCAGCTAGCCCTGGTGATTATCTAATGCTTATTTCCCCTAAATTGATTTCTGAATTTTATTGTTATGCATGTTTTTATACTGTATTTTATGCTCCAATTAAGTCTTTTAAATTTTTTGTTAGCTGCCCTGAGCCCGGTTTTTTGAACTGGGAAGGGCAGGGTAGTAATAATAATAATAATAATAATAATAATAATAATAATAATAATGATGTAGCTTTGGGGAACTGCAGAGGCCTTTTGAACTTGCACTGCTTTATTACTTACAGTGAGCTCTTTCGAAACAGCAGGATCGCCGTGTAAAAAGTGGCCCAGGTCTTCCCACTGCTTGGGAGCACAAGGAATGTTGCAGGATGGAGGAGGCGTTGGGGGGCAGGTATCCTGACAAAGGGATATCAAACTGAGCGTTAGGTGGTATCCTATAGCACCTTCGCTATAGGCAGATGGGGGGGAATGAATGAGAGACATGCTGGTAACCGTTTTGCTCCTCAGCACTCTGCTTATTTGGCCGATTGGTTGCAACTTAAAAATGATTACATTCACAACCAAACTCCCAATGGAATAAATTAAAACCTCAGAACAATTAAACGGTTAAAATACAGCAGCAAAATAAATAAAAGCCATTTAGTCAGACCAGATAAAGGACTCCTTCAGAGGCACGGACTATTTTGCCTCTAAAGCTCTGTTGAGAAAATGGACTTTGTGCTCTTTTTCTGAAGGCCAGGAGAGATGTCTGGGGGTGGGGGTGGTTGTGCAACACTGGGGCTGCAGCTCTGGGTGGACTTTGAACAGAGAGGCCTGAAATCAGATCCTTCCTCAAATAGTCCACAGGCTGTGGAGCGTTGCTATCACTGAGCATAACCTACCTTACAGATATGCAGTGAGGATTACAATAGCTGTGGGGGGTCCCTGTATATGCACCTCTGAGCTCATTGGATGAAGTTGTGTGTCGAGACCCCGAAGCCACCCCCTTGCTGAGAAATAACACACACAAGGACACGGATATTAGGTTAATGTTATTGGGCAAATTTTGGCCACAACTTTATTGATTACAGAATGTGAGCGGTATTGGCTTAGGCACTGAATGGACCCAACTATATCTGACTCCTGCCTGATGTGCAGGAAGTCCGGTAAGGGTAAACCACAGGTAGGGGGAGCCCTGTCGATGCAGACCAACTCAAGCTCCCCCTGGTGTTCCCATCGGGGTCGTGTCATGGCCCTAGCCCCCAACTGGGCTTCAGACAAGATCAACACCCCTGGATTCCTTTAACGGAATACCCTTAAGCATGGAGGGGCAGGTGATGGCCACATGTCCCCTCCCCCACACAAGGTCAATCAATGCCCAACCGCAACCCTAACAAAGCTGTGATGATTGCTATGAGGTAGGCGAAAACCAAGTGGCCAGTGCCAATTTGCCAAGTGGAAAAATTCCTACCAGGTCCCTTAATGGTGACCAACCGAGGTCCATAGCAAGGCCAGTGCCTAAAACCTGCAAATTAGGGAGGGAGGGAGGGTGATTGAGGAATTAAATGGTCCCGGCCACATCCGTCCCCCCCCCCAGCCAGCGGATTGGCTGGCCAGGCTCTGATGTGGCCGGTGTTGTAAACAAAAATTGCCCTTTTCCCTTATGGGGTATCCAAGAGCCCATGTAGAGTCCTTACATAGGTTCCCTATTGGTAGGAGAAGATTACAGAGGCCAACCAGAGAATATTGAGAAGCAAAGCAGCTAGTAAGCTTGATCTTTACTGATCTGTTGCAACAGGGTGCTCCCCTCACCTGCAGGAGAGGAGGAGGAACCCAGAAAAATGGCATGCAAGGCCTTATAAAGACTTTTGAAATTGCCACCCTGTAGATCAAGACCACCCCCAGAAACATCATACATACATCACAGAAGGGTGTAACCTAAGACCACCCCTCAGATACATCATACCTACATCACAAAAAAGGCAGTCTAAAACAGAAATTTGAATGTTGTTTTTCTCCTGTCTTTGTTTATCTCCTGTCTGGCAGGTTACTTGATTGGATTTTCTGGGGAGCTTGGCCAGTCTTTTGAAATGATAAATACTTAGTTCCTGGGCCAGGTCACAGGCGCACACCCTATTCATATCTTGAATGTGCCCTTAAGATAGGATTTGTGAGGAAAGAGACAATGGGGAGGTTTCCCACTTTGACCTTGCAGAGAAAACATTTGCTCAGTTTAGGAATCAAAATGGTTCCAGGTTGGTCTTCCTGTGCTGATCTATGTACATGCTTGGTTGGTACGCTTATGAACATTACCACATATCTAAGACCTCAAAATTCCTATCACACCGGGATCCCCCGGGCAATGGGGGACCAAGCCCCCCGCCCCCGGAGGGGAGTGGGTGGCCACGCAGTCCAGCGCAACTCCTCCTCACAGGGAAGTGGAGCAGATATGCCTGGAGTACTGTGGCCAGTTCTGCGCTCCACACTTTTAAGATGTGTATTGTAAGAACATAAGAGCCTGGTTGCTGGACCAATGACCCATCTTGTCCAGCATCCTGTTCCCTCAGTGACGATTCAGATGCCTGTGGGAAACTGACAACCAGGACCTGAGCACAAGGGCGGAGCCCTCTCCTGCCTTGTCTGACAAGAGGCCTTCAGAAATACATGGTCTCCAGCCACAGAGGCAGAGCCCTTAGCCATCCAACAGATATGTGTTCAGAGGTGGGTGGCAAAGGTGGTGAGAGGCTGATGCAAGTCCTGTGAGAAAATCTGGGGGTGGCCTGGGGAAGAGACAGTTCAGTGGTGATATAAAAGAAATTTCAGTATTTGAAAGGCTGTTGCACAGCTGACAGAGCAGATTTAATTTCCGTTGCTCTGAAGGGAGAGGAGGGCCAGGCTTAATAGTTGTAGATTCCAGCTAAACACTGGAGTGAGCTTCATTATTTATTCCTACATCATTTTTATTGATTTTCCAAATTTTAATGAATCAACCACAAATTAAAACAAATTTAATACATCCACCCCCCAAAAAATGGCTTTCCACCATCAATGTGTCCATAAATTCCTCTTGTTGCTGCATTTTCTTGGTTATTTCTAATCCACATTCCACTCCCTGTAATTAACCTTACATTACAATATTTTTTTGGTTATTTTTAACTTGTCCTTAACCATCAGCTACCCACTTGCCAATTCCTGCAAGGTTTTAACATTTCCAATATCTGCCAGTGAGGTTACTCAACAAATAGATCAGCTGGAGTGAACTTTCTGATGAAAGGAGCTGCTCAGAAATAGGACAGACGGTCTCAGAAGATCGTAAGCCAGGCACCCCCAAACTCAGCCCTCCGGATGTGTTGGGACTACAACTCCCATCATCCCATGCTAACAGGAACAGTGGTCGGGGATGATGGGAGTTGTAGTCCCCAAACATCTAATGGGCTGAGTTTGCCTATGCCTGTTGTAGGTTCTCCTGCACTGGAGAGGGAGCTGTAGGGTGAACATTTCCTGTGTCATCAGGACATTGAACTAGATGACTTTTGAAGTCCCTGTCAACTCTGATTCTACAATTTATGAAGTGTGGTAAGATAGACAGCTGGAGCAATAATGGTTGCTCTACGCTCTACCTTCATGACAGGAAGGGATACAGCACAGTGCTTTAGCAGATGGTGCTAACAGGTGGAGGGGCATTTTTCTTGGAATAAGTTGACTCCCTCCCTCTTGTGCTGTCTCCTTTTAGGTGCCTGCAAGAGGTGCAGCTGGACAAGCACATCAAACTTCTGGACTGTCCAGGGATTGTTGTGGCTTCTCCCACCTCAGATGCCGCCATGATCTTACGAAACTGTGTCAAGATAGAGCAACTGGTTGACCCCGTGAGCCCAGTGGAGGCCATCTTGAAGCGATGCAACAAGCAGCAGGTAGCTGTGGGGCAGGGCAGGGGGAGGCAGACCCTGGTTGTGATGGTGGGCAGACAATTAGGCAGCAGAGAGCCAGGAATTCTGGGCTCCTCTCAAAGCTTTAGGGAGAATTGGGAGAGAAGAGTTGTAGAGTGGCAAACTTAATTCACTTTCACTGATGTTAGCTTCTTAATTCACTTAATTCATTGATGTTAGCTTCTGGGGGAAGGCTTGTTGTGGTTTTTCTGGATTAAATCCAAGTTGAAGGGAGCGAGTGTGCCCTCCAGGTTCCATCAGCTCAGATGCAATTTCGGGCAAAGGTCTTAGTTTAGAGCAGGCATCCCCAACCTGCGGTCTCCAGATGTTTTGGCCTACAACTCCCATGATCTCTAGCTAACAGGACCAGTGGTCAGGGTGCTTTTGTTGCAGCAGACTTCGCAGGGCCTTTTCTTTTGGGAAATTAAATTTTAACAGTAGGTAGTAACTGGGTTTCTCAACTGCCCTTGATTTAAGTACATTCACAGCACATGTCTTCCTTCCCCAAATCTGGTAATTGTAGATTTTTACAGGTCTTTGGGACACGGGTGGCGCTGTGGGTTAAACCACAGAGCCTAGGACTTGCCGATCAGAAGGTCGGCAGTTTGACTCCCCGTGACGGGGTGAGCTCCCGTTGCTCGGTCCCTGCTCCTGCCCACCTAGCAGTTCAAAAGCACGTCAAAGTGCAAGTAGATAAACAGGTACCGCTCCAGCGGGAAGGTAAACAGTGTTTCTGTGTGCTGCTCTGGCTCACCAGAAGCGACTTAGTCCTGCTGGCCACATGACCCGGAAGCTGTACGCCGGCTCCCTCGGCCAGTAAAGCGAGATGAGCGCTGCAACCCCAAAGTCGGTCACGACTGGACCTAATGGTCAGGAGTCCCTTTACCTTTTTGCAGGTCTTTGGAATTGTAGCGCTGTGTGGGATAAACTGCAGTTCCCAGGATTCTTGGGTGTGAGAGAATTTGCTTTAAATTTTTGGTGTGTGCACAGGCATGTGGAGGCTCCCCCCCCCCTTTCAGAGGGCTGAATTCCCTTGAAGCAAACTAATTGGGGGCTGCATATCAGTGGTGAGTGAGAAAGAAGCTGTGCTGAGAAAAGGGAGCCACTTTCTCACGGCACAGAGGCTAGGACCCGAACCCATGGCTTCAAGTTACGAGAAAGGAGATTCTGACCAAATACCAAGAAGAACTTTCTGATGGCAAGAGCTGTTTGACAGTGAAACGGACTCCTGGGAGGTTTTTAAGTAGAGTTTGGATGGCCATCAGTCATGCATGCTTTAGTTGAGATTCCTGCATTGCAGGGGGTTGGACTAGATGACCCTCAGGAACTCTTCCAACCCTACAGTTTTGTGATTCTATTAAAAGTGAGCTGGCAGTGTAGAAAGTGAGTGCAATCTTGCCAGTATTGCACACACCCCTCCCCTGGTTTTCAATGCTGCACAAGTGACTTGAGTGTGCCAGGAAAATTGTGGCTTCTTTGGCTGCCTGAGAAGAAGGGTAGGGGCCAAACTGAGAGGTCTGGCTGGCAGGCTGGACTTAGCCCACTGCCTGGAGATGATGATGATGATGATGATGATGATGATGATGATGATGATGATGATGATTTATACCCTGCCCATCTGTCTGGGTTTCCCCAGCCACTCTGGGCGGCTTCCAACATAGCACTAAAATACAATAACAATGGTTTAGGGTATGGTTACCACTATCTTTCCCTCCTCTCTTTCTCCTCAATTCAGTGTTGCATCAGCTTATTTCCCAAGGAGCCAGCAGTACTGTGGCTGAGTGTGCCAGAGGGAAGATTCAAGAGGGGCATTGTGAGCCCCCAGTGCTTGTCAGTCAATCCTGCTCTTTTTGGAGTCATCTGAGGAGGAGGAGGATTACTACTAACTGGGCAATTGGCTTCTCACTTCTTCTCCCCCCCAGATTATGCAGCACTACCGCGTGCCAGATTTCCAGGACACCATGGAGTTCCTGGCTCATTTGGCCAGGCGGCAGGGAAAGCTGAAGAAAGGAGGGACGCCTGACCACGAGAAGGCAGCCAAAGCCATACTAAGTGACTGGACAAGGTGAGCAAAGAACAGAATTATGTATTATTATTATTATTATTAATTGAATTTATATACTGCCCTATACCCAGAGGTCTCAGGGCCGTTCACAGAACAGAATTTCAACAGGATGAAGGAACTTTTGTCTCATGCAGCGGTTGGTGATTATCAAGTGGACCTGCTCTGTCCCATGTGACCAGGGCCCTGCAGGATTTAACTTTCTTCTGCAGGGCCTATAAGACAGAGCTATTCCGCCTGGCTTTCAATCTGAATTTAGCCTGATCTTTTATCCCCCTTCCTTCCCTCCCCCTCCCCTTTTATGAAGATTACCCGCTCTGGGATCCCACAGCTAATTCTCCCCTGGTCTCCTCACTGGCCCAAATAGGACTTATTTAGCAAGCTAGCCCTGGTGCTCATCTAATATTGGATGGATTTTCCCCCTAAATTGATTTTTGAATTCTGAATGTATTGTTATTCACATTTTATACTGTATTTTATGCTGTTTTTTGTTGCATCAATTAAGTGTTTTAAATTTGTTGTTAACCGCCCTGAGCCCAGTTTTCTGAACCAGGAAGGGCGGGGCATAAATAAAAAAATAATTATTGTGTGTGTGTGTTTGCTTGCCATTGTTAGGGCAGGAGTGGGGAATTTCTTCCAGACCGCCTTCCCTTGAGGGCAGCCAGGGTAGGCGGGGCCAGAGGCAAAGTGGGCGGAGCAATGAATGTAAATTTTACCTTTTTGCAGTAGGCAGGTTTACACACACACACACTCCTCTGAATCCTCCATAACAGGAAGCAAGAAGCATTATCCGAGTTCAAGAACACATTCCAGCTGGGCAGAAACACTTGAGGGGATGTAAAGCAGGGCTGGTGCCAGATGTTGCCTAGGGAGAGCAGGCAAGGCCGGTGTAAGGTTCTGAGGACTAGATGGAGCAGTCCCAGGCCTGAGTGTTTTGTGGCCCCCAGTTCTAATCTAGTCTCAAGTGAGCAAGGACCAACCATGGGGGGAAAATAGATCTGAAGGGATACTGCCTCCTTCTCTGTAATGCATGCTGCTGATATCAGTGTTCAATGCTTTCCTTTTTGTCCCTGCTAGTGGGAGGATCAGCTATTTTACACACCCGCCTGAGACTCACACGCTCCCCACTCACATCAGCGCCGAGATTGTTGCGGAGATGGGCAAGGCCTTTGATTTTGAGGCACTGGAGCAAGAGAACGAGAAAGTCTTGGCAAGTAAGTGACAGGCAGAGAGAGAAGCCGAGGCACTGTGATTCCGCTTCCAGCCATTCCAGCTATTATTATTAAAAATTCTATACAACCTTTCATCTGAAGATCAGAGGGCAGCTTTCAGTATACAGTGGCACCTTGGTTTAAGAACAGCTTAGTTTATGAACAACTTGGATTAAGAACGTGGCAAACCTGGAAGTAGGTGTTTTGGTTTGTGATCTTTGCCTTGGAATAAGAGCACGTTTTGCTTCCTGTTGAGTGTGTTCCATTTGTAAATTGAGTCCCCTGCTGCTATAGAAAAGCACACCTTGGTTTAAGAACAGATTTTTGTAACGGATTAGGATCATAAACCAAGGTACCACGGTACAAATGACATACCATAGTATCAAACAAAACAATAACACACACACACACCAGTTTAAAAGGCCATAGATTGTATACTCAAGCAAGGGCCTGAGAGAAAAGGAATGTCTTTGCCTGGTGCCTAAAGAGACGTAGGCAAGCCTTGGCCACCCCTACAGTGGTTTCTTGGTGAATAAGAGGCGCTGCTCTTCATCCCTTCCTCCCTGGCTGGAGGAAAGGCACCAGTTGTGGTTTGCCTCAGGGGCCCAAATGTATTTCGCTGGCCCTCTCCTGGGTAGCGAGCAAGCTGGCCTTGCCACTGTTTCCTTGGGACGAGGGAGATGGCGATCTATGAAGGTGCCCAGTAGATGGATGGCCAGATTTTGCCCCTGTTCTCCTTTGGTCAGAGATGAGTCGCCACCTCAGCGTGTCCTCCTTCCCCACACCGCTGTCCCTTTTCATCAATTCAATCTGTTGCAATTCAAGAGAGGTGTTTCACGGACCTTACCTGTTGCAGACTTGCCCTCGGGCCCTGCTGGCATCACCTTGGAGGGCTCTGGCCTCACCACTGGAGAAGAAGCTGGCATGGAGGAGGAGGAGGAACTCTGTCCTCAGGACCAAGGAGAGGTTAAGATGGAGGAAACTGGGAGTGAGGAGGTAGGCATGAACATAAACACGACCCAGTGACAGGAGCAACCCTCAGTAAATCACAGATGCAAAGGAGTCAATTTAAAGGAACAAACTATGTTACTATTGTTATTTACAGATACATGTCTTATATTTATGTTAATTTTCTTCATCTTCTCTTGTCTTATTACCATGCATTCGACTGCAACATACTACGCTTTGATGAAATGATGAAACAGAAAAGCAATTAAAAAAAAAAAGCCTGTAGTAAATCACACTGAGCAAGTTAGCCTTTTATTAGCAAAAACAGGATCTACATCAGAGTGTCAGGTCTATAGTGAATAGCAATTCATTCCCGGGGGTCTTGCCCCCACAAAGCAGTTGTTGAGACTGAAGGTCCCCCCCCCCAGCTGCTTAAGTCCCCCTCCTTACCAGGGCTTTCCCCAAGCAATCAGAGACTGCTTCTGTGAAGCTAACGTCTCTTCCGCTCTCTTCCTGCCTTTCCTGGTTCTGGGAGACGTGTGGAGAAGGGGGCAGGAGGAGGGGGAATCACCCATGGCTCTTCACCAGCCAGACTCATCTCTGCCTCTCGGCCTCCCTCCTCTCCCGTTTCAGCTTCTGATTCTGCACTTCTCTCTGCCACAGACTCTCCCAGCTCACTAAGCCCTGTTGCCTCTTCAGCTGCTGCCACTTCCTCCTCCAAGTCTTCTCCCTCTGACCCCTCTTCTCCATCCCACCACCAATCCCTGGGCTCTGAGCCTTCTTCCCTTGGAGGTTCCCAAGCTGGTTCCTCACACCACTCCTCTGTGTCCAATCCGTTTGTGACATCCAACTTCAAGATCCTGGCAGCAGTTAGGGCTTTGGCTTGTCATGGTGCTGTTTTAGGAACTTTATCCTGAGTAAGGCCACTGATCCGCCTGTCAGTCTTGCCTACAGCAGGCATGGGGAACCTCTATCCCGGGCACCCCCAAACTCGGCCCTCCAGATGTTTCGGGACTACAACTCCCATCATCCCTAGCTAACAGGACCAGTGGTCAGGGATGATAGGAATTGTAGTCCCAAAACACCTGGAGGGCCGAGTTTGGGGATGCCTGCTGTAGCCCATGGGTTGTTTTGGGGAAGCCACACCTGATGTCAGAGGTGGGTAAGGGTAGGGCTTCAGGTTGAGAGCTTGATTGCTAGAACAAGGTGTGTGCTAAACAGCTGATGAAAACGGATACTGCCATAGAGTCCACTTCTCCCTGCCAGGGCTTTTTGTAAATTTCAGAGCCCTTTCTAAGCCTTCCCGCGCTCCTCCTTTACACCTCCAACAATGGAGGCAGAATAGAAAAACACAGGGAGGATTGCTGTTGCAATAGGAAACGAGAGAAAATGCAGGATTCCTTTTCTTGCTTAACAGAGGGTGGTGGTTGTAGGAAAGGACCTAAGGGGAGAAAGAAGCAGTAGTGGGAAGCTTCTCTCGCTACCTTCTCTCTCTTCCCAGCTGGGGTGGGCAGTAAAAGGGCAAAAGATTCCCCTTGTCATCCTGGCCCCCCCTTCTGCAGCAGGAACCCCACAATATCATGTGATAGGTGGACAGCCCTGCTCACCTGTTAAATTTGGCCCACAAGGCTGACCCTGATAAGGATTTGACAACGACTTCTTTTATTGGGTTTTATAAACAAGAATAATGTAAAACATTCCCTTTTCCAGTCAGACAGAGGTCTCTCTCAGCCCTCCCTGAAGATTCCAGGGACTGAACCTGGGACGTTCTGCATGCAAAACAAATGTTCTGACACAGAGTTGTCAGGTATCATGTTGTGGAATATTTGAAACTTGCCCCCAAAATTCCCAGGTTTTTAAGAATTCCCTTTGTGGTTCAAATTAAATTTTGAACTAACTTGGTGTGTAAAAAGAATACTTCAGTGAATTCAGAATTGTGTGTCTGATATTTGAAGTAGCCATTAGAAGAGCGCAAAAGTGGAAGTGTTATGGAGTGAGAAAAGGGGCTGCTGCCCCCCCCCCCCCCGATGTCCTGCAGCCACAAAAAGTTTTTGTAGGCTGTTTCGTCTCTCTCTCCCCTGCCCCCGGCCAGGTTTTGTCAGGAATCTTGTGACTGTCAGATAGCCAAATCCACAGGCTTGTGGTTTCACCTTCTTGCGATGCCACAGCATAGAAAACACTCAAGGTCTGTTTGGTTTTTGGCTAGAAACAGAGGGGCAAACTGGAAGACGGAGGTGCCTGCAATGAGAGAGAGAGAGAGAGACTCCTTCCTCATACAAATTAGGAACAGCACTGGCAGCTAATGCCAGAATGAGAAAGGAAGAGAATGAGAACTCTCTGCTGCCTAAAAGACAAGATTCCTTTTATTTAACTCCTAGAGTAATGTTCCAAAAAGCACAGGGCAAGATGAAATATATGTCATGTCAGCACAAACAGTCCCTTGCCAGCTATGGATTGAAACAGAGAGGCAATGTGGTTTAGGGTGAATGCATGCCGGACTTTGAGCGGGGAGGTGGTGAAAAACTCTGGGTGGTCGTGTCTAAGGCTCAGTCTTGCCCATCTTCATTTGGCAAATGATAACCTTTCATGTAGTACTTGTAGCCCTGGATCCACAGTAGGACATATGACAGTAGTGTTACAGACAAGTAGTCGTGATCATAAGCACATGTATGATCTTTGATCTGAATGGCTCCCACTTTGCACTAACTAGCTCAAAGATCTGGGTAAAATTGGATGGGCTATCCATCAAGTTCAGTGCCAGATCTCCAAATAAATACTTGTAGCCACGGCTGTATGTACTGAAATGTCACAATTCTGCGTCAAGAAAATGTGGGATCTCCAACCTCTATAAATTGGGTCACTCCGTGCTGTTTGCCCAATCCGATCTGTAATTTTATGGGATGTTAAGAACCCGAAGTTGTGGACTTTTGGCAATCTGCTACCACTTTTCAACCTTTTTTTTTTTTTTTTTTGCAACCAACAGGGCTAGAAACTTGCTTTCTCTTTTTAAAATGAAAGTTAAGATCAGATTTCTGCATACTGTCCTTCTTTGAAATTGCACAGCACGCACAGTCACGGTCATAGCACCCAGGATAAGGCCACTTTAAGAGTATTCCAATGAGTGTTTTTTGTTCTTAAATATTTATAGTGCAGTTGTGGCTGCAGTAACTGGGCCATGGCAGTATAACAGTGACTGGGCTCTAACTTGAGTTTAGGCATTGCAACTAATTCCAACCCAGCAGCCTCAAGAACTTAAGCCAACTGCTAGAGGCTGGAATCTTCCTTGTTTTATACATGCTAGAGAATGAAGCTTAAGATGAAGGAGATCTTCCTTTTGCCCTCCCTAGTTTGGCGCAATGACTGTAGAGCTGAAAGCGAAGAACAAGACCCTAGTGGAAGCAGAGAAGTCTGTGCCAAGGGCTCCTAACCTAGCAGAGATCTCCGCCTTGGACCCTCTGCACCAGGGGCAAGGCCTGAAAGCTGCAAGCAAGAGACGCAAAAAACAGCAGAAACGAGCAGGTAAAGGATGCCCAGAGTGGGCTTGCTGAATATCTGCAAATGTTTTTTTCCTCAGTTACTTCCTGGGAATCATCCTTCGAGTAAATTAAGGAACCAGAGCAAGCAAGGCTGTCCTCATGGAAAGATTTAAGAGCTGTCATTTGGTCATATTCCTTTTCTTTGTTGTGGGGGTAGAGTGGGAGTGGGAAGAGTGAAAAGATAAAATTCAAGATCCCCCATTTGGAATCTCCATCCCCAGTAGATGGGGACAGAGCCTTGCCCTCTGTAGCTTCTTCCCGGATCGGGTTCCAGAAGCCCGTGAATGTCCCACAACATAAGATTTCTGTGACAGAGCCTCCACTCTTCCTTTTCAGTAGTTCCCAGGCCTCAGGCACCCTTTCCTTGATACCCTTCAGTCCGTACACGGGAATCAGTTATTATGTCCCATCCGTGGAAACGATGTGCAAGGATTTCTGCTTGCACAGCAGGACTCTCCCGCAAATCCTCCCACCATTTGTTCATGGGGTATGGAAGGACCCCCAAAACAGTAAAAAAGGTAAAGGGACCCCTGACCATTAGGTCCAGTCGTGGCTGACTCTGGGGTTGCGGCGCTCATCTCGCTTTATTGGCCGCTTCTGGGTCATGTGACCAGCATGACTAAGCCACTTCTGGCGAACCAGAGCAGCACACGGAAATGCCGTTTACCTTCCCGCTGAAAGTATTTATCTACTTGCACTCTGACATGCTTTTGAACTGCTAGGTTGGCAGGAGCTGGGACCGAGCAACGGGAGCTCACCCCGTCATGGGGGTTCAAACTGCCGACCTTCTGATCGGCAAGTCCTAGGCTCTGGTTTAACCCACAGCGCCACCCATCCCAAAACAGTATGTGGAGGCATATTGTTTTATTTGGCCAGCCAAAACGATCAGAAAAGCACAACATTGAATTCCTCCCTGTATGATTTTTACTGTCATCTAATCTTCTCCTTCACAGCCAGGAGAAATGATGAAACATTTGCATGTACATCATTCACCTTTCCTCCCTCTCTTCAAATGCCGAGGGGACAAGACTGTCCTTCCCCATCAGTTTGTTCCATCAATAGCGGCTGCCTGAATCTGATTAGGCTTCTTCCCTGCAAACCTAAAATGGCCAGCCAGCTGCAGCTCCTCCTCCTTTGCTTGCAGCAGCACATTTTAGAAAAGAGACAAGAGGTTTCCAAGGATGCCATTCAGACATCTAACCCCTTTTTATCTTCTCCTCTTCTGCAGAGAAGATCGCCACCAAGCTCTCTGCAACGTTGACGGCAGCCATGAATTTCAGCTTGTCAGATGACTAGGAAAGGGTATTGTGCAGAAGAAGACGGTCGCAGGGAATTTGTTTACCTACCTCAGAAAGGCTGCTATCTGTGGCCTGCCACACTTGGCAGGAGGAGAAATCCCTTGCCTCCTACGATACTCACATAACATTGTGGGAATCGACAGCCTGAAGCCTATGCAAAACGCAGAGTTGTTTCTGTAAGAAACTATTTATTAACAGGTTAAAAATTTGAAAGCGTGAATAAATAAATCATGTCTCTAAAAGACCCTTTCCTCAGCTTTATATATGCTGCAGCAGACATAGCGAGACTAACTCTGGTCCATATCATCAGTTGTTCTTGGGCTACTGCATCTCTTTGCTTGCAGCTGGGAATGTGTCTCTCTTAAAGGGGCAGGCCTGAGAAGGTGACTCAAGGCACATGTCCATGTTACTTGCCAAAGCTCCACTGAGATGGGGATGGTAGAGGGGAAATGAAATTTCTTCTATATTAAGAGTGGAAGTGGTCTTGCTTTCAGTTCTTTCCCTTGAACAGATAAAAATTAAGATTAGCTGGGTTAAATAAAAGGGGGGCACTTCTAGACCCTAGACGCAGTGGTTCTCAACCTGTGGGTCCCCAGATGTTGTTGGACTACAACTCCCATCATCCCCGAGCTCTGGCCTTGCTAGCTGGGGGTGATGGGAGTTGTAGTGCAACAACATCTGGGGGCCCACAGGTTGAGAAAGGCTGCCCTAGAGTGTAATGTCACTGCCTGCTGCAGGTAGTTCAGGATCTTACAGAGAGGAGTCACTTCTATGCTAAGGTCCAGCAAAAGTCATTCCTGCTCTCATCATTGTCCCAATTCAGGGCATGGAATTCCACCAAAACACGCCCCAGAGTATTGTTCCTTTCCAAACTATTCCCACTCTGGCTGGAACTGAGGCTGCTAAGGTCCAGAGCTGGAAGCCGTAAGAGAAATCTCCCCTTCAGCCGCATAGGTGTATCCCTGGAGTCTTCTCATTCGCAAGCCCAGCTTTAATGATGGATTGGAGGGCGAGGCACTTCCAAGGATCTCTGGCTCCGAAGGCTGCACTGCAGAGCCTGCAACAAGTGAGAGATTTGGCTTAAAGTGCCCTTCTGAGCACCTTTGGTTTTGTGGTCCTGCTTTTTGAACCATTATAAGACAAAAAACAGGATTTTCGAAGCTAGAAAACTACATTACTTCCAGTGCATTGTGAGCAGCATTCGAAAGGCAAATTACACATAGCAGAGATATGCTAAAAGAGTACTGAAAACATGCCTGAGATTCCAGGATTGCTTCCTCTGCTGTTTAATTACCACAGCTACACACTAGATTGAAGCCTGGTCATAGAGTAGTCCCTGCCCCAAATGTTTAAGGGTCTCTGAACTGATGCTGCAAGAACCTTGTTTCTCAGAATCTGCACTGGACTCCCAAGTTAGAAGCTGTACCACCGGCTGCAGTAGGACTGCAGCAATGCAGTACTGTGTCAACATTTTTTAAAAGTCATCTTCTCTCAAGAACTTTAAACTGTTATATGAATCAATTAAGTTTACAAGAAGGTGATTTTGTTTTGTTTTTGTATTGGCTACCAATGCAAAATTATTGCATTGGCATGCATAATTCTAAACCCTAAAACTTAACATTTTAGCCATGAGAGGTCTGTTTGCAACAAAACACTGCATTCCGCACTGTGATGACAGACAGCATGCAGCTGGCCCTAGTCTCATGCCACCATTCCACAAAAATACACAAAAAGTACTTTTCACCCTATGGTTCCTAAGTCCCTGTGGCTTGAAATATACACACACCGGGTGTGTGTGTGTGTTGAGTTAAGGTTTCCATGGAGGGAGAGAGATTTCAACCTTGTACATCTCCTTCCCCTCACCCTTCCTAGAAAATCTAAATTATGCAAAGCACTGCACCATTATACTAAGTGAAAGAAGCTATGCAAGCTAACAGAAGATGAGTCCTGCTGAACTGAAGGGCTCACCTATTCCCATGCTATAACTGGGACAGGAGCTTTGAACTGTCAGCTCAGATTTGCAAAAGAACACACACGATTCAGTCTTGTTCCTGCTTTCCTTAATTGAATAAAGTGACACATCAAAAAAATTATAGATGAAAGGAGGAATTGGGGTCGGGGGAAGTTTGTCCTCACAAACTAATCTCCCTGATAGAATTCTGTGTGTTCTCCTTGTGTCTTGGGAGCCCAATTCTTTGCCGCTTCAGCTTAACACAGGCATTCCCAAACTCTGCCCTCCAGATGCTTTGGGACTACAATTCCCATCATCTCTGACCACTGGTCCTGTTAACTAGGGATGATGGGAGTTGTAGTCCCAAAGCATCTGGAGGGCTGAGTTTGGGGATGCCAGGCTTAACACCCATTCTGCTGTCAGGGCTCCCTGACAACATGCATGTGCACCCCTGCTGCTTTGGGAAGTTTATAAAGGACAAAGAGCCCTGGACAGTTAAGTCCAGCCAAAGGTGAGCAAAAGCTCATCTCGCTTTTCAGGAAGAGGGAGGATTGCTTCAGTCTCCTATCCACTATTACTTTTACCCCCCTTTTTTTGGTTCCAGGTCCCCTCGCACATAATACACCCACTCACGTTAGTAATAATTGATAGAATCAAAAAGGGGTTCCGAGTTCCGATGCTACCACTTTGATTAATTAGAGTCAAAGTAAAAGGGGTTAGGGGCAAATCCTTTGAAAACCAATTCCTAGTGCTGTGCTTGGAAACAGGAGGCTAATCTTTTCTTGTTCTCTCCCTGCCCGCCTTTGCTCGAGTCTAATCCATAGGGCAGACTTCCTCCAAGTGACCCAAAGTGGAACTTTGGTTTCCAGCTGTTGGGTTTCTGTGCATATCCATAGCATATGCAGTGAACTCACCTGCTCCAGAGGTACAGGGATTGCCAGCGGCTGGGCAGCGACATTCCTAGTCCGACTGCGCTGGCGGGACCGGGAGCGTCGCGTGCGGGATGGAGAACGTCGCGTGCGGGATGGAGAACGCCCCCTCCGCTTGGGGCAGCTAGCCCACATTTCTTCCACTGAAAGGGAAAAAATGGCAGACTGTTGGTTGCTCCAGAAGTGATATTTAGGCAAGAGAAGCAACTTCACCCCAAAGACAGTTTCAGCGTATCCTCACAGGTGGCTTATGGTTACTATCCCTTTTGAATTACCAAGTCACTACTTTTTCTAGTATCAGCTAGAAGTGGGATTAAAGCAGAAGATCCACAGATCACTTGTTGACAGATCTATATTACCCAGCAATATCCTTCCTTATGGCCAAGAACCTGTTATGGTGCTTACTAAAAAGCTAGTCCCATTCAGCAAAGGTCCTTTGCAACATTCATTAAAAGTTTCCTGCTTGCTGGGGTACTAGTCAACAGGAATAAAAGAAATGGGCAGACCCAGCAAGCAGGAAATTATTTAATGGCACAGGAGCCCTGAAAACCCTCAACCACATTTTTGCTGTTGACGTTGGGGGTGGCCGTCATGATGCTGCTCAGATGCTATTGAACTCCCAACGTCCATCAGTCCAAGCCAGCATGGTCAAGGGTCAAGGATGATGGGAACTTCACCGGCATCCCTGTACCACACAGCAGTGGTAGGGAGCCTGGTCCCCTCCCCAATTACTGCTGGACCACAACTCCCATCATCCTGATCACTGGGAATGTTGTCTTGTGCTGCTTGAGTTGGGGTCCCAACATCAGGAGGGCCACAGGTTCCCTAGCCCTACTGCAACTGATCTTTTTGAACATGCCACGAACCAGGTGGGTCCAGGACAAGGATACGGAAAACACAAGAGGGAAAGCAGGGATAATGCTGGAATGCAATGTTTTGGAACGGACAGTTTGATGCTCCACAAGAGCGAACAAACAAACAAACAAATGTACAGCAATTCCATAGAAAGGGGCAAGTGTGGATGCAAGCTGTGTCAAAGCCAACTTGTTTTAGCTGGCAGGGTGGGAAAAACAAAAGCCTGCCACAAACCAAAAGTTAAAGCACAACATTTTAGCAATTGATAGGACATGAGTTATTGGATTTCTTCATCTCGCAGGGGGTCGACCTGGCTTGTGTGACGGAGACCTGGGTGCGCGAAGGGGAAACTGTTACCTTACGAGAGATGGCGCCCCCGGGTTTCTCCGTCCTCCACCAGTCGCGGACTGTGGGCCGGGGGGGAGCGGTGGCATTATTAATCCGGGAAGATTGTTCTTTCAGGGCTCTACCATCGCCATCGATCCCCGGCATTGAATGTGTTGGCCTAGTGTGGGGCTCCGAGAGAGCTTGGCTGTCTGGCTGGTGTACCGGCCACCTAGCGCACCAGCAGCCACCCTGTCAGACCTGCTGGAGGCGGTGGCCGGCTGGGCCTTGGAGTTCCCTAACCTATTGGTATTGAGGGACTTCAACATCCATGCTGATGCCACTCCCTCCTCACAGGCTCTGGACCTTGTGTCTTCCATGGCGACACTAGGGCTCTCCCAGTTTGTTTCGGGCCCCACATATCAAGCAGGCCACACGCTGGATTTGATCTTTGGCGTCGGTATAGATGTGATCATGTTTCCTTCGATGAAGGTGCCGTGGTCTGATCACTACGCTCTGAAAGCCAGGGTTGACGTTCCACCCCCACCCTGCTTAGGTGGCGAGCCAATTTGGGCTCGCCCGCAGAGGCTGATGGACCCTGATAGATCCCTGATAGTCAAGCCTTGCGGGACCTTTCTCCCCCTGGCGACTCATTGACTGAGCTTGTTGAGGGCTGGAATACCCAGCTCCTGGCAGCCATCAATGAGATCGCACCTAAGCACCCTCTGTGACCCCGCAGAAACTGGGCTCCCTGGTTTACCGAGGAGCTCCGGAAAATGAAGCGGGACCTCAGACGACTACAGCGAGTATGGCGGGGTGCCCGTGACGGAGCCTCAAGAACATCTTATAGGGCTTTTATGAAAACCTACGAGATGGCAGTGAAGGCCGCTAAGAAGTCCTACTTCTCGGCCTCCATTGCATCCGCTAGCTCTCACCCGGCGCAATTATTTAGTATAATTCGGTCTTTAACGTCCCTCGAAGGACAGCCAAATTTAAATAACAATTTGACACACAGCTGTGAGGCATTTGCGAGCTTTTTTTGCGGAGAAGGTCCTGTTGCTCTGCCATGACCTCCCTGCCAATTTGGATACAATAAAGGAACTGGAGGCCCCTCGACTGTCCTCGGGTCCAGTATTGGACCACTTTGACCGGATATCCCCAGCCGATGTGGACAGACTCCTCCGAGCTGGAAAGCCCACCACCTGTCCTCTTGACCCGTGCCCGTCCTGGCTGATTAGAGCGTGTCCAGACGAGGTGCGGGCCCCCCTGGGGGGTATCATCAATTTGTCCCTTGGCACCGGGACATTCCCAGGGGAACTGAAGGAGGCAGTGGTGCGCCCGCTTTTAAAGAAAACATCATTAGATCCCTTAGATCTATCCAATTACCGCCCGGTTTCGAATCTTCCATTCCTGGGTAAGGTGATTGAGAGAGCGGTTGCTGAACAGCTTGGTAGGTTTCTGGATGAAACATCGGCTCTGGATCCATTCCAGTCCGGCTTCCGCGCTGGTCATGGGACCGAGATGGCTCTGGTCGCCCTAACAGATGATCTCCGCAGGCAGCTGGATCGAAGCGGGTCGGAGCTGCTGATTCTTCTAGACCTGTCAGCAGCCTTCGACATGGTCGATCACAAACTCCTGGACCACCGCCTTGCCGATGTGGGGATCCAGGGCACAGTCCTTCAATGGCTGCGCTCGTTTCTCTCTGGTCGGGGACAGAGGGTGGCACTTGGGGGGGGAATTGTCATCCTGCCACTCCTTGGTGTGTGGAGTGCCTCAGGGTGCGATACTCTCCCCGATGCTTTTTAACATCTTTATGCACCCCCTCGCCCAGCTTGTCCGGAGTTTTGGGCTGGGCTGCCACCAGTATGCTGATGACACCCAACTCTATCTGTTGATGGATGGCCATCCTGACTCGGCCCCAGACACACTGATCAGATGCTTGGAAGCTGTGGCTGGATGGTTACGTGGGAGCCGGTTGAAGTTAAATCCTTCGAAGACAGAGGTCCTCTGGCTGGGACGGGACGATATGGGATTGAGGGGGCAACTCCCATCTCTTGCGGGGGTGCAATTAGTGCCAGCACCGTCCGTTAAGAGTTTGGGTGTAATCTTCAATACCTCCCTCTCCATGGAGGCGCAGATTGCAGCTATAACAAAGGCGGCATTTTTTCATCTCCGCCAAGCTAAGCAGTTGGCTCCTTACCTCTCTCGCCCTGACCTAGCCACTGTGATCCATGTGACGGTCACCTCCAGACTGGATTATTGTAACTCGCTCTATGTGGGGCTGCCCTTGAGACTGACCCAGAAACTCCAGCGGGTGCAGAATGCCGCAGCGAGACTCCTTACGGGGTCTTCGCTGCGAGATCACATTAATCCGGTGCTATACCAGCTGCACTGGCTCCCGGTGGAGTACAGGATCAGGTTTAAGGTGCTGGTTTTAACCTTCAAAGCCCTATACGGCCTAGGACCCTCGTACCTACGGGACCGCCTCTCCTGGTATGCCCCACAGAGGAACTTACGGTCTTCAAATAAAAACATCTTGAAGGTCCCAGGCCACGGAGAGGTTAGGCTGGCCTCAACTAGAGCCAGGGCTTTTTCGGCTGCGGCTCCAACCTGGTGGAACGCTCTGTCACAAGAGACAAGGGCCCTGCAGGACTTGACATCTTTCCGCAGGGCCTGCAAGACAGAGCTGTTCCGCCAGGCCTTTGGTCGGGGCGCAGCCTGACTCCCTCCTTTGGCAATCTTTATAGGACTTTAGTTATGGTTGCCATCAATTTTGATTTTAATTAATTTATAATGTTTTTATAATGTTGCACTATTTTAGTGTTGTTAGCCGCCCTGAGCCCGGCTTCGGCTGGGGAGGGCGGGTTATAAATAAAAATTATTATTATTATTATTATTATTATTATTATTATTATTATTGGAACAGTCTGGCTGAACAGATAGGTCTTTGCCTGGTACTGAAAAGACCATGGGAATGGTACTAGGTGAATTCTCTCTGGAAAAGCTGTTCCATAACTGGGGGCCACTATTGGAAAGGCCCTTTTCCTGGTGGTTTCATTCGTCAGGGGCAGGATTACATTAACCTGTGGGCCTCCGGATGTTACTAGACTCCAATTTCCAGTAGCCCCAGGCAGCATGGCCAATGGGAGCTGGAGTACTGCACCACCTGGAGACCCCTAGGTTCCCCACCTCAGAAGCACAGCAGCAGTAAGAGACAGCTTTCAACACAATTGTGTTTGTGGTCTGTTCTGCCTCCTAAATGCTGCTTCAACCTCCTACAAGGTAGGTTAGGCTGAGAGAGAAAAAGAGAGAATTTGGCTCAAGACCACCCAGTGAGCCTCACTGGGATGTTGGAATTTTAAAGAAAGTTTTTTCTGCTTCAAGACCAGTGCTTCAGCCTCCCCTTGCCCCAGCACACCAGCTCTCCACCTGCCACCTTCCAGTTCCTTCCTAATACAGTGGACGCTCGGGTTGCGAACATAATGCAAATGTACGGGAGGTACATTTGCAACTCGCAGTGTTTGCAACCCGCAGTGCTGGGTCTGTGCACACGCAGGTTGCAAATTGACGCTTTTGCGCATGCGCAAAGCATGATTTAGCGCTTCTGTGCATGCGCGACTGCCGAAACCCGGAAGTAACCTGTACTTCTGGTTTTGGCACGTCTGTAACCCGAAAAACGCAACCTGAAGCATCTGTAACCCAAGGTATGACTGTAAGTCACTCACTTTTCTTCTGGTCAGCCCTGCGTTCCTTTACTTCCGTTGCAGTTCTGTGCTGTGAGCAGGGCAGCAGCTTTGGGAATCCTGAGTCCGTGAATTCCTTGTTCTCTGCATTGACCTCGGAGTCCAGAAGCAGGAGCTCTGGTTTCGGCAGTAGCCTCTCTGCAAGCAGAGATCACACACAAGCTGAGCAGAAAACCTCCAAGGTCTGTGGAGTGCAAGTGTAAAAGGAAGCTGCAAGCCAAGAGGCTCCTGGGTCAAAATATGCTACATCACTAAGGGAACAATGAGGCTCAACAGTGTGGTGTAGTGGTGAAGAGCAGTGGACTCGTAATCTGGTAAACCGATTCCCTGCTCCTCCACATGCAGCTGCTAGGTGACCTTGGGGGTAGTCACACTTCTCTGAAGTCTCTCCGTCTCACTCACCTCACAGAGTGTTTGTTGTGGGGGAGGAAGGGAAAGGAGATTGTGAGCCGCTTTGAGACTCCTCAGGGTAGTGATAAAGCGGGATATCAAATCCAAACTCTTCTTCTATAACTGATCCGAAGGCAACGTGGAGTTTAGGAAAGGCTACTAGAGGGTAACCCATACATAATCCACCCAGACTTGCTCTACTTTCTTCACAGCCCATTTCCTGGTCACTTCTAGAGAGGCAACCTTGCTGTTGCTGGACCTTGAGACCCTGACTCAGCACTTTTGCGAGGCAAGGGGGAAGAGGACATGGGGGGATGCTCTGTGATGGTTGCTAGGCAACTGCAGCACTCTGTTCTCCAGCCACCCCCACACCTGCTATTTGCAATGAGTTGTGTACATGCATAGGTTCCCTTTCAAAATGGAAAAATGTTCGTCGCGTGAGCACCCAGACTCCTTGAGATGGGGAGGAATCAGTCACTGGGAACGTCAGTGCACACTCAGGAGGAACAGAGTCAGGCCAGGTTGGCCTGGGGTCCCAGTAACAGCTTCTGCCCTTTTCTTAGCTCCCATCTGCTAAGGCACTGCTGTCCAAACTTTTTTCAAAGAGGGCCAGATTTGATGAAGTGAAGCGCTGTGAGGGCCGACCAAAGTTGTTGAGCTTTTTGGGGGTTGAAATTGTTCAGCTTTTTTAGGGTTGAAGTTGTTGGAGATTTTACTCCAGAAAATAAGCTGCCACAGGGGCTGGATTGAACTGACTGGCAGGCTGGATTAGGCCCCTGAAACTGACTTTGGACATGCCTGTGGTAAGGAAAGCCTCACATGCCCTCTCCAGGTCTTATGCGAGGGAATTCAGTGCTGATAGGAGGGCCTACGGGATGGATTTTAATGGCTGGGAGAGGATATATTCATTGCCATTTATCCCTCCAGGCACCCACATGTGTGGGTTGAACAGAGTTTCAAAATCCCACTCTTGGCAGCAAAATTGAAAGCATAGGAATTAGGCTGTAATGCCTTGTTTTGAGCAACTCCAGCTATGAAGGAAGCTGGCACCCCCCTTCTTAAACCACTTAGCAAAGAATCAGGTAAGAACTTGTAAAGCAAGTTTTAAAATAACTTGTACTTACTTTATGATCATGCATTGGTTCACAGCAAAGGCAGCAATAAAAACTATGCAGGCAAAATTATTATATTTACTGTATACCCACTTTAGGAATACACCTTATGCTGGAGCCAGCAGAGGCATGTCCACATCCAATAAGAGAGAGAGGAACAGGAAGTACGATACTATATGCTTCTTCCTTTCCAGGAGAGGAGGGGAAATGACATCACACAAAGCCCTCTCTACCAATTGTATTTCTCTGGTCTGAGTGTCTGCCTATCAGCAATACAGCTCTGTGGACTTAGCCCCCTTTCATGCTGACTAGCAAGAATATGCATTTGTTTGGCTTGGTTGCTAATTTCCCAGAGAGCCCTCTCCTAAAACCACCCTACCTGTTTCTTGCAGAAGCCTCTGGATCTCTGTCCGGGTCTGCTGTAGACTTTGCAGTACCTCTTGGTTCTGTTTGGCTGGGTCTTTGTAGATCCAGATAAAATAAGTCACCACAGCGAAGCCCAGACCAGCAAAACCTCGACGGGATAGGCCCACCCAGAAGGAGATTCTCTCCTAAAGTGAAGAGAGACAAGTCAATGCAACCAAAGACACACAGATCGTCATATAGTGTAAGAAGGAACACAATCCTTGAGTTCTGCCTAAAACATCAGCCTTCCCAAAGTACCTTTCCAGTTCTGGGGCATTCTCATCAGCCAGCTTCATCAGAACCGGCCCTAACCTTAGGGGGAGTGAGGCAGCTGCCTCCCTTGCCTCAAGCAACAGGTGTTGGGGGCAGGCAGTGTGGCAGGAGGGTGTTGTGGAGCAATGCTGTGACAGCCACGTGGCCTGATGCCCTCAGGTACGGTGTTTGGTAGACACGGTCCTGCAGTGTTGCAGTAAGAGTCTACGGCCAGCCCAGTCAACTCTGGTAAAATGGAGGGCGGTGGAAATGCCAGCTTGTCCTTTGCCCCACGAGGCAAAATGTCATGGGTCAGGCCTGGTCCTCATCCTGGTGAGTCAATGTAAAAGAGGACAGGGTTGCTGTGCTTTTTAGTAGTTATAAGGGGTAGAAACCTGACCTACATTATTTCAAGCATCAGCTGGAAAATTAAAATTTAAGTAAATAATAACTAACTTGTAAAATTCACTGGTTGCTAATAGCATGAGTTACTTTTAGCAATAATTAGGCACATGAGCTAGATTCACGGGTGGCTTAACTTGTGGCCCTCAGGTGATGTTGGGACCCCAACTCCCATCAGCCGCAGCTGGCGCAGTCAATAGTGAGGAATTATGGGTGTTTTAGTTCAAGAGCATCTGGAGGGTGACAGGTTGCCCAGCCCCAAGCAAAATGGAACCTACATTTGTGAGTTCCCCAAAGCATCTTGCCTGCCAGTCTAGCCTTGATCCTACTTAGCAAGGTAGTACTTAACAAAAAATATGGTTATTTAAGGCTGCTTAATCTGCATAATTTACACAGGTTGCAAAATCCAGTTTTTCTTGGTGGAAAATGTGGGTCACCTTGGTGCTGAATTTAGATTATTTTTTTTAAAGAATAACAAAAACAGCACACGCCCAGAACATACACAGCCCTTGGCCCTGTCCTCTGCTGCACTTGCTCAGCTCACCATCATCACAGGCTGCCTTCCACTGATCCAGCCAGATATACAGCTTTAAGAATTCCCTCTCCTTATTTAAACTGCAACATGCAGCCACTCCTCTATAGTCCCATTTAATGCAGATTTGGTTGGCAGTGGCAGCAAAACAACTACAGGGACCTAGGAATTTACAACAGCCCCACCCCTGGAATGCAAGCACAGGGCAGCGCAGGGGTAGGGATGGCCAACTGTGGTCACGTCTAGCTTCCACCTTCAGGAAAACCGGATAAGGTGGGATGGAGAATGGATTTAAGGATATGCTAAACAAAACGCTTTTCATCACCAGAGAAGTTCTTAAAAAAAACCAACCCAAAACTTTTAAGAGGTTTCTTAAAAGACAGGCCGGTAGTGTTGCCGGATTGCTGAGAAAAAGAAAGATACGAACTGGGCTGCTGTTAATTGGACGGCAGCCTTATTATACAGGTTTTACGACAGAGTTGGTGATTCATGTATCTCGGGCATCTTTCAGGAATGCAAACAACAATTAGTGTGTGGGGAACCTCAGGCCCTTCCTCCTCACCTCGCTTCCTCCTCACATGATCAGTGAGCATATTAACCTCAGGACTATTATTGCTCATAGAGATAACAGGACAATTTTCAGCCTGAAAGTAGATTTGGCTGGGGGCAAAGTCTTGTTGTTGGACTGTAGCCCTGCAGCAGAGGGACCAACAGAGTTGCGATCTGTCCTCCCAACTCCCTCTTCCTCCTCCTCCATCCCTCTTGCTTATTTTTGTTTTGTTCTAACTACAGTGGTTTAAAATCCATTAGCAGCAACCTGAAAGAACAAGGTGAGAGGCAGGAGGGGTGCAATTCAGTGGGACTGCCAGCATTTGGTAGATAATATATTAGCACCTGGACCGGGTCAAGGGGACACAGCCAGGCCAGATTCGGAGGTGGGGCAACATGCCTTTGTCTACCCACCCTACATAAGAACCCAGAAGTAACGGAGCGCAGAAGCGGCAAAACGCGACATGCGCAGACGTGCCGTCACGTCTTACGTTCTATTCAGGATGCGAACGGGGCTCAGGAACGGATCCCGTTTGCATCCTGAGGTACCACTGTATATTGTTTTAATTCTAGCTCTTATGGTTTGAGAAATGTAACTTGAGAAACAGACTTGGGGAAATAGGATCCAGTCCAAGGGCCAAATCTTTATCTCCCCCATGGGCCAAGTGTCCAAAATGTAACTTGTCATCAGTGTGCAATCAATATTTGTATCCTTGTTTTTCAGAAGAGCTCAGAAGGGGTGTTTTAACCTCACAACAGCAGTGTGACATAGATTAGCCAAGAGAGTGTCACCTGCCCAGGACCAAAAATAAAAAAATAAAAAATAAAAGTAAAGTAAAGTAAAATAAAATATAAAATAAAATAAAAGTATGGTGTGCCTGGGGCCTGGCTTTTCAGTCCCCATAAGACAAGAATGGACAAACATCAGTTGTCCCAGATATTGCTGGATTAAAACTCCCATCGCTCCTGGCCATTGGGGCCCCACTGGCTGGGGATGAGGGAGGCTGGGCATCTAAAAGCATCTAGGTAGCACCATGTTTCCCATTCCTTTTGTAACCATTGCGGATGGATAGTACTATCCAGATGCCCTGGAAAAAGTTTCTGCTCAGCACCTGGTGTTCACAAACCTGCCAGTTTTCAGGAACATTGGTAGTGCCAGTGTAATAATTGTTGGCCTGAAACGCTGCAAGCTCTCTGTTGGGTCAGTACTCCAGTCTTTCAAGTCATTGGTGCAGTGGGGAGCGCGATGGGAGATCAGGGTTCAAATCCTCACTCAGCCAAGCAGCTTACTTGGTGACTTTGGGGGCTATTCACTGCCTCTTTGCCTAGCCTACCTCACAGGGTTGTTACAGCGAATGAACGAGGAGTGGGGAGAACCATGTACACCACCTTGAGATCCTTGGAGGAAGAAGGTGGGACATAAATGCATTAAATAAATATAAAATAAATACCATGGTTGTTTATCTCCCGCTCTGTTTGGCAAATGTGTCACGTGCAGCAGGGGTCAGGGAGGGAGGGATAGTTTTTATTTAAAAATAAAAATGAAATGAAAAGCCAGTTTTTAGATCTTACGGCATTGAAATAGATGCTTGAAAGTGCCTGCAAAACACTACCTGGCAAAGCTTGACAAGCCAGGAAGGTGGCAGAGAGAGATTTCCCCTCCCCGTCCACCTCCAGTGCGGACGTCTTCCCGTGACAAGTGTGAGGGTGACACCACAGTGCCGTGGGGAAAGGGGGGGGGCCGAGGCTCCCATCAAGCCACCTACGCTTGAAGGGCGAGACGGGGCCTCACAAGAAATCAGCATCAAATTGTCACTCCAGGGGCAGCTTGTTTGGGGAGATGCACCTTGCCCTGCTCCCTCCCCTGCCCCACACTCCAACTCAGATTCCATTAGTGCAGGAAGAGGCCGTACCGTCAAGTCCTGGCCCCCGTCCCCTTCATCCATCAGAAGGCTGCAGATGACACGCTCTAGGTAAATGTTTGCTCCCACCAATGTCAGCAGAGGAAACCTGGAGACAGAAAGGGGGGGCATTAAGAGAAGGAAGTGCTTTAGGACAGCAGCAAGAATATTGATAGCCAGCTACTGGAAAGGAAATAATATACCAACAAAAAGAGAATGGCTAAATAAACTATGTGAGTACCTGGAGTTAGCTAAATTGACGGACTTAATAAGGAGAAAACCTAAAAACATGGTACAGAAAGAGTGGGATTGTTTAAATGAATACTTACATAAACAGGGCTCAACTAAGAAAATTTGGTTGTGTTTAGACTAACCTTGTGCGGATCTTAAAGAATGTAAAGAATTTAGTGAATTACGGAAGATCTTAAGGGATCTTAAGGGATGGAAGTAAAGAACAGAGGTAAAGGTGAACTAGTGTATTTTTTGCTCTATAAGACTCACTTTTTCCCTCCTAAAAAGTAAGGGGAAATGTGTGCGCGTCTCATGGAGCGAATGCAGGCTGCGCAGCTATCCCAGAAGCCAGAACAGCAAGAGGGATCGCTGCTTTCGCTGCACAGCGATCCCTCTTGTTCTGGCTTCTGAGATTCAGAATATTTTTTTCCTTGTTTTCCTCCTCCAAAAACTAGGTGCGTCTTATGGTCTGGTGAAACGAAAGAGCGAAAAATACGGCAAATAACAAAAGACGTGTGGTTTAGGCGGTGGAAGTCTTTTAAAAATATTTTAATTAAGATTTGCATTTTACAATGTGTGTAAGTATAAATTTGGTATTGTTGTTTATGGAAAGTAGCTTTCTTTTTTCTTTTCTTTTTCTTTCTTTTCTCTTTTCGTTTCTTCTTTCTTTTTATCTTTTTTTGCGGTTTTCGTATGCCAAGTATGTAAATAATTGTGTTTTTGCAGATGTGTTTGGAAATTTGATTGTATTATTCAATAAAGTTATTAAAAAAAAAAAAGAGGAGGTGGGCATTTTAAGGGCTTGCCCACACTTCTGCTCGTCTCATGCCTAGCAAGCACGGGGCCAAGTGGGTTTTCTTTTCCAAGAGAAAACCCACTCTTTAGCTCTAAGTCAAATGGCAATCCCAAGAAAACGTGATTTGCCCTTTCCTCTAACTAAGCCGTTTCCCCCCAATGAAACCCTAAGCTTCACCAGGTCCCTGGCTTGTGCCCAAGCAGGGACTGCTATCTGGTACCCAGGGCCCAATCTTTGCCTTCTGAGAGCCTTAGCTTTCTTTTTAAAGGCAGCTTGTTTCTAGCACTTATTGTGGGGAAATAAGTTTGGAAATGGGAAACCAGGCTTATGGGACCAGGGGTGCAAACTTGAATAAACTATGGGGGGCTGGAGCAGGTAAGCCCCACCCCACATAACTGATCACAAGACATGGGACATGCACACCATTTGAATGGCAATGCCCATCAACTTGCGGGGGCAGCCCAGTAAAATAATTTATTGGGGAGGACGAAAGGACCTCAGCCCCTAAGAGTTGGCTCCTATGCTAGGGACAATGGACAGTTTAGGTGTGCAAAGTACAGTGGTACATGCTGTCTTTCCCCCTCACCCGCTGCCACCCACACAAAACTCTAAACACCTAAATATTAGAAACAGAATCTTGCAGTGTTTATCTATGCATAATTTATTGGTCTTGCAAGAATGTATTTAGAATCATGGGCTTTTACTAAGAGCTAGAGCTACTTAACTGCTGAACCACTGTGGGCCAGGCAAGAAATTTCAGGAAAACAGAAATCTGTGTTCTGCACAGTAGGGCCAGCGTTCCTGAACCTGTTATGTAGTGAAGTTCTCACCCTGGGCCAGCAGGGGGATACTGTAGATAGTTATGCAAATGAAGGATCGAAAAGTGACGTTCAGTGATTGGATAGATTTAGAAAATGGCAACAGTTGCATTGTTCTGGAGCTCTATATAAGCAGGCTGACTGAGCTCCTCAGCCTAGTTCTGTTCCAGCTTACAAAATAAAGAGCTGCTTTGGAAGAATCGCTGTGTCGTCGGATATGTTCGCCCACCACTTAACAGAACCTGTGGCTCTCCAGATGATGCCAGACTCCAGCTTCCATCATCCATGACCACCACCCATGCAAGTTGGGGATGATGTGATCTAACAACATATGCAGGGCCACAGGCTCCCCATCCCTCCTCGACTGGGTCTTGAATCTATGCTGGCGACCAAAAATGCATCACAAACAAAAGGAGCACATCTCACCATAGTGGGCAACACTGACCTGTGTGCCTTCTCAGTCTCCATCGAATTGCTAACTGTTTATTGGGGACTTCAAGGCCCCATCCTGCTCTCCATTCTTAAGGTTCTTGATCTTTATTTTTTTTTTTAAGAATAATTTTTTATTAACCGACCAATCACATCAAATCAAACCAAATTACATAAATTCCAAATTACACAGCCGAATTTTAAATTTTTGTTGGGGGTACCCATATTTCAAGTTCCGAAGGGATCCAATCAACTTCTTGCTTCTTACTGCTGTTTTAATGTCCACAAATCTAACCTTATGATGCTCACAGTACTATCCAGTCCTTTCTTCTTGTTTTTCCACATCTCTTGTTGTTATTTTCATATATTTTTCCTTTCTCTTTGTGACCTCTGATAGTCTCCGCAAGCTGGTTAGAACAGTTTGTAATCCTGCGTGGATATTATTTTTTTTATCCAGTAGCCATATCCAGACGTTTTCCATATAACATCACTTCCATACATCAAAACAGTCTTAGCATCATTAATCTTCACCAATCTGCCTTCTTTCTCAAAACCTCTGAGGAGATTCACTAGGAATGCAGTCTGAAAACAAATCCGTTCTTCCTCCCGGCTATAAATCCTTTGGCAAGATGGCGACTCCAAATTAATTGCTGCGCCATTCCCAAAAGCTCTTATTGCTTCTCGGTCTCCATAAAGCATACTTTTGGTTAAAGTTTATCTCCACACAGACCTTAATCATCCTGCTTGGGTCAGTTCAACCGACGGTTCTAATGAGGAGGGGTTCTTGTAGGTGTATCTTCATCGTAAAATATTCCTGTTTCTCCAGCCCGTCGTCTTCTTTCGCAGAGGTCAGTTAAATTAGCAGACTTCACTCCCCTTCTTCACTTGAAATATATGCATTTGCTTCTTTTGTAATTAATTATTCCAAATTGCTGCAACTAGTGCGCGATCAGAGACAGTGTCCAGGAGAGCCGAGGTCCACACGGGGGGCATTCTGCCTAGGGCCCTCACCCCATTCTTTCGAATTAGGGAGTGATTTATGGGCACAGCAGGCAAGGGCAGTGTTCCCCATTTCCTTGGGGCAACAAGGGAGGCTGCCTTCCCATAACAGCCTCTTAATTACCCCGTGTGGGTCGGAGAGATGGTATTGTCGGCCATCTTCCAATGCACCCCCTAGTGGCCCCCCAGGTTCTTGATCTTTAAAGTGGACCTTCAAGTAGAATAAGGGATCGCCAGGGGTTCATCCTGCTCCTTCCTCTACTGCAATTAGTCTTGAAAAAAGCCAACTCTTGTTGGTCACAGCTGGAAAGAGGTTTGCCGTCCCCTCCCTGGCTGTGGCCCCACCCACCAAACACACCCACCTGGACTGCAGCAAGTAGGCATGCAAGAAGCCTTGCACTGGCAGCAATCAAAAGCTTTTTTCAAAGTTAATTGGGAAGGGCATTGGGGGAGAGGAGTGATATTCCTGGGGGAGGATCAACTCTCCTCCCCTTGCTAAAAATACTGGGCTTGGAAAAGTGAAAACACCTTTCTTACACCTAATTGCTGGGAGAACGGAAGAATCAGGACCTTTTTTTCAGCCAGAAATCACCCGAACTCAGTTCCAGCACCTCTCAGGTGGGCACCATTGCCATTCTAAGAGAACATGCTGAATTCCGGCACCTCTTTTTCTAGAAAAATAGCACTGAGAAGAATATGTGTGTTTTAGGGGGGTATGTTGCCAATGGCAGCTTCTTGGATTTCCAGATGTGCCCATAGTCCTAATAAGGTGGCCAATGCCTGGAATAAGAGGGCTGTTTAAAAAATGAGGTACGCAGCAGCCCTGCCGGAAATCCTCCCATCCCATCTCTCAAGCCAGCCTCCGTGTTTTGATCAGACTGGAGTGTCTGTCCGCCAGGGGGATCTTTTGCATCTTCCATCCACACCCATTTCCTTACCGTGCTCCTGCAGTCCGTTGGCTAGAGGTCAGCACCAGGCTGGCAGCCCCACTTAGGAGATGGAAGAAGACCGAGTAGAGAGCGCTGGATTCCCCAACGACAAAGCGGTGCAGAAATGTAACCCGGTTGAAGATCTCAGCAAAGGCTACTCGCTGCTCAAAAGCCGAATCCTGCAGTTCTTGGAAGGCCTGGCGCACCCCTGCAGAGGAGAGAGGCAAGCCAGCAAGGTGCCATCCACATTCCTCTCCCAGCTAAAACCAGAAACTAGGTGGAAACAGAACGTAAGCATCCCATTTCCATTTGTTCCACTTATTATCTCCCCTCTGTAAGCCATATGTTTTGTCCCACACAGATGATACAGAGCATAGGGCATGCAGATATGTATTTATTTTAAAGTATCACTTCTTTCTCCTGCTTGCTGCAACTCTGAAAAGAAACTCTCTCACATTTTACAGTACTACCAGAGGCAGAGGCAGTGTGTTGTCAGGTGATCTTTGGTAATCTTTCGTAATACAGTGGTACCTTGGGTTACAGACGCTTCAGGTTACAGACTCTGCTAACCCAGAAATAGTACCTCGGGTTAAGAACTTTGTTCTTTTCCAAAAGAAAAAATTATGAATTTTCCAACAAAATTTAAACAAACAAACAAACAAACAAACAAACATATATCTTAACTGTACTTAATCCAATCTTAATAACATTGCTGAGTGACTTCCTCGAATCCCCATGGCTGAGTTTCAGTGTATATCATTGTAACAATTTTCCAAAACCAATTTTCTCATAAAATTAATTTAATCACTTAACATCTTTCTTTCTTTCCATTTTATCTTTAAACATATTATTCTCTAACATTACATATTTAAATCCTAAGCCTATCTGGTATTTGCAAGTTTTTCCAATTAAGTTATCTTAACATATTTAGCTTCAGGATATTTGCTTCAGGGTGAGAACAGAAATCGTGCAGCAGTGGCATGGCGGCAGTGGGAGGCCCCAATAGCTAAAGTGGTGCTTCAGGTTAAGAACAGTTTCAGGTTAAGTATGGACCTCCAGAACAAATTAAGTACTTAACCCGAGGTACCACTGTATAATGCCCTGTGTGAGGCCAAAATTTGGCACCCTCCAAATGGATTTTCTCAGTTATGGCTGCAGTACACATTACTGTACAAAGGTAAGACCTGCATCCTTTGCTTTGCCCACTTTTGATTCTGGCCTCATCCACCCCTGGTATGTGGCCCCACAAAGGTTAGCATGAGGGGAGAAAGGTTCCCAACCCCTGAGATAATTCCCCCAGTATCTGCATATATGAAAGGAGGGTTTTGTTTTTAATACTAGTGCAGCACTGGGGAATGTGTTCTGTTTCAGGAAAAGGGGGTACTAGGGCAGGGATGTCTGTGTAATGCAATAATAATAATAATAATAATAATAATAATAATATATTTATACCCTGCCCATCTGGGGTATAACTCAGGGCGGCTCCCAACCGAATATTAAAAACACAATACAGCATTAAACATTAAAAACTTCCCTAAACAGGGCTGCCTTCAGATGTCTTTTAAAAGTGAAGATAGTTGCTTATTTCCTTGACATCTGATGGGAAGGCGTTCCACAGGGCGTGCGCCACCACCGAGAAGGCCCTCCGAATGGTTCCCTGTAACCTCACTTCTCGCAGTGAAGGAATCGCCAGAAGACCCTCTACGCTGGACCTCAGCTGGACGATGGGAGTGGAGACGCTCCTTCAGGTATATAGGACCGAGGCCGTTCAGGGCTTTAAAGGTCAGCACCAACACTTTGAATTGTGCTCGAAACGTACTGGGAGCCAATGTAGGACTCTCAGGACCAGTGTTATATGGTCTCAGCGGCCACTCCCAGTCACAAGTCTAGCTGCCACATTCTGGATTAATTGCAGTTTCCGAGCACCTTCAAAGGTAGCCCCATGTAGAGCACGTTGCAGTAGTCCAAGCGGAAGATAACTAGAGCATGCACCACTCTGGCGAGACAGTCCATGGGCAGATAGGGTCTCAGCCTGCGTACTAGATGAAGCTGGTAAACAGCTGCCCTGGACACAGAATTGACCTGCGCCTCCATGGACAGCTGAGAGTCCAAAATGACTCCTGGTCCTTCAGGGGCACAGTTACCCCATTCAGGACCACACCTGCCCACCCCCTGTCCCCCAAGAACAGTACTTCTGTCTTGTCGGGATTCAACCTCAATCTGTTAGCCACCATCCATCCTCCAACTGCCTCTAGACACTCACACAGGACCTTCACTGCCCTCACTGGTTCTGATTTGAAAGAGAGGTAGAGCTGGGTATCATCCGCATACTGATGAACACCCAGGCCAAACCCCCTGATGATCTCTCCCAGAGGCTTCATGTAGATGTTGAAAAGCATGGGGGAGAGGACAGAACCCTGAGGCACCCCATAAGTGAGAGCCCAGGGGCCTGAACACTCATCCTCCAACACCACTTTCTGGACACGGCCCAGGAGAAGGATGAGAACGCAAATAATCTAGCATAGGACTCTGGAAGTCCCTCCCCATGCTGCTAGACTCCAATTCCCATCACCCTCTTTTTTTTTTTTTAAATAATATTTATTACTTTTCCAAAAAGTTTAAACACTAAAAGAAAAAAAAAACCACATACAATACAATACAATACATTAAACTAACAAAACAATGCAACAACAATAAAATAAATCAAATTTCATTATCCCATCTTTCATTCACTTATTTCCTCGACCTCCTCACACCTCCCTTTTCGTATTCCACTTCTGTTAATTATTTCAGCAATTCCTTTCCATCTACCTCTGTTTTCTATCCTATAATTATCTTAACTCATTCTAACCTTATTTTTCCTTTAATACTCTATTAATCTATTTATACTTAATTCCTTATAACATTTCTACTAAAGCCATGTAACTTCATTCCAACATTTTTCTAACATTCATTAATTTTACAATATTTCTATAAATACAATTCCTCATCCCCCAACACCACTTTCTGGACATGGCCAAGGAGAAGGATGAGAACTCAAATAATCTAGCATAGGACTCTGGAAGCCCCTCCTTATGCTGCTGGACTCCAGCTCCCATCACCCTCATCCAGCATGACCAACAGTCAGGGAGGATGTGAGCTGTAGTTCAACAGTGTCTTCAGGGCCATGGCACATTGTTGTACAACAACTTTTCATTTTAAAATGCAGCTTTGTTTGTTTCTGAGACCATAATCCCTACCCAACCACCCAACTCCCAGCCTACCTTGGGAAGAGTCACGCAGCATCTGATGTAGCAGCTCCCCATCTTGCAGGATCTGCTCCTGAGAACGCAAGGTGGCATCCTGTGCCCGGGCGATCTCTCCAGCAAGCTGATGGGTGGATTCCAGCTGGTGGGCCACAGTCTCTGAAGAGGACGTCAGCCTGGAACGGGCAGAGATGGCAGGAACCAATTCATTATGACCAGGAACACCTTAACCCCACAGCATATCCACTGCGCCAGGAAGGTGCTGAAGCCCAGATATTCTGCTCCGCGGGCAGCCTCCTTGGGTGAAGTCATTACATCCCTTGAAGGAATCTGGCTGCAACTCTATGCGCTCTGACTTGGGAATAAGACCCACTGAACTCAGTACGACTTAATGTCTAGTTAAGCATGCATAGGATCAGAACATTAATTTCAGAAAGGAGATTAAAAGGGTTCAAGGCCACCTGGAAGTTACAACTTCTAACCTGCCAGCCCTTCAAGGGCTAGTTACTTTATTTTTAGGTTACAATGGAGGGTTAGGGTGCACAGACCCTAGTTTTCACTTCCAGATACCACACAATAGGTTCCCTATAGTGCCTGCACCTTACTGTGTTGGCCAACCATACAGGTTCCAAGTCCATCACACCTCCCCACCCCCCACGTTATAAAAACCCAAAAATATACTTGCGTCTTTTTGGGCAAGCCCAGAGGGCTTCAATGCCACAACCACAATATTTTGGGCAACTTAAGGAAGCAGGAACTGTCATATGCAGGCAGCATCCATTATACCAGTGGCGGGGAACCTGTGCCCCATAAGTTGCTGGACTGCAGCTCCCATCCTTCACTGACCATGGGTTCTGCTGGCTGGGGATGGTGGGAGTTGGCATCCAAGGGTGTAGGGAGGGCCACAGGTTCCCCAGCCCTGCTTTGTGCTTCCTTATTTTGGTGAGCTGCAATTACTCCCTAGGGGAAAAGTCAAAATACAGCACACGGCTTTGCTCTTCCCCTCCCTGCTCCAAGTCGCTTGTTCTAGATTTCCACCAAGTGTCAACCAGACAAATGTTGATGTTAAGCGGATCTGATGGTCCACGCTTCCCAAATTAGACTATCCTGTCACACTGAAGCTAGTCTGCTCTGGGAAATGCTGGAATTAAGAGTGTCACTCTGGGGTAGCTCTCCCCATGTAGAACAAGTGCCCTACTTTTTGGTGCTGCCAGTTCCAGTGGCTCAGATGGAAACCCAACGCTTAGCTTGCCTGCTGTCCAGCCCAGCTGCTAGTCAAGGAGCTGTCTTTGAGGAGGGAGCAGACAGGAAAGAGCACTTCATTCATACTGAGAATTGGCAACTTCTTTGCCCTAACAAAGGGTTGGGAAGAGAACAAAATTAGACATACCAAAGACCTCCACCCAACCTCCTTCCCCTCCTATCCTGGTTGTCAGTCCAGGGATAGTGGTAGGGTCAGGCAGCTGCCAATGCTCCAGTTAGGGCCCCCAACACTGAAGCTTCTCCTGGCTCTCCTCCTCTCTGCTGCTGAGCAATGAAAGAAGCAAGCAGAAAGAGCAGGAAACTCCCTACACATTGTCCTCTTGCATGAGTGCTGGTGCTGATTGGATGAATACAAATGGGCATCTTTACCTGTTGAGACTGCAGTGTGGTTTTAAAAAGGAAGGGGTAGGAGGAGATTTTTTTTTTTGCTATGGGCATCTGGAAAAGTCCCCCCCAAAACCCCCACTTGACCCACTCTCTTTTCATCGGTTTCCTCACTCTTCCTTTCCATCTTCTTCCTTGATGTCTGGGGATGCCTCCAAAGGAGCTGTTATTGAGCTTTCATCCTGATTTGTTTGCAGGAGGTTAAATGACAAGACATCAAAGCAAGTCTTATCCCATGCTTCGCTGTGCACTTTCCCACCCCTTTGTATCTCACAAAAAGCCCAATCTTTTGGGGAGGTGAGTTTGCAGTGCAATACCTCCCAATCAACTATAGTTATGCAATCTGAGTTTGCCGGTATGTGATTGAATCCATCCTAAAGATAGTCACACTCAGGAAGTGCACTGAATGATATTGATTCAGAGAGAGAGACAGAGAGAGAGAGAGAGAGAGAGTAATCCTGTGTAGGTCTGCTTAGTGCACTGAGATCAGAGGTACAGTATAAGCATGCATAGGATTAGCATCTTTCTAAGGGAAGAGGATAGTGAGAAAACCAGTTAGTTGGCTCTGCCAGCTGTGATCTCTGATTCCACCTACTGAACTCAACCTATTATTAGTTGCTCTTCTGGTGCTTCACTAGGCCCAGAGGGCATCAACCACCACTGGAAGATCAAAGGACTGCATGCAAATTATGCTATGTGGACCTTCCCATACAAGTGCCTAGAAGTAGTCAAGGGAAACCCCACTAACATGCTTAGTGGTTCCAAAAGGCTCTCACCAGGCCTTAATTCTCTCTGCCCTCCCATGCTGTTTCATAGGAACTTGCCTTATACAGTGGTACCTTGGGTTACAAACACTTCAGGTTACAGACTCCGCTAACCCAGAAATAGTACCTTGGGTTAAGAACTTTGCTCCAGGATGAGAACAGAAATTGCGCAGCGGCAGCAGTGGGAGGCCCCATTAGCTAAAGTGGTACCTCAGGTTAAGAACAGTTTCAGGTTAAGAACGGCCCTCCAGCACAAATTAAGTTCTTAACCCAAGGTACCACTGCATGGGATATTCCCAGCCTTCCCTGGAGACTGAAACTGGGAACTTCTGCATGCAAAGCATGAGCTAGAATTACCCTTCCAGGCTAGTTGCTCTCTAGAGGAAGAAAGAGCCCCATTTTCCTTACCTGTGCATGGTATCTTGGGCTCGTTGTTGCCAGGCCTCATTGTGCAGGAAATAACAGATGCTTTGAGCATGGGTGAAGAACTCTGTGTACACCCCAAAGGCCACTGGGTCCATGTCCTGTGTGCAACCAAGGATGGAGCTGCTAGGCTCACAGGGGGGGAACTTCCTCCCAGACCTGCCCAGGAGAAGACACAGAATAAGCTGAAGTTACTGGTCAGATAAAACAATGAGAACCAGTACAGCCAGCCTTGAATTATGTTGACTTGACATCCCAGACAAAACAAAAGCAAGATCCACACCATACATTGAAAGCATATGGCTTCCCACAAAGAATCCCACAAGGAACAGTAGTTTTGTAAGGGTGCTGGGAACTGTAGTTCTGGGGGCGGGGGGGGGGGGACTACACTTCTCCAGATTCTTTCAGGGTAGTCAGGACTGTCAAAGTGATATAGATGCACTTTAAATGTATATTGTGGGTGTGAGCAAAAGGAAAGGGAAAAGCTCCTCCTTCAAGAAGCTTTAGGTCAGGGATCAGCAACCTAAGGCCCATGGGAAGTGGCCCGCGGAGGTCGTTTGACCAGCCCCCAAGTCGCGCTGCCTGCTCGCAAGGTGTGCTAAACTGGCGCGGCGCAGCACGGGAACTCGCTTCCCCGGTGCCGGAAATCATGTCTGCACACGCGCAGACACCAAAAATCACGGGCGCGGGTGTGATCCGGCCCACGGAGGGATCTCCGCAGGACCGATCCGGCCCAGGCAAGATAAACCTTGCCAACCCCTGCTTTAGGTTCAAGCAATGTCTCTCTTCCACTGTCACCTCCAATGAGCTACTGAAAATGTTAAGAACTACAAATGTTACAAAAACCCCCCTAATAAAAGCCATTAATACAAATTACTAAAAATAAAATACTGCTGTAAATGCTGAAATCCTTCCCCACCCAACACTTCTTCCAATTCTGAGCTCCACCCTGCTCTCACTCAGGGCCCAAACAAACTCACAGATCACCCCTCAAATCCCACACCACAGAGGGTTTGTGGAGCCTGCAGACATCACCCTAGACTGTCCTACTAGGGTTGACGGACAGACACCAATGTCGATGGGGCTTCCTCAGGCTGCCCACAGCTGTGCCCCATTCAGTACACAAATCAGCTGCGCATTGTGCAGTTCCAGGCTGCAACAGGTTGGGCTGGGTGAGTTTGTTGAAGTAGGTTAAGCTGAGAGGCTTTGGCTAGCCAAATTTCCCTAGTGGCAGGGTGAGGATCTGCTTCCTGATACCTCAAGTTCTAGGGTGGGGTTTCCAAAACTGGCGTTTCCAGCTGTTTTTGGACGACACTTCCAATCATCCCTGACCACTGGTCCTGCTAGCTAGGGATGAAGGGAGTTGTTGTCCAAAAACAGCTGGGAACTTGTGTCCTAGGACAACACTCTAGTGATCACTCTATTACACTGGCTGTCACCAGCCCATCCCCCAAGACCCAGGTATCTGGACTCACCGCTGGAGGTGGCAATGGGCAAATCTGATTGCAATGCGGCTTTGCTGCTCCTCATCCAGCTCCCTGCACCCAGCGTCTAGCTGCCCTAAGGCTCCCATCCAACAAGTGCCATAGCGGGGGTGTCGAGCCAGTTCACGGGCCTGTTGCAGGTGGGTCCTTCCTTGAGACAGAAGCTCAGGATCGGGAGATACCAGTGCCCCAAAACTGGGACAGATATAAGCTAGACAAAGAACAACTGAAAAGCCCAGCATGACTATGCTTACGGAATGTAACTGGTGGGATGGGAGGAGATTGCCTGCCGTAAGCCCAGAGGATAAAAGTTCAGGTGATAGGTTAACTTCCCAAGGTGGAAGTATGGAAGCATTTAAATGTCCTGTAGATTTGTCCTTGTGGGGTGGAGGAAACAGTAAATCATGTGGTGTGGGATTGGCTGCGATACAGAGATGAAAAGGGACCTCTCCCTTGTAAACTTACGTTTAAAGCAGTATCATACCACTTTAAACAGTCATGGCTTCCCCCAAGGAATCATGGGTGCTGAGACGGGTTTGTTTGTTTGTTGTATAATATTTCATTGTTGTCAAGATCAAGTACAGCATTTTATTTTATTTTTACAATAGCAAGAATACATTAAATTATAACTCAATTTAAAACTGGTGAGAACAAAAACTAAAAACTAAAAACTGGTAAGAACAAACATTATAAGGTAAAGGACCCTGACAGTTAAGTCCAGTTGTGAATGATTCTGGGGTTGTGGCGCTCATCTCGCTTTACTGGCTGAGGGAGCCAATGTTTGTCCACAGACAGTTTTTTTGGGTCATGTGGCCAGCATGACTAAGCCACTTCTGGCAAACCACAGCAGTGCACGGAAACACCATTTAGCTTCCTGCCAGAGCGGTACCTATTTATCTACTTGCACTTTTGGGGCATGCTTTTGAACTGCTAGGTTGGCAGGAGCAGGGACCGAGCAATGGGAGCTCACCCCGTCGCGGGGATTCAAACTGCGACCTTCCAATTGATCGGCAAGCCCAAGGCTCAGTGGTTTACACCACAGCGCCACCCGCGTCCCGAGAGAACAAACATACCCCCCCAAAAAACCCCCAAAATCCAAGTGGCTCAAATCCAGGTGAAAAAGACCAATAGCAAACCAAAATAAATGAGACCACATAGAGGAGGGGAATTGAGATGGGAAAGCAAATTATCTCTGCAATACGCTAGAAACAAATAGAATAATGAGGGTTTTTTTTATATATTCTTGTTGGCATTTGTGATGCAGGTATTCAAAGTTGAAATACATTTGTCAGTTTTTGAAACACCATGAAGAACTCTTAATTTGTGTGTCATTTCCTGCCATAAAAGCTAAGTACAACACCTTGTGAAACCAGTATTATAAGGTTTCACCTTGCAACTTTCAATCTTTTCTCATTCTCTACTGGATTGCTATTAATAGATGGACAATCAGAAATTTGTCCTTGATGCCTTCTTCAGAGAAAGGTGCTGAGCATTGTTAGGGGACTTCTAGGCCCTCACAGGGAATTCCCAGAGCTTGCTGTTAAACCACTCTGAGAATTGTAGCTCTATGAGGGGACCAAAGGTTTCCTAACTTTAAACGAATTAAAATCTCCAAGGCCTGATGAGCTGCATCCAATGATACTAAAGGAGCTTGTGGGTATAATCTCAGAGCCTTCTCTGAGAAGTCTTGAAGAACAGGTGAGGTTCCTGCATATGGGGAAGAAAGAAGACCCAGGCAACTACTTACCAGTGAGCTTGATATCAATACCAGGAAAGGTCTTGCAACAGATAATTAAACAGAGTCTGTGAGCACTTAGAAAAGGATGCTGTGATTACTAAGACCTAGCATGGGTTTCTCAAAAACAAGTGGCCACCTGTCACGGATGTTTTAACTGAGATTCCTGCATTGCTGCAGGTTGGAGTAAATGGTCCTTGGGGTCCCTTCCAACCCTACATTTTTTGATTCTAACAGTGCTCAACACGCTTAACCAAGCTACATTTTCCAGGATTTTATGGTGGAAGATGTGCTTGCTTAAAGTGGTATGCTACTGCTTTAAATGTATAGTGCAAATGGAGTCTTAGTGACTTGAGCATTAGAAACTCGTATTTTGGAGCTGCCCTCTGGGACAAAACTCTCTGTGGTCTGGTGTTTTTGTGAGACACTACCTTCATTGATAATTACAGTTGTGGAGTAACAACATTATAAGAGTAGGTATGGTGGAAACAGGGCTCTCCTATGGCCTTGCAATGCCATGATGCTCTGAGATTTTTCTGTGTTTCACTCACTCACTGATTTGGGTCACAGAATATTTGCAAGTAGTGTCTCCGAATTACATGGGGCTCATACCCACCCCCGGGTCATAATGCAATGACATCTGCATTCATGGGTCTCTGAATATCATAATCTCTTTATATGAGATATTATACTGTTGATATTGTATTAATAAAACACCCAACTTCAAACAGTTGACAGACTGTTCAATCCTATACATACATTTTCAGAAGTTAAGTCCCATTTTAATCAATGGAGCTTACTTCTAGGAGAGTAGATACAAGATCACAGCCTGGTTCACCTCTGCAATGGTGCATGTAAATACATTTGCTGTTTCTTGGTCCCTTCACACACTCGTCCTAAAACACAAAATACTGTTTAAGTGCATACAGGATAGAGAAGGGAAAGGATGCTCACATTTTGTAGTTCCCTGGTTCAGATGGTGTCTGTTGCCCCCTACTGGCCCGAGGTGAGATATTGTAACCCCCAGCCCAGCCCCCTCTTTTTAAAAGCAGCTCCCACAAGCCAAGTAGGGTCAGGCATTGTATGGTATTAATTAGGATGGGTGGTGGCAAGACCACATTGGATCTTGTGAACTCTTCAGCTCCCGCACAGATGCAACACTTGGGGCAAGTGGTAGAACATGGGAGGTGTGCTCTGCTTTTTCCTGGCATGAACGGCAGAAAGGTAAAAGTACAGTGATACCTTGGTTTACAACCATAATCTGTTCCGGAGATCCGGTTGTAAACCAAAACAGGTTGTAACACAAGATGCGCTTTCGCCAATGGGGTCTCCCAAAAAAATGGGTTGCAATCCAAAAATAAAGGTTTGTAATCCAAAAAAAGGGACACACACTTCAGGGTTTGACATAGTTGTAATCCAAAACGTTTGCAAACCAAGGTATCACTGTAATGCCATTCCCAACCCCCCACCCCACTGCATCACACCAAAAGTACAATTTAGAGAGCTTGGAGAAGGAAGATTCTTTGCCTTCTGCGTTAGCTTCAAGGGGTTATTCAGAAGCAACTATATCTGGGGCCTCTTCACGGCTTCTACATATGAACGGATCACTCTTAGCCCTTGAGCTTGCTCTTTCCTTCCTCCCTTCCAGTATCTCTTTACTTTTGTGCCCGTCTTTTAGGTTGTACACCAGAGGGCAGAGGCTGTCATATCACTGATGCCATATCACTGTTGCTTCTGGAGACTTCTCTGCTGAACATCAGGTTAAGAGAAAGCTTTAAATTAATGTAGCAAATTGTGCACTTCCAGTGAACACCATCAGATTTTCCTTCTGAACAAACATGAATGGGATGAAGTTAGGGTACGGAATACTGCATTTGGCAGCAGTGTCTGGGTGGAAATCGTAGAAATGTCCAGGAAAATCTGGATGTATGGCAACCCATGTCAGCAGTGCCGTTTTTGGCGATTTCCCATAAAAATAGCTCAAAAATGCCAATTTTTTTTTAGTGTTTTTGCCCCCCAAAAGCTCAACTTTGGGCAAAACTAAAAAAGCTTAACAACTTTTCTGTCCAGATTTTCCCTGTTTGAAATATGGCCACCCATGGCATGTCTGTTGAAGGCACAAATCCCTTTTCTTTAACACCGGGAGGGTTGCTTTACCAGTGTTTGTAGCTTGGCTACGTAGCTGGAGTTTTTTAGTTGCTGAGAGGTCAGTGGTGCAGCTGGGTGTTTTTCCACTCTGGACTCAAAGGTGCTTTAGATTGCAATGTATTACTTCAAAATGTGGTAAGCCAGTCCTCCTGTGGGCAGGAGTTCTTCCTCTCATCCTGTTGAGCAGAGCCCTGGACTTCCGCCCCAAAGTGTAACCTTGACAGCACCACAATCCTGACAGTGAATGCCTATGTGCATCTGCTCAGAAGTTAAGTCTCCTTGAGTTCAGTGGGACTTTCTCCTGTGTAGGTTTGTATAGAATTGCAACTTTAAGCATGCATAAGCGCAATATTTATAGCCTGCCATACCCCAAAGGATCAAGGCAAGTCAAAAGAACAAAACTGCACAGAATCAGGCTTGATTAAAGGAACTAGGAAAACTAGAATATTTTCCTGTTCCGTTTAATTAGATGGAAGGCTTCCATTCTGTCCTGGAAATAGAAATAACTTTTGGTATCTTTTTCAGAAATGGTGCCCCTAACCTCAGACAGAAATTGAACTACTCCTATGCAAGGCAAATTACTCTGACACAGTTTGCATTCATTTTCATGGGTCTTGTGCAAGAGAACTTCCTGACAGATTGTGCTCCACGATTCCACCACTGCCTACAGGTCTCATATGGTTGCATATATTGCCTCTGGCTCCTGAAGCTCCACAAATAGTCACTTTTTTTTTTACTCTTCTGAATTAAAAGGGAATTTCACAAGTATACTGTATACTGTATACTTAAAATAATTCCACAGAAGAGGAACAGCTTGTTTATTGGTTTTTCCGCAAAGATTATTCTCACAAAAGTTATTCCCGTTTCTATAACTGGTGTATTTAGTTGATGTTAAAGTAACAGGCAGCTCTGCATTAAGGAGCTACGTAATTTAGGCATGTCGAAAGTCTTGGGCACGGCCAGTGGGGTTTTAACATGATAATCACCATCATCATTTTATTTGTACCACGTCCATCTGACTGGGTTGCCCAAGCCATTTTGGTGGCTTCCAACATATATGAAAACATGATAAAGCGTTACACATTAAAACTCTCCCCCGCCTTCAAACAGCACACCCTCCCATCATGTTATTTCACAATCTGCTTTAGAAATGCCCAGTTTCCAAGCATATTTGCCAAGTGAAGTGGGGAGGCTGTTTTCAACAAATCAAACCCTCCGGGGTGGGTTGAACTAATTGTGTGGGTTTTTAGATCTCAGCCAGTATGTATAATCAGACTCCTCTGTATAAGAATGCAAGACACACCTATATTTTGCATTGCTTCTCCTCTGGACTCACTTTAACACACTGTTTCTCCCTCCAGCCCCATGTACTGATGTATATTTGGATATATATATCTTGCTATTTTTGTTTCATTTTAAAAATATTGATACATAAAATTATCAATCAATAATACAAACAAAAGAATCCCAACAAAGAGAAAATGGATTTGGGCTTTCCCCCCCAGACAGTACTTCAGATACCATTTAGTATGTTTTTTACAGGTTTCTTCGAGGGTGTCTAAAATAATCTGGTTACAGAGCATGCTACACAATCCATAAAATTTCTACGCAGAAATGTTATTGTCCAATTCATTCATGGGTAAATTTACACCAGTTTGCTGAGAACATGTCTTTTTTTGGCCTTTGTCTATATGTAATTTAGACTGCACGTGATGTGTAATCTGGCTAAGCAAGTTTTCATACTGTTTGAAAAACCTATAAAACCTGTTTTATAGGAAAGGAGGTGTATGTTGACCATGGGAAACAAAGCATCTCTCAAATTACCTACAGTTCATGTCTGTCTGCAGCCTTAAAAACAACCAGGAAACAGCCGCCACCCCCCATGAGATGAGTAAATTTAATAACCTATTGGATCATCGTTCTAAATTCATGTGTGCTCTTCTCTCTTCCCTCCATCACACTAACCATCTATTTGACACGGGGAAAATCAGCATGGCCTCTTCCATCCAAAGGCTGGTCAGATGCAAAAGAGGGGCTGGGATCTTGCATTTTCACAGTTGTTTAGAAGGAGTTTCGGCAGATGCAGCTTTTTCTCTTTTGTCTAAAATAGGTAGTGAGCCTGCAGGTACAACCTGTCTTATCTTTTAATCTCTGTACAGTTCTTAGAACATTTTAGGTGCTTCTATTATGCTGCACATGAGGCTGCAACCTCATGTGCAATTAATTGCAAGGAAGTGGGACTTACTATTATAATAATGAAAGGAATTAAACATTGCACTAACATGATCACCCTCATGAACTTGCATTTCGGCTTGCCAGACAGAATGGAGGATGTGGGAATGCAAGGGGGGGAAGAGGCCTTCTGAGTGGAAATAATTGAATAGGGCTTCTGCTGACAGGCCTCATCAGGTGAATTCTGCCCTATATCCCACATTTCAGGATATAAAAATACTGAAGCTCACACTGAAAACAAAGAAGCCAATGGAAACGCACACACTCGTGGCAGATACATTTCTGGATCACATCATTAAGCAACAGTATGAAGTGTATCCAAAGAATAATGATAATTAGATATTTATTTATACCCTGCCTTTTTCCCTAATAAGCACTACAAATAAAGGTTGTTGCTGTTGTTGTTTAGTCGTTTAGTCGTGTCCGACTCTTCGTGACCCGCTGGACCAGACCAGCCAGGCACTTCTGTCTTCCACTGCCTCCCGCAGTTTGGTCAGACTCATGTTTGTAGCTTCGAAGACGCTATCCAACCATCTCATCCTCTGTCGTCCCCTTCTCCTTGTGCCCTCCATCTTAATAAGGATGGAACAACTAAAAGCATAGGAGGGGGTGATAATCAAAAACAATTAAATATTATTAGAATTAAAACTGTATATAAATATAAAAGATCTATTAAAACACAAAAGGAGGAGTGAGGCCTTGTCAGAAGGTAACATCTGTGCTCAGAGTTCGAAGTGTTACTGTTAGCATAAAGGTAAAGGTACCCCTGACAGTTAGGTCCAGTTGTGGCCGACTCTGGGGTTGCAGCACTCATCTCGCTCTATAGGCCGAGGGAGCCGGCGTACAGCTTCCGGGTCATGTGGCCAGCATGACTAAGCCGCTTCTGGCGAACCAGAGCAGCGCACAGAAACGCCGTTTACCTTCCCACCGGAGCGGTGCCTATTTATCTACTTGCACTTTGACGTGCTTTCAAACTCCTAGGTTGGCAGGAGAAGGAACCGAGCAACAGGAGATCACCCCGTTGTGGGGATTCAAACCGCCGACCTTCCAATTGGCAAGCCCTAGGCTCTGTGGTTTAACCCACAGCGCCACCCGCATCCCAGATAACCCCAATTGCAGAAATTGGACACGTGTTTGCTTAGAGTGGCCACTGACACTTGGCCAAAGGAATGGACTCCAATTTGCATATGCTGTGTGTAGATGCAAATTAAAAAATAATAGTTGTTTGTATCCTACTAAGTCATAGTCACTAGACCCACTGATTTCAATGATTCTGAGTATGACTTAGCTGGATATATGATATTACCTTGAGTATGACTGATGTGTTAGGTCACCCTATAATTCTACAGGGGAATATTCTCACTGTAGTGGAGAAGACTGTGGCCTAGGTGGTTGTGCTTAGTCTGCTGCCAAGGTGCTATCTGTTGATGGGCAACTTCAGTGCCCCTGCTCTTCCTTCCTGCTCTTCCTTCAGTAGCTTTCAGCCAGACCTGGAATGCCCGGCCATTCAAATAGAGGACACCTTCATACAGAGAACTGTCATCAGTCCACATCTTAAGCCTCTGACAGCCCTGAAAACTGACAACTGCCTTCTGTAAAATAGGACACCTGAGCATCTTATATTTGCTCTTCTTCTTATGCTAATGACTGAACGTCATGCCATTTCCTCTTTCAACCCGGCCTTTTCCACATTCTGAATAATCTAAATGGGATCCGTTTGTTTGTATATTTAGGTTACTTTCTAAACAATGCAAAAATAAGAGACAGTCTTTTATATATATAAAGTATATATAAAAGAAGTAAGTATTTTGTTCCCTATGGCAAGGAGTGCTAGGATGGGAAGCATCCATGTAATCCACCTTGTGACACACCAGTGACGCATCAGAGGAGCACCTTGCTTCATTTAGTTCTTAAGGGGGGGGGGGAGAGATAGATAAAGAGAGAGAGAGAGGTTGCATTGGAAGTAAGCAGGGACACCGCAGGGGCTTGAACCCCGTCCTGGAAACCAGGAGCGCCAACCACCAGCGTCTTTTGCTTTTTTTTGGCCAATGCAACAAGGTGAAAAGCAAAACCTGAGAGAACACTCTGAATACAGAATGTTCTCTCAGGAAAAAAGAAAACCCTTAAGAATTATGAAGTTGCAGACAGAACACAATCGAGGTTTTATCCCTTGCCATTAGCAACGGATATTCACCTAGATGTGTTTAAGTCACAGAGTGCCATGTTGACTGCCATTCATTTGCAGGGCAGAACAGAGAGACTGGTTCCAGTCTTCAAACTCTGCCTTTATGCTCACCTTTTTGTTTGTCCCTCCGAAGTGCGAATTCATGGGCCTGGAAGTTCCTTCCGCTGGTCTGTGAAAAGCAATCTGGACTCATTAGTTTGTCCCCGGCCCTTTCCCGCCAATTCCAGAGAAACGTTTTTGGAACACAGCTGTTCTGACTGACCTGACTTCTGCAGGAAGAGCTGGCTTCACCTGAGTGTGGTCGGCTCTGGGACAGAACTGTGAAGAGATCAAGCGGGAAATGGAGAAGCCAGCACAAAAGGATTGTACTGAAAAAGATCACTGAATTATGGAGTGTGAAGTTCACTTGCTGTTAAGTTTCCTGAAGGCTTGCAAAATTCTATTTCTTGTGTCACTGAGATGCACCTGGAAGAGACTAGGGTCTTCAGCAGCCCTCCCCTCCAACACAGGAGCAAAAACAGCTGGTTACCTAAAGCAGCGCAGTCAAGTCGCAGGTGTCTCTCAATCCTGCACTGCAGATGTTCACTTGATGGATCAAGAGCTCTGACCCTGCCTCTTACTTGTCAATGGAGCAGATTTGCTTCCGGCACAGGTAGCTCTGTGAGGTCTGTAAAAATAAGAGCTGGAACAAAACAAGGCTGGCTGTCCCACCCAAAGATGTACCTTATTGTGTGGTGATGGCACAGGAAAGGGCCTCCCCTGCAGTGGTGTCCCGACAAGAGAAGTCCCTCCAGGTAGAAGCATGGAGAGCGACCGCATTAGGCTTTTGAGTTTGCAGCTCTTCTGAGAAAGGGAATGAATAACCAACATTGCTCAATACAAGCTCTTTGGAGTATTTAGTTTGCATATTTGATGTATGATTCCATTTAGAGCCTACCTTTTCTCCAACAGGCTCAGGGTGCTTGAATGGTCCCCCTCACTGCGACCTGAAAGAATCTTTGTACAAAGAGTTGCAGGCAGAACACAACAGAGATTTTCTCCTCAGCCAAGCACAAGATACTCACCTAGTTGACCTTCAGCCAGAAGACACACAGCTGTATTGCTGCTATACTTACGATGGAGCATTTAGAGATTACTTGTTAGTTATTAGTGCCTATCGCCACCTCTGAGAATTCAAAAGTATTTTTAATAGAAGCTACGATTGCAGTTGAAAGTAACCAAGTGAGAGGTTACAGGCAAAGGAAGCAGTTTGCCACACCAGGTTTTAAATATATTGCCTTAGGAACAGATGAACTGGCGAGGATCCTGATTTTAGTATTTGTTGGAAACCCAGCAACTATCAACCCTATCGTGCAAGTTTTCACCAAAAAGTCAGCAATACAATTTGGGTCAAATTAAATTTTGAATAGTCTCAGCATTTATGGATCACGTTCCTTGCATTAAACAATCATACATGTACCCCAGGCAAAGAAAATTGGGAGCTACATGCCTCCTTTATCTACAGGATTGAAGGGTACAGACCCCTATTCCAAAATGTTTCACAAATGTGGGTTAATATGATTTTGTGTGGCCCCGCTCTGGTCATTAGTGGAACAATCAGCCACCCCCTTATGTATGAGTAAAAATGGCCAGAGAGTCAGGATTCATAAGATTTCAAAAATTTTCTCAGTCATTTCAGCCTTACCATTAGCAGAAAAGAATTCTGCCCTTTATGTACAGGAAAAAATGGTCATGGCTCATCCTTCCTAATTGTGAATATGTTTGTGCTTAAACGTTTGCTGGACTTTTTTTGCTTAGAAATGGCCGGCAAAATGGTGAAAACCTCTACTCACTCCAAGGCCTCTACCAGGCCGCCTCTCCCATTGCCATCAGTAGATTCACCCTCAAAATGCCTTATTTGCTTTTTCACACTGAAATCAGCAAGGCAACTGTTACAGACAAAGGAAGCAGTTTGATGCATCAGCTTTTAAAATGGGTATTCTAAATACCTAAATACACTTAGGAACAGAATTACTGGCAAGGATGCAAAATGCTGGCATGTTTGGAACCTTCTGGATTTATACACACCTGAAGGAACCAAAACTCAACAATATTTTGGTGACCCTCTTCTGCAGTAAGTACAATTTGTTTAGCTTCATGTGCCAAATGCCACCACTTTTAAGCAGCTGTTCAAGAGGGTTTGTTATTCTTCTCCTTGGAAGCCACATTATAAATGAAAGGAAGTTCTTCCCATTAGCAAAGGAGCTTTTCTATAGTCCCCTAGAAGCTATCACAAAATGGCTGCAAAGCATTTTTGTCAACAGGGCAGCCTGAGCTAACATGAAATTAAATGGAACAATGTTGTCTTCTCCCCCTGGATCCCCCTACCCTTCTCACTTCTAAGTCTTACCTGTGTTAAAATCTTACCCGTCTTGGTTTTTCCAACTTCTGGAGCGAGTCTTCTGGAGCGAGTGGTCGCAGACCAGATCCAGGGGCCCTTGGAAGAAGCTGCTTTTCTGGATCCATTTCCATCAGGGTTTAGGCCTTGGTCGCCCTGCACCTCTGTCGAGAGACAAGGGGAGGCGCTCAGTGACCCCCAGTGCCCTCCATCAGCTTCGGCTGGTGGCCCAGCTACGCCCCTCTCTGGACAGGGGTAGCCTGACCCTTGGTGTCTCTGCTCTGGGAACCTGTTCTTGGGTCGTTCTTGTTTTGATTTGGTGTAGTTGATATTTTATGTGAACTGCCCTTAGACCTTCGGGTATAGGGCGGCATAGAAATTCAATAAATAATGATAATAAGAACTTCAGCAACAGAAACGCCAAACTTCTTTTTATGAAATGGCTTCTGCAGTTGCCTTTTAAAAGAAAAGCCTTCTATTTTCTGCAATTATTCTTCATATCCACCTACCCTTTCCTCTGCTCCTTTGTACATCCAAAGACTTGTTGGTCGAAAGGGAAATAAACTTGATTTCGCCCCTCACGTTCCTTCACGTATCTTCGTTTTCCCTTGGCTTTCTAGTCATCAGGCGTATCTGCTTTTCTTGATTCTCTTTAAAATCTTCATCTTGGTGTTTTTTATGAGTTTTCTATCTATCTATCTATCTATCTATCTATCTATCTATCTATCTACAAGCAACATTGAAAATTGCCAACTATGGAGATAACAAGGGAACATTTGTTGTATCTCTTTTTAAAGTTGTAAATAACAACTTCAGTGAGACTTCAGCTCTGACCCGTGAGAGGGCTAAAACCAGTATTATAGCCAGGGACAGTCTCACTCACTAGACTCTGGCTCGCTCCTTCCACCACCTGTCAGTCAGAAGGACACATAAAATAGTCCCTTGGCGCATTAATACAGTGGATACAAATGGGTTTGTTTTCAACATGGGATCACTGCGCATGGGTGAGAAATTAGTGCCGGCCCCACTCCCTAATAACAGGGTTGCTGGGGTGCCATCTTGAATAAAATATGGGGGTGGGGGGCGGTAAGCCCTGCCCTACATAGTCACATGACACGGCACACACAATTAAATGGTGATGGCCATCAACTTGGGGGGGGGGGTTTCCAGCCCCCGTAAATATTTTTTGGGGGTGCGGGCTTAAGAGGAGTTAGCTCCTAAACTGGGTATGTGTCATTCCTGGATCAATGTCTTTGTTTGCTTGGCTATTTGTAGAATGTGCTGTGCCTTTTAATGACATTTTCCCCAAGTATCGCACTGATCTGAACATTAAAGATTTTGGTAGACACTGCAGCCTGAATTTGAATTCTTCTTTGAGTGACAGCCAGGAAACTCTCCTCCACAGGGTGCTTTTTTGGAGGTTCTCCTTGGGGGAGGGGCCCCAGGGCCCCCAAAATGGATAGCCTATCACTTTAAGAAAATGCTTTAAGAAAATGCTAAGAAATTCAAAGCTATCTGCCTCTCTCTCTCTCTCTCTCTCTCTATCTACAAGCAACATTTAAAATTGTCTACTATTGAGATCACAAGTGAAAATTTGTTGTATCTCTTTTTAAAGTTGTAAATAACAACTTCAGCTCTGACCAGTGAGAGGGCTAAAACCAGTGTTAGAGCCAGGGAGAGTCAGCGGTGGAGGACGCCGCTCGGGCGCCTGGGGTGCAAGCTGCCCATAGGGGCAGGGCAAGGGTGGGGCAAGCCATCCATGGGGTGGGGTGCACTGTGGGGCCCCCAGAGTTTGCTGCTTCCTCCCACTCAGTCGCCCTACAGCTGGGGGGGCAGTGGGCGGACCGTTTGGGCAGCGCAGAGCCTTGGGCCCACTACAGGCCCTGTGGTGAGTGCCGCCCGGCATTTTGTCACCCCCCGCAGTGGGGACACCTGGGGTGGCCCCACACCTATCGCACCCCCCTTATTCCGCCCCTGGTTGCAGGTGGTGTTGCCAGGGGGTTCGGGGGAGAACTGCCCCCCCAATCATAGAATCATAGAATCATAGAATCATAGAGTTGGAAGAGACCACAAGGGCCATCGAGTCCAACCCCCTGCCAAGCAGGAAACACCATCAGAGCACTCCTGACATATGGTTGTCAAGCCTCTGCTTAAAGACCTCCAAAGAAGGAGACTCCACCACACTCCTTGGCAGCAAATTCCACTGTCGAACAGCTCTTACTGTCAGGAAGTTCTTCCTAATGTTTAGGTGGAATCTTCTTTCTTGTAGTTTGGATCCATTGCTCCGTGTCCGCTTCTCTGGAGCAGCAGAAAACAACCTTTCTCCCTCCTCTATGTGACATCCTTTTATATATTTGAACATGGCTATCATATCACCCCTTAACCTCCTCTTCTCCAGGCTAAACATGCCCAGCTCTCTTAGCCGTTCCTCATAAGGCATCGTTTCCAGGCCTTTGACCATTTTGGTTGCCCTCCTCTGGACACGTTCCAGTTTGTCAATGTCTTTCTTGAACTGTGGTGCCCAGAACTGGACACAGTACTCCAGGTGAGGTCTGACCAGAGCAGAATACAGTGGCACTATTACTTCCCTTGATCTAGATGCTATACTCCTATTGATGCAGCCCAGAATTGCATTGGCTTTTTTAGCTGCCGCGTCACACTGTTGGCTCATGTCAAGTTTGTGGTCAACCAAGACTCCTAGATCCTTTTCACATGTACTGCTCTCAAGCCAGGTGTCCCCATCTTGTATTTGTGCCTCTCATTTTTTTTGCCCAAGTGCAATACTTTACATTTCTCCCTGTTAAAATTCATCTTGTTTGTTTTGGCCCAGTTCTCTAATCTGTCAAGGTCATTTTGAAGTGTGATCCTGTCCTCTGGGGTGTTAGCCACCCCTCCCAGTTTGGTGTCATCTGCAAATTTGATCAGGATGCCCTTGAGTCCATCATCCAAGTCGTTGATAAAGATGTTGAATAAGACCGGGCCCAAGACAGAACCCTGTGGCACCCCACTAGTCACTCTTCTCCAGGATGAAGAGGAACCATTGATGAGCACCCTTTGGGTTCGGTCAGTCAGCCAGTTACAAATCCACTGAGTGGTAGCATAGTCAAGACCACATTTTACCAGCTTCTTTACAAGAATATCATGGGGCACCTTGTCAAATGCCTTGCTGAAATCAAGGTAGGCTACATCCACTGCGTTCCCTTCATCTACCAGGCTTGTAATTCTGTCAAAAAAACGAGATCAGGTTAGTCTGACAGGACTTATTTTTCAGAAATCCATGCTGACTATTGGTGATCACAGCATTCCTTTCTAGGTGCTCACAGACTGTTTGCTTAATGATCTGCTCCAGAATCTTCCCTGGTATTGATGTCAGACTGACTGGGCAGTAATTATTTGGGTCCTCTCTTTTCCCCTTTTTGAAAATAGGGACAACATTTGCCCTCCTCCAGTCTGCCGGGACTTCGCCTGTTCTCCAGGAATTCTCAAAGATGACTGCCAGTGGTTCTGAGATCACATCTGCCAGTTCTTTTAATACTCTTGGATGCAGTTCATCTGGCCCTGGAGACTTGAATACATCTAAACTAGCCAAGTATTCTTGTACTATCTCCTTAGTTATTCTGGGCTGTGTTTCATTTCCTGAATCATTTGCTCCAAATTCTTCAGGTTGGGCATTGTTTTCTTTATCGGAGAAGACTGAGGCAAAGAAGGCATTGAGGAGTTCAGCTCTTTCTGTGTCCCCTGTTTGCATTTCACCATCTTCTCCTCTGAGTGACCCCACTGTTTCTTTGTTCTTCCTTTTGCTACGGACATACCCATAAAAGCCTTTTTTGTTGCTTTTAACCTCTCTAGCAAGCCTGAGTTCATTCTGTGCTTTAGCTTTTCTGACTTTGTGTCTACACGTGCTGGCTATTTGTTTGAATTCCTCTTTGGTGGTTTCCCCCCTTTTCCATTTTTTGTACACATCCCTTTTTAATCTTAACTCAGTTAAAAGTTCTTTAGATAGCCACCCTGGCTTCTTTAGGCACCTTCCATGTTTCTGTCTCATTGGTATTGCCTGACGTTGTGCTTTTAGTATCTCCCTCTTAACAAACTCCCAGCCATCATGAACTCCCTTTCCTTTTAGTATTACTGTCCATGGGATCTCACCCAGCACTTCCCTAAGTTTTATGAAGTCAGCTTTCTTAAAGTCAAGAAATTGAGTCCTAGTATGCTTGGCTGCTCCTTTCCGCTGTATAGTAAACTTCAGAAGAGCATGATCACTCGCGCCTAATGATCCTTCCACTTCTACCCCACTAACCAGGTCATCAACATTGGTTAGGACCAGATCTAAAATGGCTGTTCCTCTTGTTGCTTCTCCCACTTTCTGGACAATGAAGTTGTCTGCAAGGCCAGTGAGGAATCTGTTTGACCTTATGCTCTTGGCTGAGTTTGACATCCAACAAATATCCGGGTAATTGAAGTCCCCCATTACTACTATCTCCCTTCCTTTTGCATGCTTGGCCATCTGTTCCAGGAAGGCATCATCTATGTCCTCCGTTTGGCTTGGGGATCTATAGTAAACTCCCACAATGAGGTCCCTGTTATTCTTCTCTCCCTTAATTTTGACCCAAATGCTCTCACTTTGGCTTTGAGGTTCTAAATCTTGGATCTCTTCACAGGTATACACATCCCTGACATATAACGCCACTCCTCCTCCTTTCTTGTCTGGTCTGTTTCTCTGAAATAGATTGTATCCCCCATTATTACATTCCAATCGTGGGACTTATCCCACCAGGTTTCAGTGATGCCTATTATGTCATATTTAGTTTGCTGTACCAAGAGCTCAAGCTCATCTTGTTTATTTCCCATGCTTTGCGCATTAGTGTACAGACATTGAAGTCCATTAATCATTCCCCGTGTCACTTATTTAAGGATTTTTCCTCCCACCACTAGGTCTGCGTGCTGTTTGCTCCATTTGGTCTATGACATTTGGATGATCATCTTCATCAATTGATAGACTCCTACCTTCAGGAGCACTGTCTCCCTCCCCACATTAGTCAGTTTAAAGCCCTCCTGATGAGGTTTCTGAGATTTTTGGCAAAAACATTTCTCCCAACCGTTGTGAGGTGCAGCCCATCGCTTGCCAGAAGTCCATCTTCAAGAAACTGCAGTCCGTGATCTAAGAATCCAAACCGTTCCTGTTTACACCATTTGCGAAGCCAGCTGTTCACTTCCACTATTTTCCCCTCTCTCCCTGGGCCACGTCGTTCAACTGGGAGGACAGATGAGATCACAATTTGTGCATTTAATTGCTTCAATTTCCTGCCCAGAGCCTCGTAGTCTCTTTTGATCTTCTGGAGGCTATTGCTTGCAGTGTCATTGGTTCCCACATGAACCAAGAGGAAGGGGTATTTGTCAGTGGGTTTTATGATTCCTTGCAGTCGTTCAGTTACATCTTGGATCTTAGCCCCGGGAGACAGCACACTTCCCGAGACATCTTGTCAGGCCCACAGATCACTGCTTCTGTTCCCCTCAGTAGGGAATCCCCTATCACCACTACACGCCTCCTCTTAGGTTTGGTCGGGGTTCTTCCGTGAGCTGTCCGCTCCAAGGTCGCCTGCACATTCCCTGAGGACTGACTTTGCTGCTCGTCTTCATATACCTGATCGACTGTAACGAGGGAGAGATCCTCAAATGGAGTCTGCTCTTCGTCTTCCATGCTAGGGGAGAGGACCTCAACATCATGGCAACAGATGATGATGACGATGGGATGACGTTTTCTAATTTATTGCATGGTGTTTCTTCTCAAGGAGTAGATGATGATGAGAGTTCAGTGGATATTTATGATGGATTAGACAGCTCTCCAGTTATTTCTGTCAAACCTGCTACAAAACTGACCACATCAATAAGTAGTTTAAACCTATTCGATGAGATCCTGATTGAAGAAGGAACAGCAAAGGAAGCTACTTACAATGATTTGCAGGCTGAACATGAGAAATGTCAGCAACAACTTCAAGAGTTGACAAGGAGGTTTCAGCAAATACAAGAACAGAACTCTGCTCTGCAAAATGAAAACCAGTCTCTTAAAAAGAATATTTCCGCTCTTCTAAAAACAGCTAGAGTGGAAATTAATCGCAAGGATGAAGAAATTAATAGTCTCCAGCGAAGGTTAACAGAATTTCAAGTTCATCCGAATAGAACATACTTCCCAGCATCAACTAATAATGCAAGAAACTTTGAGGGATCAAAACTGAAAAATAAATTCAGAGATTTAGTTCCAGAGAACAATTCAAGAACCGATTCTAGAACTACCCAAGCCCTGCCTAAGGACAAACCTTGCGGTTATCCACCTTGGGGTACAGAAAATAAGAAATTGCTTCCAGAAAAAGGAGACACTCTAAATGATGACCGGGAGATTCTATTGGAATGTCAGAAGAAAGGACCTTCAGGAAAAACATTTGCTTCTGTTGCTGTCAGGTTAAATAAAAGTCCAGCTCAGGTTGAAGAAAGATTCAAGCAGTTGCTGAAACTTTTCAAGATGTCAAACTGCAGCTAGTGGCTATACTATTGCTACTAAGAATGGACTGCTATGAGTTTATGTGCACTGTGTGCATGTGTGTGTGTGTGTGAGAGAGAGAGAGAGAGAGAAATGGGACATGTAATCAAAGTCAGAATAACTGTTTGTTGCTTCTCCATTTAGGTAGACTTAAAATGCACCTTTTATGCCCACAGATTTCATAATAATGCCCTGCTTTCTCAATCAAGAAAATAAAAATATACTTAACTGACCAATTGTGTCGCAGGTAACTCAGTTCTGCCCCTCCCCCCCCGGGTTGCCATGTGTCTTTTTTTTCCAGGACACATCCTCTTTTTCAGGGGTAGCATTTTTAAAATTTGCCAAAATGTCTCTGGCTATACTTTCTGGATGAGTCCTAGACAAGACTGGTGACTGAAGAGTTGTGTTCCCCATCTCTTCTCCTGCCCCCCTCAGCAGTATATCACAGCTTCAAAAGCATACGTATGGTGTTGTTGTTTAGTTGTTTAGTCATGTCCGACTCTTTGTGACTCCATGGACCAGAGCACGCCAGGTACTTCTGTCCTCCACTGTCTCCTGCAGTTTTTTCAGACTCATATTGGTAGCTTCGAGAACACTGTCCAACCATCTTGTCCTCTGTTGTCCCCTTCTCCTTGTGCCCTCCATCTTTCCCAACATCAGGGTCTTTTCCAGGGAGTCTTCTCTTCTCATGAGGTGGCCAAAGTCTTGGAGCCTCAGCTTCACGATCTGTCCTTCCAGTGAGCACTCAGGGCTGATTTCCTTAAGAACGGAGAGGTTTGATCTTCTTGCAGTCCATGGGACTCTCAAGAGTCTCCTCCAGCACCATAATTCAAAAGCATCAATTCTTCGTCGATCAGCCTTCTTTATGGTCCAGCTCTCACTTCCATACATCACTACTGGGAAAACCACAGCTTTAACTATACGGACCTTTGTTGGCAAGGTGATGTCTCTGCTTTTTAAGATGCTGTCTAGGTTTGTCATTGCTTTCCTCCCAAGAAGCAGGCGCCTTTGAATTTTGTGACTGCTGTCACCATCTGCAGTGATCATGGAGCCCAAGAAAGTATAATCTCTCACTGCCTCCATTTCTTCCCCTTCTATTTGCCAGGAGGTGATGGGACCAGTGACCATGATCTTCGTTTGTTTGCTGTTGCGCTTCAGACCATATTTTGTGCTCTCCTCTTTCACCCTCATTAAGAGGTTCTTTAATTCCTCCTCACTTTCTGCCATCAAAGTTGTGTCATCTGCATATCTGAGGTTGTTGATACTTCTTCCGGCAATCTTAATTCCAGCTTGGGATTCATCCAGTCTAGCCTTTCGCATGATGAATTCTGCATATAAGTTAAATAAGCAGGGAGACAATACTCCTTTGTTGTACTCCTTTCCCAATTTTGAACCAATCAGTTGTTCCATATCCAGTTCTAACTGTAGCTTCTTGTCCCACATAAGAGATTTCTCAGGAGACAGATGAGGTAATCAGGCACTCCCATTTCTTTACTTTTTACTTAATCAAACTTTGCCATAGTTCGATTAAATCTGCAGTGCAACTGCAGTAGGAATACTGTGTAGAGTTCTGGTCACTGGACCTTAAAAAGGATATTGTGGAGCCCAGAAACATGCTGAAAGGGGCAGTCAAAATGATTGGGGCAGGAGCAGTTCTCCTTGGAAGAAAGTTTACATTGAGCTTTTTAGCTTAGCAAAAAGATGCATAAGGTGGGACATGATAGGGGAATATTAAATTACACATGGATGGTGAAGAGAAAGTGGACAGATTCCCCCCCCCCCCATAATAGTAGAAGCTGTCTAATGAAACTGATTGCTGATTGAGGAGAGCCAAGAGGAAGACAACACTTCACACAGTGTGTAGTTAAAATGAGGCATTTATTGCAACAAGATGTGACAGACACTCTGAAGACAGGCTAGAAATAGACAGAAATATGCAATGATGGCTACCAACTTAGATGCTTTTTAAACTATCCGCGATGGCTTTGTTCTGCCTCCAGGACTGGCGACACCATGTCTCTGAAGAGCACCATCTTTCTCATAGGCACCCGTCTGGCCACTGTGGGGAATGATGACCTCTGGTCCTGATCCAGCACGACTCTTACGTTGTTATGGCAAGCAGATAGTCAGCAGGCAAAGCTTTTTGAGCATGCAGGGTTAGCGATGATGGGCAAAGACAATACCTGGTGAATGTCTGCTTGCCTTGAAGCTTTTAAAAGCATGGGCTCAAGCCCTTTGAGATGGCTTATCCAGGTTCAGTCAAGTCAAGTCTCTCACAAAAAGTTCTTTAAAGTGACAGTGTGAATGTAGCCATGGGAGTCTGGCAGCCCTGGTTAGGAGTTCCCAGCCCCAAATTGCCAGCAAGCAGTTCCAGCTAATGACAGAGGTCATCCCATGTTGGACAAATGCCAGGGTCCAGAGGACTGAAGGAACCATCATTTTTTACCTCACATTAGGCCAATCCCAAAGTCAGATGCTATAGTCCTGAGCTTCTGGGGTTAAGAGGAATGATGGTCTTCTGTGGGTGTGGGGCTCCTGGGCAGGCTGAGTTAATGCAGGAGGCCTGCTTGACAGATCCCACCCCTCTCACCAATCATCTGCAATGAGCAAAGGAAGAGGAGAAGGTCTGGGATCTTGCCTGTCCTGAAGCCAGGATCAGGAAGGAGGCAGAGAGAGGGATGGATAACTTAAGGCTGGAGACAGGAAATTGAATATCACCTTTATAAAGGTAAAGGGACCCCTGACCATTAGGTCGTCGTGGCCGACTCTGGGGTTGTGGCGCTCATCTCGCTCATGTGGCCAGCATGACTAAGCTGCTTCTGGTGAAACCAGAGCAGCGCACAGAAACACCGTTTACCTTCCCACCAGAGCAATACCTATTTATCTACTTGCACTTTGACATGCTTTCAAACTGCTAGGTGGGCAGGAGCAGGGACCGAGCAACGGGAGCTCACCCTGTCGTGGGGATTCGAACTGCCGACATTCCAATTGGCAAGCCCTAGGCTCAGTGGTTTAGACCAGGAGTCAGCAAACTTTTTCAGCAGGGAGCCGATCCACTGTCCCTCAGACCTTGGGGGTGTGTGTGCCGGACTATATTTTGAAAAAAAAAATAATATTAACAAATTCCTATGCCCCACAAATAACCCAGAGATGCATTTTAAATAAAATGACACATTCTACTCATGTAAAAGCACACTGATTCTGGGACCATCTGCAGGCCAGACTGAGAAGGTGATTGAGCCACATGCCCACTTTGACTGGCGGAATAGCCAGGTACACTCGCCCCAGGCCTTGGGAGGGCTAAACTGGGATGAGTTTTTAACTTTTTTCTAAGAAGACTCCCGCCCTGGGCCTCAGAGGAGCTCTGCACAGCCGGACTACAGATGCCACACAACCCCTGTTCCGCATTTGTAAGAACACAGCCCTTGAGTGTGGCACCACCTACACTTCGGAACTCCCTGCCTATTGAGATCAAGCAGGCACCTTCACTGTCCTCTTCTCAGTGCCTGCTAAAAGCACATCCCTGCTTAGGCAAGGCCACCCAAAGGCTTAGAAAGCTGAGGAAATTTTAATCTGTTTTGGCATTTTAACTTTTGTACCTTGGTTTGGGTTTTTCGATTTTACTGTTTTATCTTTTTTAAGCTGCTTTGAGGGTTCTTTCTCTTTTTTAAAAAAATATTTAATCATTTTTTCAATACAAACAACAACCGCAAAAGACACATACAACAAAAACCATAATAACACTAACACAATTTGACAATTCAACTTTGAATACTGATATACTTATGACTACAACTTTTCAACATTATTTCCCCACCTCTCCTCCCCCTACTTCCCACCACTGTCCACCTCATCACTTAAATATTCCTTCCAGATTTCTTCATATTTATCCATTCTTAATTTGCGTCGACATGCAATTCATTCATATGTAGCTAGTCTGTCCATATTATCAATCCATGTGCTCAATGGAATCTTTTTGCGGCTCTTCCAATTCATCAGAACAAGTTTTTTTGCTTCCAATTTGCTTCCAATTTTTTTACCCCTTGTAATCTCCCACGTTTCCGAAATATAATTTAGAATTCAATTCAATTCCCCTAAATAACAATTTCTCTTTATTACACTTGCTAAAACTATCCTCACCTCGCACCAAAATGATCTTATCATTGGGCAGTTAATCATCATATGTACTGTTCACATTTTTACTCCCAGTTCTCTGCACTTGTTATTTTTTTCTGGTATAGTTTTGCTGGAGTCCAGTGGACTCTGAATATTATTTTCTGTTGTCTTAATCTTAGTTTTATCTTTTTTAAGCCACTTTGCGGGTTCTTTCTCACAGTCAAGCGCTGTGTAAATTTTAAGAAACAGATAAAAATAAAGGGGAAGCCATCCCCCCTCCCCCACACCAACAACACCCGCAAAAAATTTCCTTTCGGGGCAGCTTTCACAAGCAGAAGCCAACAGTGTCGCAAGCTCTCGCGAGAGTTCAGCCCACCTCCCGCGTGATTACGCGAGCGGAAGAAAACCCGTCGCTCCTTCCCTCGTGCGCAGAATTGCTGAACAATCCGTCACGTTCTTTTAGCTCCCTGTTCCCGCGAGATTTCGCGGCTGGAGCGGCGCGCGCCACTCAGCCCCCTTCCTCGCGGGAGGAGCCACTGCGGACTTCCGCGTGACGTCATTCTCGTGATATTTCTCCTCAGCCGTCCCCATACGCTGAAGCTCAGGGAGGCAGATCTCGTGACCAGATCTGCGAGCTCTCGCGGGAGCTTCCTCGAGATCCCAGTCCCCTCCCCCAACTCCATATCCCTTTATGGCTCCACATCTCAACCATAACCGAAGACATGTCTGTATCTTAGGAGTTTCGTCACTAGAAGCAAAGGACGGCTACCCGCGTGATTTTATTCTCCAAATCTCGTGAGGTTTCCAATAAGCAAAAGTAGGAGGAGACCTAGTCCGCCAGGGGGATTGCTCGAACTCTCGCGGCTCTTTGGGTTGTTCTCGCGTGGAATATTTTGCCTCAGTTCTCACGGCAAGTATCGCGATAAACGCTCGTTAACTAGCTCCTTCCCGAGGTTACGGACCTGCGGCAGAATAGGAAAACAACTCTGCCCTGTTTCCCGCCGCCTCATCCCTAGAAGTAACATCCTCCACCAGAGGGGAGACGTCACCGAAATCTCGCGTGATTTCAACTTCCTCTTTTCACGTCTCGCAGGAAGCTGCCTTCTCAGTCATTGTATCGCGAGACTGTACTTTCCGCCATAACTCGCTTCGCCCTCCTCCTCCTCCTCCCGCAATTCTCGTGGGCTCTTGTGTTTCCTCAGATATCGCGTCTCTTCCTCCCTCCCTACCCGGTGGCGAGTTCTCGCGCGACCTGGCTCGGGCTGAGGCTCAGGGGCTGCTGTTAAGATGGCGGCGGCGGGAGGCAACGGGGTACGGCATTGACACCCCCTCCATTTCTTTCCCGGAGCAGGTACCCGCGTTCTGGGGCGGGGAACGGGAGAGCGGCAGCTGCGGAGCAGGGGGCCCGTTGGGGAAAGGCCCGAGGCGGGAGACGCTCTGGCGGTACGGGAAGAGCGGTGTGCGCTGAGGCGGGACAATGGGGCCTGGCTTTTCCCCGTGGGGAAAGGGCGGCGGTGGTTGAAGTCAGGAGGGAGGGTGGGGGGGCGCTTCTGCCTGGGCCTTTCCGTCAACTGGGACCTCGGTTCCAAGTGGGGAAGGAGTACGTCTCTCTTCCGACTAGGAGGCACTTCTCAATTCTCAACACCCCCCCCAACCCCCGCCGAAGCAGCTCTGTGGGCCTTATCACCCTTCACGCCCTTCCTACTCGCCTCATGTAGGGCTTCATCCCCCCCGCTCCTCAGTAGACATTTAATCTATAGTCGCATCTCGTGAGGAAAGCCGGTATTTTCCGGTTTGAGACAGGGAGCTTCGTCATTTATGCAAGAAAACAAGTCTGGTCAACATCCCGTTGAATTCATTAGGAAACATTGCAGAGGATGCTCATAGTTGCAGCCGTGACCTGCAGCCTCCTTGGTTTCATTTGGGTCTAATTTCAAAACCTAAGGCTAGATCCACACCATTGATTGAAAGCACATGACTTTTCCCAAAGAACTCTGGGAACGGTAGTTTCTCCCTCACAGAAGTACAATTCCCAGAACCATTAAGGAAACCTTAGTTCCCAGGACTCGGGGGGGGGGGAGTCATGTGTTTTTAATGTACAATAGTGTGGATCTGGACTAATTGGCAGGTAATTTCTCTTGTTTCTTCTCTCCTCAAAGGTATAGGGCTACTTACACCTTTTGTCCTGGTACAGTGGGAGCTTTTGGCACCCATTCCATCTGTTCCTGTAAACTCGCCCTTCCATTTCCCAGTGTAGGACAGTACTCAAAAATCTCTCTTTTGCCTGGTCTAGCTCATGTGGTATATTAGTTTATTCTTATAAGAAGTCTGGTAAAGATTGGGGTTCTTCTTTGTCCCTTTACCTGGTAGTTCCAAGCATCTTTGGAGTACCATTTTCTTTGGAGTACAATTTATATGTGCTTCATCAGTCTCCATTCCTATTTTCCTGGATAGAAAAATTATTGGGATATAAGCAAGATGTGTTCACAGTGATGAGAAAAACTATTATCTGAGTCAGGACAAATGACTCAAATTGAATAGCACATTTCATTTGCATTAAGTAAGCCTTTTATTTTAACTGTATATAGACTATGGTAGTTCTTATACCAGAGAGCCAAAAAAGGCAAGAACAGATTTAACTCTTACCCAGGCATTAGCTAATGTTGCTCCTAGCCTCTGAGGAGTATTAGTATAGTTCTAAGTTCTTTTTAAATATATTTTCCTATGATTCAGATGAGTTAATCCATGACACTATGGTCCCATTATAGTTTCATAGGTGCAGTTTACTCATTTTTCAGTAGGAATAGATATTGCTGGCAAGGAAAGTTGGGCACCTTTTGGCATGGTTCTGGCAAGATAAGAATCCATGATCAGTTTCACAAATTGATTATTTTTAGTAGATATAGTTGATATGGCCATATTTGTCTCTGAAAACTTGATTCCTAAGGATGCACAAGCTGACCATTTAATCTGAAAAAAGGAAAAGAAATCAAGCCTTTGGGGAAATAGTACACAATGTAGAGCAAAAGCTGGTCATCTTAAAATTATTAAAAACTGTTACTTTACCACAGTAGAAGTAAACATCCTGTGAAAGCTTGTTTCTGCTGTCTCCTTCATTGTATGGAAAGCTTGCTAGATGCACAAAATGCCAAAGTAATGTGCTGAGTTTACAGCATTTCTTAGTTCTACTTGGCCAGTTCACTTTGGTATGATTAGGATGTCAAAATGTTCTTCCTATCAGTGAACTGTGCACCTCCTTGCTTGCATTCTAAGTTGTCCTGCATTTAAGACAAATATCCTAGCCAAGGGGAGCTAGATTAGCAAAGTCCAAAGCTATACCAGCCTGAATGTCTTTTCAAAAAATACCTGTCAGTACCTTGAACTCTGCCTGCTTGAAGCCCAGTACTAACTTGTGTGGTTTTGTTGCAGACCCTAAAATAGTCTGACATAAGTGGATTAGAGTGACTGTGAAACCAGAAGGTGTTACCCTTGGCTGACTAGGGTGAGGCAAAGGTGCCAGAACAGTGACTTGGATAGTAGACCAGGCCAAGTATGGATTGGCTGTGATTCCAGGTTAGTATTGAACTTTCTTTGTTTAATCCTGCTTCTCTTCAAATGGTAGCGATTCCCTGAAATTTTCTTTTTCCTAAAAGGTACCCTCTGATCTCAGAACAACACTTGTTTAAGAAAGGCTTCAGAGTCTAACCTTGGTTTGTATGGGATTATGGCTGGTTGTTTATGTGGAGTGAATGTAATTCCTTAGTGGAGTGGTCATGCCCCTTCTTTTTTCTTGTCCAAATGCAAATGGCAGCTTTATTTGCTGCATTTGAACTATTACTGTGCACCAGTTATTCTTTCATTTCAATACTGTAACAGAAACCCGCAACCACATATGGTACAATTCTGCATCTGTTGTTGCTACTTAAGAGTGTAATCTGAGGCTGAAGAGGCAACTTGTCCCAAGCCATCAACAAATAGTTTGTTTGCATACCAAAATCCTGACCACAGAACCAAATTTGGGAATGGGAGTTGATATTGCTTTCTATATTCTTTCTGTGTAGAGGGCTGCAAAACTAGGGATTCAAAAACCCACTTTGATTTTTCAAAGCTTATTGAAAGGAGTGCTCAGTTGGTAGAGCATGAGACTCTTTATCTCAGTTCCATGGGTTCAAGCCCCATGTTGGGCAAAATATTCCTGCATTGCAGTGGGTTGGGCTAGACCCTTATGATCCCCTTCCAACTCTACAATTCTGTGATTCAACTAAGTAGGAGTGGTTAAACTTTTAATGTTTGCTTGTTGCTTTTTTATTTTTATTTTAAAAATCTTGTTCACTGCTCATGTCTACAAATATCTTTTCACTAACATTTTCATCAGTTTTAGATCTTAGTTCATTGTGGTTTTGCTGGATTAGACCAAACTTCATTAGTCCAGTATTTTCTATAGAGCCTAGCCAGAGGCCTGTGGAAACTTGCAAACATTGTACAAAAGTGATGACAATGTCTTAATTATCTCAACATCTGTTGTTGGAATGTATATTGCTTCTATGTTGAGGTTCTGTTTAGCTGTTGTGGCAAATAATTTTCTTCCTTGATGCATCCCTTATTGATGTAATACAGAGATTACTTTCTCCCATTGCTGAATGATTTCCCAAATATTTCTATGTTGCAGTAGTATGCATTTGTTACTGTGTAGCTGTGTGTGTAGTTGATAAGCATTTGTACGAGGCTCTTGAGCGTTCAGAGCATTTCACATACTGATATCCTTGCAATAGGTAGATGTTATCCCTTTATTGCTTGAGGCTGAGAATTCATAGCTTGCCTAAAGCTTCATTGGCAGAGGTGAGATTCCAAGCAGGGACTTCCTCACTCATAGGTCTGTCTTGGAATGGTAGTATGTTAGTAAAGGTTAGTAAATTTTTTTTGGGTAAAGTGGATATTTGGTAGCATTTCTGTCCCCCACTGTAATTGTTATACAGTATTAACTTTAAAGTAAGAAAGGCAAAGTAGATTGGTTCTGCATGGCAGTTCACACAACTCGTGATCTCCAGTGGCATTTATAACATCTTCTAATCTAACAGGTACAAGGAAATTTTAATTAAATGAGTGCAAGTTAGGGCCATTGAGTGATGTAGTTCATGCAGGAGAATATCCTAAAGTCCTTGGCTATCCCTAAGGAGAATGAATAATAATAAATATATTAAGCCATAATTCTCCTGCTGTATTGTGTGTGTATCCTCTGGAACATTTGATCCTTGTTTCTTTTTGTAGGCAACAAACTAGGTTAGATATTTCATAATCACCCATGGTGTATTCAGCACTTGGGAATGTGAGTTTTTGCTTAATAGATTTCTTTGGGTCTTTGAAAGGCATTATGATTTGACACCTAGAGATCTAGTGTCCAACTTATCTTGGGCTATCTATCAAATCATTTAACTTTCTGTGTTTGTCAAATTCATCCTGAAACAATTCAACTGGAGCTAGTGCTTCTAGAGAGCACTTGGTGTTTACATATTACTCATTCATAAGCATGAGGGCAGACCAGTTTTTTCTTTTTGCAAGGTCCAGTACTCCTGCTTTGATTCACCATATGCTGACAGACTGGATATATGACCTGAAGGCTTTGTTTAAGGTTCTGGAAGGTAGATGTATGTCAATTACCCTGTGACAGCTAGAAATAAAGTATTTGGGGATGTGTCCCAGGTGTTTTTGAGCATAATAAAATGTGCTATATTTATATATTATCCAGTGCTTTCTTGGGACTTAGGACTGATAATGTATTATAGCTATCAAAAGTTTCCTTTCCTGTACGCACACAGCATAAATTACAGAACTAGTTGCTCCAGTTGTTGATCAGATGATTATCTCAAACGTACAAATAAGTCCACAGATCTTAGCATCTTAAGATTTAACCACCCCTGTCTCTAGCTGATATTTGCTTCTCAACATAGGCCATTAGAGAAGGGCCAAAGTATACATGTTGGCCTTGCTGTTACCATGACTGAGGAAACTGACTTGATTTTTTTTTGTACATGTATTAGTAATGGTTATTTTGTGCATGTTAGCTACTTTTATTCTGAGTTCTTACATACTGTATAAATGGCTTCTTGGCTTAATAGCTACAATATCACTGTCAGAGCCAGTTTTGCCCTCTGTCTCAGAGACTCTTAATTTGATGTGTCATAATAGTAGAGTTGCTAAAACCTGATATACTTGTTGACCAGCTTAACACATCTGGCTATTGGAGTGACTTGCAAACTTGCAAACAAATGTTCACAGTGAGGAGATTAGCTCTGTCTTCTTTTTTGAAGGTCCCTCCTATTAAATCCCTCAGTTTCCATTGTTACTACATTATTCCAAGATGACCATTGGCCAGAATGCTCAAGATATGTGTGATTGTAGCAGGATAGAGGCTGTGGTAAAGAGCATTAGCCTCTTAGTTTACTGCATGTAGAGAATGTCTAAAAGTGCCACTATGCTAAACTGTACAGCCATGTGAAACAGCTTAAAATATTTATTTCAGGCTTCATTGTTTGCCCAGATCTGTGTGAATACAGTACAATTGTCAGGAGATAGACATTCTCTTAGATTGGCATGTCTATTTACTTTTTTCTTCTTTGGTGATCACTCATAGCCGAGTAAGATTGTCTTCTATTATTGATACCTTTGTATACAGCACCCTGAAAAATGCTTTTGAAGGGCAGTATATAAATTCCACATATGGTTGTAACCATTGTCTCCTGAGACAGAGGTATGCCAACAACATGTATCCAGCATCGCCTTCCACTTGTGCAGTAGGACTTCCTCTTCCTCTCTTTGGCAGTCCTATAGATGGTTTTGCTGAATTGAATTGGATTTTAGAACTTCTGTCAAGGTTTTGTTAATGTGCTTGAAATACCAAAAATTATTGTATATTGTTAGTTGTGGCTATGCTGGGATGTAAGATGGATTGTGGTGGCACTTTTCCATTCAAACTAAAGTGTAATCCTTTATTTCCTTAGCTGTGCAACTTACTGCATGTTTGGCCTTGGTGGAATTGTTCTGCCATGTATCAGCTCCATCTCCTGTCTTGTTTATACTACACAGTTCCAAAGGGAAGTGATTTGTTGACCTTCCCTCTAAAACGTGGTAGGGATGCAGAATTCTAAAACATACAAAGACTTGATCAGGAGTGACAGATTTGTTTAACTGAAGAAACTTAACTATTATGGCAAGCTAAGAAGAAATCTCATTAAGAACCAAGTGAGGTGAACTTTTGGAGTACATGAAATCCAGAATATGGTCCTAAATTCACTAACAGAAAAGAAAGAATTTCAAGAGATGTTAATCTGAAATTGGTAGAGAATGAATGAATGAATCTTTATTTGCATCAGGCATCGGCCATAGCAATAAAACAACAATACGATATACAAAGAATAGATTTTAATCGAGTGGTAGAGGCATGGTACCCTGTCTCTCTTTCACTTGATATTGGACAGATTTGCTAACGCTGGTAGTCATGGGTAGTTATACATTTTGAATCTGAAAGAAATCACTTCACACAACAGATCACAGAAACTTCCTTTGTATTATCTGCACCAAGCATTTAATGTATGGCAGAGGTTGAACCAGATAAGTAAATTATGCTCTTTAAAAAGAATTCTTACCTCTTCTCAAGAGGCAAGTTTGCAGAGCAGTTCCACTTGTTATAAAACTTTGAATAAGGAAAGACCATGGATCATGTGTTTACTACTTGTACTGTGGATCAGCTATTTTCACCCACCCCCACCCCCAATGTTTTGGGGAAACCCGTGCTTTCAGTTGGAGCTTATCAAGGATTAATGAGAAATCACAACGTGCAGCCATAGTCTGGTGTTAAGTGTGTGTGCGTTCTAAGTCTTCTACTGTGCACTGAATTTCTATGATTGAGGTTCAGGAGTTCCATGAAGGTAGAACACTTTTGAAAACAGCAAGACTTCTTAATTCTTCTGATGAGGTTTTTTGAACTTCAGCAACTACACCGTGTACCACTGAGACTTGCTTGGTCTTTGAGTAAAATTTAATAAGCCAACCAAAAGCTTTTGCGTGTTAGAAAAATCTATAACTTGAAACAGAAATGTCAATTGATTTGAAGAAATGTCTGTTTCAGCAGTCTTTTTGAAGGAACACACTGCATAAAGTGGAATTAACATGGAAGCTTATATCTTTGAAACTGCATCGAGTTTTCACTCCCACACTGCATTCCAGTTGAGGGACATGCACTGTTTGGTGTTAGCTTTCATTCTGATATTCCAATCCAGAGGTTTTCAACCTTTTTGAGTCCATGGCTCTTGACCAACTGCATTCTTTCTGTGGCACCTCTGAGGCTTAGGAGCCCAGATTCGTCACCCCTTGCCTGCAGAGCTGGCAACCCCTCACCCCTTTTTGAACACCCTCTCTTGTGGACTGTTCCCTCAGCCTCCTCTCTTCTCCCCTCTCCTTGGGAGTCTTTCGGGCAGCCGCTGCTGCTGTCCCTGGTCTCTGAGCTGCCTGCCCCCCCCCCCCTGCCCGAAAGAGAGAGCCGCTGCTGCTGTCCCTGGTCTCTGAGCTGCCTGCCCCCCCCCGCCCGAAAGAGAGGTGCCTCCTCACACTGCCTCACAGGGGCCTGGGAAGAGGATGCCCCCAGCCTTAGTGGCCCAACAGAGATTGGCCAAAGTTGAATGTGAGGCCAGCACCTTTACCTTGGGAGGCAGCAGCAAGCGTTGACAGTCCTGCATGGCAAAAAGGCGCTCAGCACCAGGCACTCAGCTCCCTGGCAGGCCTTACACACAGCAAGCACAAGAAAGGTCAGCGCACTGCCTGCCTCCCTGCCCAGCCTCCTACTTGTCTGTCCATTCCCAACAGCAAGAGCTGGTGGACCGGCTGGCTGGGCTCCCTAGTCTGCTTGCTTCCTTACTCCAAGGCCACCTCAGCTCCTGACAACCAGCACCCGTTGGCCAGCCCCAGAGGCACCATTCACCTGGGGAGCTTATAACCAGCACTGCTGCAACAAACAGCTGTGCAAGCCTTTGGGAGGCAGAGACGCGAGGGCATCAGAGGAGAGGGAGGGAAGGAGGCCAGTGTTGTCCGCGGCACCCTCGACCATCATTCAAGGCACCCCAAGGTACCATGGCACACTGGTTGAAAACCACTGTTCTAATCTAACAATCCAACACTTTCTGTGCTGGTTTGTTTTAAATGTCACTTACTGGGTTTTGGTTACCACCTGCAAGCTGATGGTGTTGAACCTTTACAGATCAGGTAGTTTCTGAAGCCATTTCAAGAAGAGTTAACAGTGCTTGGCCTCTGCTTACCTGGAGCTGCAGCACAGGATGTGTAAACTTAGTCTCTCCTTTGCTGCATGGTCCTGTCAGACCTCTATGTATGCTGTTGTTGCTTCAGTAGCTGGGGGCACAATGAGTCACAACAGACAAAATGCAAAGGATGGTGCTGGGAGTTCCATCACTTGTGGACACTGTATGCCTTGCTTTTGGTGATGTGTTATGTTTCATAAATGAAACTTAAACTCGAAGTTGTTGCAATGACTAAGCATGTGTATTACAGGTCTCATAGGAGTCTAAGAGGAAATCTGGCAAGACATGCTAGTCTTTTGGGATTTCCAGAGTGTTTGCTGTAGTTAGCCTCTAGGGTTTCTCATCATTCTTATCTGAGTAATTTTGACCCTTCAAAGGCAAGTACATGGATCTAATTCTGTCTTCATCTAGACTGTGTTTTTTTGAAGTCTGAAGATTTGAGACAACAGTGAACAGAGAACTTGTGGTACTTTCTTTTTGGAACTGTGTTGCTGCAAGGTGCAGGGCATCCATATCAGAATGCTTCCATGGTCGTTCTATACAGTGGTACCTCGGGTTAAGTACTTAATACGTTCCGGAGGTCTGTTCTTACCCTGAAACTGTTCTTAACCTGAAGCACCACTTTAGCTAATGGGGCCTCCTGCTGCTGCCGCGCCGCCGGAGCACGATTTCTGTTCTCATCCTGAAGCAAAGTTCTTAACCCGAGGTACTACCTCTGGGTTAGCAGAGTCTGTAACCTGAAGTGTATGTAACCCGAGGTACCACTGTAATTACTTATTTATACTTAGACCCCACCCTTCACCAAATGGTCCCAGGGTAGTAAGTACAATTGCAGTATAATAATAAAAGAAAACCACAGAAACAGCCGCTATCAGAATAACAAGACAGCAGCATAGAACAGCAGCGTTCAGCAGTATAAAAGGAAGGAATGCATCTACTTAACCAAAAACCTTGGGTAAAGAGGTACATTTTTGCTCATATCTTGCACATGGAAAGATAACGCCTTGGGAAGACAGAATGTCTTAGCCTAATGTTTTGTCTACGGTGAACTTTTGATATGGGAGAGCATTCAAAATCTCAAGCTTACATGCCCAGCTAGAATGTACCTCTTGCTTTTCCTTCTCATTAGGGGGCCTTCATATAAACTCTGTAACAGAGATTACAAGCTCATGGATGGATTATGTATTTTATCCAGGAAATATAGTGGCTGCTCTAGTGGTCAGATAAGTCCTTTTTTTAAAAGCATGAATCCTGTGGAAATGACAGTGTTATTTCTGTTTTATAAATGGTGATTTGATTGCAGAAGGGTCCCTTGTTCAATCATCACTCAGATAGCAGGACAGTCTCTTAGACTTGAGAATCACCTACTCACAATTTTTGTGCTGGGCTAAAATTCAGTGTAATGCTTGTTATTTATGGTCCTCCTCAGTAGACCTGGAGAGCCACTCTTTTCTCATGTCCCTACCAAGATGTCTGAACATTGTTAACAAGTTAAAATGCCTAGAATGGCAGTGGGGCAGGGAGAGAAGAAAAATGTTAATTGTGTGCTTCACAATGGAAGTAACATGGCTACGTAAAGTTAAGGATCTAAAATTCCCTAAGTGTACCACTAACTGGAGCTCCAGCCAAACAGCGCAGAGTGAATCCACATGCCTCTGCTGCCCCCACTAGCTCCAGAGCTAGAGAAGGACAACAGAGGAGCTTCTGTTGGGTCCCAATCTTGTGCTGATGTTTACAGATGAAGGATAAAGTTGAGGGCAAGATCCTGTCCTTTAAGGGAAAGTGCATGTCCTGGTGAATACAGTTTTTTAGCTGACTATCATTGCTGCCCCAAATTTGTTGACCATTATTTATCTCCCAGTTGGGGTATGAGTTGCTCACGTGGCAAATTCTTCATCAGTGCTATGCATTCTAATTTACTTCCTTTTGGCAGACAGGTTCATTCCCTCACAGTTGCAGTGGACACTGGTTTCTCAAACTTGAACACTTCTTTCAACTAGGGTTTGTGTAGATAGAACATCTGGCATGGATAGAGGACGGTAAAATGTTCTTCAGTTATGGCCTGCTCTTTGTGGAAGTCCTATCTGATGTGTGTTGCCTGCTTTTTCAAATTGTTACTTTTAGGGCAGAAGAGAAAACGTTGCGCATGATTTATTCCTGTTAGTTTGAAAAAGCTAGTGAAAAGCGCTGTAGCTGGCAGATGTTGGTGTTTTCATGTGTGCTGAATTTCTCTTGTATCATGAAGAGAGATTGGGAGCCAACATAAACCTTCATTAAGTTATATTGATGTGTGACAAAGTGTCTTGGGCTATGGTTATGTTTTGTGTCTGGTCAGGATGCTTCAAGCATGAATGATGTGTCTGATCATGTAGATTTCTTAGCTGGGAATGCATATGGAATGGAGAGGAGAGAAACAGGCAACCGGCTGTTTCTAATGGGTGCAGGATGATTTGTGGAAATAGCTTTTGTGTTTTTTGTTGCTCTTTAGTGTTGAGCACACTTTGTTAGAAATGTAGAAAGATTTTGGAACCTTTGTGTCTGCAAGAGTATGACGTTCATATTAGATGGATTGAGTGATACCCTTGATTCTCCAGAGAGGGTGCCATGATTTTACTGCATGAGACTAACAGAGTTTTGTGGCACCTTTAAGGCTAACAAATTTATGAAAGTTAACACTTCCATAGACACATGAAGTGTAACTTTTCTTCCGTATCCAGTGAATTGGATTATAGTTTGTGAAGCTTATGCCATAAGTTGGTTAACATTTAAAGTATCACAATATTTTGTTTCCCCTTCATTCTGGTATTCTTGGGTGATCTGTGAATGAAAATCCAGCTGCTAGAGCAATTTGAATAGGTTTGTTGTAAACTTGCTTAAGGATGTGTACTGGTGTGGGCATGTCATAAGGATCTCTAGAAATATGAGTCTTAAGTGTGTGCTTTTTATAGCAGAATTCTTTTCAGGGTCTTAAGGCACTTTCCCAATAGCTTAGTAGGTAGAGCATGAGACTTAATCTCAGGGTTGGCCCCACGTTGGGCAGAAGATTCCTTCATTGCAGGGAGTTGGACTAGATGACTCACATGGTCTCTTCCAACTCTGTGATTATATGATTCTAAGACTAACCACTGAAATGACTTGATGAGTTCCATCTATTCAGTTTGGAGTGCGTTTGGGTGTTTATGCAGCCCCATTCTTCCTACTTCAGACTGTAGCAAATTGTTTTGGTGCCAAGAATTGTTAGCATACTGGCCTTATGTAGGCAAAATTTCTAATTACTTCTGAATACACATGCCATGGTTAAGAAAATAATAACATGGGATTGTATCCTTGTTAATCCTACTTAGAGTAGACTTATTGAAATCAAAAAGTGTGTCCAACTAAAGCAGTATGGTGTAATGATTAGAGATTCAGACTCAGAGAAGGATTGAAATCGCCACTTGGCCATGAAACTCACTGGTTGACCTTTGGCAAGAAACTGCGTCTCAGTCTACGGGAGGACAGGCAGGGTGTAGTAGCAGTGAAATAGCAGGTAGAACATAATGGCAAAATCCTGTTGTTAGAAGTAAGCCCTGCCCCCTGTTATGCTCAATATAGTTTCCTTCCTTTGTGAGAAGAGCACTTGCCTTTTATTTTGGAGTTTTCAGTGGCAAGATTCAGGTAGGTAGCCATGTTGGTCTGACTCAAGTCAAAATAAAATATCTGAAGAAGTGTGCATGCACATGAAATTTTATACCCAGAACAAACTTAGTTGGTCTCCAAGGTACTACTGGACAATTTTTTAATTTTTAATTAATGCAAGTAACTGTAACGGGACATACCTTTTCTCCATGCCTTCTTGATGTTCTAACTGTGTAAACCTATCTGTGTTTGAACAGCAATTCTGTTTGGAATAGGGAATATTGTTGAGGTGCACATCTATTGAAAGTGCTGTATGTTTGAGAGTACGTATTATAAACTGATCCTCACAACAGTTTTAGGTATCTAGATATTGACTCTTGAGGCTGCTGTGTTCTGGACAATATCAGAACACAGCTGAAAGATTTTTTTTTGTTGGGACTGGTAAAGGGATCAGATGATGCAGCATTTTTTCATTTACCATTTCTTGGTCCATTTCAAGCCTGCAAATCCCAGGTTGAATCCTGAATGCTCCTACCATCTTGTTGAAACTGGTGATGACTGCCTAGAGGACCATCGATTGTGGTTCCATTATTTTATATTTATGACCCACCTTTTTTCTTGACAGGGATTCAAGGCTGTTTACAGATAAAATAAAAGCAGCTTAAAATATGGGGGGGGGAACTCATTAAAAAAGAAGCATTAATATAAATAAATAATATTAGAATATTACATTATTAATATTTTTTTAAGTACAGTATTTCTCTCCCTAAGGAAGCTTGCCTGATGTGTATACTGTCTTTTTGTCACCAGGCTTTTAATCTTTAATCTGTGATGAGACTTTGTAGCCAGTTCTGCTTTGTGAATGTAAGTTGCCTTGAGAATTTGTATTGAAGGGTGGTATGCATATTTAATAAATATTGATTCCACAGTAAGTATGAAATCACTTCCATAATGGAGAGAGGCTGGCCAGTGAGGATTTACATAATGAGTTAATGTCACCAAACCTAAAATCTTCCAGGATTTAACTATTCTTTTAGAGAGATGTTACCAGAATATGTGTGTTAAAGAAATAAATCTGCTTAGCGTTTTATGCATACTATAAGTCTTCTCCACCAGAAGCTTAGCTGGCAACTCTTAATGAATATGCAATTATTCACCCTTATATCTCTCTTCACTTCCTATTCCTTTTATCAGTTTTCCTTCCCCTCATCCCTCTGGACAACACTCGTTTCTTAAGACTGGGGTAGCTCAGTTGGGAGAGCATGAGACTCTTAATCTCAGGGTCATGGGTTTGAGCCCTGCGTTGGGTGAAATATTCCTGCATTGCAGGGGATTGAACTAGAAGACCCTCATGATTCCTTCCAACTCTACAATTCTCTGATTCTATAATTCTGCTCTCCTTGGCCTGCCGCTGCTTATAGATTAGCCCTGTGCTACTGGTCTGTCATGATGAAGCAAAACCAGAGAGATATAGAATTGGAAATTGTCAGGGAACTGCCATCAGCTCAGAGACGAGAGGTGGAAGGGCAGTTGTGTTATAGTGAACCTCCGAAGATCTTGCGAAGCAGTTCCTCCTCTGGCGAGGAGGAAAGCCCCGCCTCCAGTGGGGAGGAGGTGCAGGGACCAGGAGATGCTAGGGAGAGCCTCAATACTGAGCCTGAGCAAAGCGGAGGGGAGGGAAGTCCCCCTTTGCCAGCACCCACTCTGTGCAGTAGGTTTCAGCGCAGAGAGGGGAGGAGAAGGATGGGGGTCATGCGACTGTTATGCTGGGGGAGGTACAAGGACCGGCCACTCCCACATTCTGCTAGCGACTGAACCAGACACGAACTTGCGACGCTCTTCACTGTAAATAGTTTGCACTAAGAATAAAGCTTGGAAAAGACAGGTTGGAGTCTTGCCTGTTTGCTCTCAAGCAACCACACCACCACCTGACAGAAATCTTTACTCCTCCAATAGCATTAGATTTCATTTTCATGTGACTGAATATCTTTCCCCTCATCTTAAAGCAAGGCTATTGCTTGCCCTCCTTGAAGAACATGGCATCAGCTACATGCACACAATCAAGATCTGTGACCTGCTAAATGCAGCTAACTCATGTACTTATTTCAGCCAAATAAATGGAGATTTGCAGAATCACTCAGTGTTGTAATGGGCAGGAGTTCTATTTCAGGTAGTAGATTTAAAATAGTAACTAATTTGATCTTGGGAGTGTTAAGTCTTTCAGCGTTTTTAGTTGAGGGTGGGGAAGGGGAATCTTTCAAGTAGTGCTTGAAAATTGTCTATTTTCTAATCATCACTTGGTTTTTGTGAGCCTTCTTCTTTCTTTCTTTCACATTCATTGTTGCGGGGAGTAGCTGCCATCTCCTGATCAGATGGCTTCAGAGCCAAGTGTCAATCTTAACTATGTTGCATTCTGGGATTTGCAGTTCACTCTGCCTACAGCAGATGGGAACGTACTAGTGTCTGTCTAAAGGCAGACATTTATCCAGAGAAAGCTGTGCTTAAATTTTGACCCAGATGTATTAAGACAAAAACAGAAAACTGGAATGAAGCACTACTAGGTTAGCAGATGGAACAAGTTGTGATTTATGGACAAACACAGTCACTATTAAATGCTGTGGTAACTAATTTTATAGCTGATCTTTCCACAAGTTTGACTTGGCATGTGAATAAAAATGCTCATCATCCATCTGGCCCACAGAATTAAGCAGTTGACTGTGTGGAGGGCCAATACATTGTGGAGATTTGCTGAGTCTGTGGCAAGCCAACCCCTAGGGGTTGTAGGGGCTTCGGCCCCGACAATAAAATACTGTCTAGTGTGTAGTATCTGTAGTTCTACAAAGGAGAGTTAATGCTGTGGCAGCAGGGACACTAAGATCACAGTCCTTTGCACACTTGATAGGAAGGCTCATTGAACACAATGAATTTTCCTTCCAAGTAAGCATGCATAGTAACAGTGTAGTCCTTTGCATGCAAGTCACACTGTTCAATAGGAATTACTCTCCAGTAAGTGTGCAGAGTATTACAGCTTACATTCCTTTTAGCCAAAGAGAAGTAAGCACTGATGACTCCTCCTTGTTAAAGAACTGCATTATATAATTTTACCACTTGATGGTGCCATAATGCTGACAGTTGTGCAAAGCATGGAAGGAACTGGGAATATGTAAATGCTTCTTTAGGACTACGTATGGTGTGATGACAAGGACTAGTGTAAACTTGTACTCAAGCACCACTACCCTTCTCACATCAAGACAGGCAGCGTACTTGCCTGTTTTCCTTCTTGCATTTCAAGCACCTGTCTCTTCTCATTCTGCTGGTTGCTAATATGAAACAAGTGTAGAGTTTTTCTGCCTGTTACTTTACTATTTCTGGAAATGGGGACAGGCTGCTGTCTCCCAGGTGAGAGGAGGCTCCTGTTGGTCTGGAACTACTCAGAGCAACAAATAGGAAAGCTAGAAAGATAGCAGGAAGTGATGGAAAAGATAGCATGGGAACTGATCTTTCCAAGGATTGGACAGATGGTTGCATCAAAAGATGGCTAAGAGAACAGGGTACTGGGCAAGATAATGAATGGGGAAAAGTGTTGAGCCCCCTGTGTAGCTGTGGCCACACACTGAGCCCCTCCTATGAATCCTCCTATGGTCTGGCCTTTCCCTCTTCTGCAGTGGCAGGTCAGCTGGCATCCTACATCAGCTGGGGCAATAACTGAATTAGGACTGGTATAGTCAAGGAAGTATGACAGCCTTTTTTGACCTTTTGCCAACTTGTTTGAGAGGTAGGCTAGTATGTGCTGTCAGCTAAATGAAGATCCAGAAATCAGCCTATAATACTAAAAGACACACGCACAACAACAAAATAGGCCTTCCAATATAAGGATATAGTACCTTGAGAAGGGGAACACATCAACCATGAAGTTGTTGCTCCAGAACCAGCAGATGTGAAGCTAAGTAAAAGCTGAAAAGTTGGTCTGTTAGACTCCAATATAGTCATGTTTGGGGGGGGGGAATCCACACATTTGGGTGTCTAGGTTTCTGTAGTTTTGATGTAGGTCATAAATTTTTCTATTGTTACAGCATTTTTTATAAATATGCTAGGTATCTAACAAATATCGCAGTGACAGGTTTCTGTCACCAGGACCTTCCAGTTTAAAAGCAAAAGCTTTTGACTGTATGACAACCCAACCAGAAGTAAAATGTGGCTAAGCCAGAAAGGACAGAGGTGCAATAGCCATTCCCAACACCAATTTGCTACCCATAATGTGGAGAGACTGGGTTGCTTGAGAGTCACAGCTCTAGGTAACCTGACAGCACTCAGTGTTTTAGTGGGGTCTGGCTGTTTCACAGAGAAGATTTCTATGTATGAGTTCTTTGGTACCAGAGAAATTCCTCCCAGGCCAGGGGGAGAGTAGAGCTAAAAATTGTCTCCTGAATAATTGTCTTACAGTTCTAGAGAAGGTAAAGGAGAGGCATCTAATAAGCTGTGCTAGTGGAGAGTGCAGCACCCCCCTGTATTCTTTGGCCAGGCTAGAAGGAACATGCAACACACCTTTTAAGCCCAGGGGTCAGCAAACTTTTTCAGCAGGGGGCTGGTCCACCTTCCCTCAGACCTTGTGGCGGGCCGGACTATATTTTTTTGGGGGGGGGGGAATGAACAAATTCCTATGCCCCACAAATAACCCAGAGATGCATTTTAAATAAAAGGACACATTCTACTCATGTAAAAATACACTGATTCCCGGACTGTCAGCGGGCTGGATTGAGAAGGCAATTGGGCTGGATCCGGCCCCTGGATCCTACCCATGTTTTAAGCTGTTCCGATTAGTCAGTTTTTGGTCTTGCTGCATCACTTCCTGGCATGTTCAGCTGAGGCCGAAGCCTGTGGTAGTGAGTTCCTTAGTATTATCACCTGTTTCACCTGCCATTGTTTTTAGACCATGGAACACAGTCTCTTATAAGCTTAGGGATTTTAGTTGTGTATCTTAACTGCTGACTTGGTTTTATGGGATAAGCGAGGAGCATACTTCCAGAAAACCATTTTTTTTTTGCGGTACTGAACTGATTCTCCACCAGAAGGTCTTTAAAAAAAATTAGTAATTTTTTTAATGAAATACAAAAGAACGTGCAACATCTGTTCTTTATGTTCATATTTTAAGTCTTTTGGTTACGTTCAGTGTAAGACAATATGGTCTCCAGAGGTAGGGGGAGAGGCTGGATGATAAACTTGCACACCATTTTTTCATTTTTCCAGCTTGGTATATGTGTGGGGATTTTATGTCAGCATCATTTGGGTAGGTTCTCTTTCTATATATTTGTCAGCAAGGTCTTTCTTAATTTGATCTGGCTTGCCAGTGAAATGAGAATGTATTCATATTTTTGTGGCATAGGTACTCTATATACTATTAAATACAGTTAGATATGTTTTTCAGGATTTCTTTCTCTTTTTGGCAGTTTAAGACATTAATGCTGACACCTAAAAGTAAATTCCAGTGGAATCAAATTGAGCAGGCTCTGATCAGTCCCTACTTGAACTTGTGCATGACCCTTGGGGGTCCCTTCCAATTCTACAATGCTATGGTTCTTTGTTCAACCCTGTGCCTTACTGTCCTTCTCTATTGGAATAGATTTTCCTCTGCAACAACCTTTCAGTTTCTTGGTAGCTTTACTGGTCCCCCCCCCCCCCCGTTTGTGCCTCTTATTGCTGTCCCACAACCGGTATGCAATATTTAGGGTAACTGGGGACAGTATCTTGGTCTAAGGATTAAATGTGTTAAAAGAATAGAAGCCTTTTCCTTTTGGGGTGGGTGGAAAATAAATGTCAGTAGTCCGCAGCTATTGTCCTGATTTCCAAAATGTGACTACCAACCTGTTTGTATGGTTCCAGCATGAATCTGTAGTAGTAGCAAATTTGAGAGATGTACAACAAAGAGGTGCCTACAATGAAATCAGGATAAAGCAGGAAGTATTTTGGTAGCCTTGTGTGCTAATGAAGCGTTCATGTGAGCAGTGGAAGCTTAGTACAGTGGTACCTCAGGTTACAGACTCCGCTAACCTAGAAGTAGTACCTCGGGTTAAGAACTTTGCTTCAGGATGAGAACAGAAATTGTCCTCTGGCGGCGCGGCAGCAGTGGGAGGCCCCATTAGCTAAAGTGGTGCTTCAGGTTAAGAACAGTTAAGAACGGACCTCCGGAACAAATTAAGTACTTAACCCTAGGTGCCACTGTATAGAGGTCTTTGGTATACATTCAACCTCAGAAATTGCTTTTGATTCCTTATGTTTATCTAAGACTGCCTCCATTCTATGTAGTTTGAGCTTTTTAGGCCACCTTTGTTCTTTTGCACTGTCACTTGTTTGTTAACTGATTAAAATATGTCCTGCTGACAGTCAACTCTGTCATTTTTTTTTTTTTTTACCAAGCAGGACCAGGAAGCGGAAAACTAATAAAAATGAAAGTGGACCGAACTAAGCTGAAGAAAACACCTACAGAGGCTGTAAGTATCACCTCTTGTTACCTTGAGCTCATCATAGGAAAAGTGTGAGAATATACTGCAATGGGATCAAGGAGATTACAGATTTGACTGTATCTACAGCAGTGCATTTCTGACATTCCAGTTTTGAATGTCTTGGGTTGTGTGATAGTTTATTGCTGGAATAGTCAATCCGTTGTAGGCTGCATTCCCTCAAGGGTAATCTTTTGGGAGGGGGTGCATGCTTTTAGTTGGTAGAGCCATACACAGTGATGAGCACAGACAGAAAAAAACCCCTCTGTGTTCCATTAACTAAACTGAAATAAAGACTGCCCTGCCTGGTTCAATTTTTACATGGCCACCTCACATGAGAATTCCTAATCCTGTGCAAATCAATTCATAAGTAAGCATCACTACCTTTGGTGAGATTACTCTCAGATAAGGATTCAAGAGTTTTTTCATACAACAGATCAATATAGCTACTGTTCTGGAAAGCAAAGACAGTAAAAGCAGTTCCTTTCTGCCTTTGTGTGATATGGACACACACATACTCCAGAAAACTACCATTTTGTTTTCAGACAGTTGGGGAGAAACTTGTTTTTTGTAAGCCATACAAAAAGTTGTTTTAAACAATCAATTTGTTTTTATCAAATAAAACACCACCCAATGGCTCTGAAACTACATAGAGGAAAAGAGGGAAGGGGAGCTTAAAGCCCGGAAAAATTAGGAAGTAAACAGGATTCTGGGATTTCAAGAGTGAGGTAGCTTCAGGAAGCATGAGTGCATGTGCATAAAATGAGATTGGGTGCTGCAAGCCTCTTCAAAATGGCAAGTTCCCCATCTGTGTTTTACTGAGTGCATGTTCCTTAGCAGCAAATGTGAAGATAAATGGGAGAAACTGGAGATCACTGTGTTCTAGAAATAAACGGACTTTCTTCCACTTGGCAGGTTATGATTGCCAGTATCTCAGAAGCTATAGAAATTGGTTTCTAATTTAGATCATTACTCCTACAAAAATGGATTCCAAAAGAAATGGAATGAAGGCTGCGTTCTTTGATCAGTATCCTGTAGTAGATTGCAAGTCAGCGTACCCCTTAATTGAGTTTAGTAACTCATTTAGTGCAGACAGTGAAGTGCTTTTTCATATTACATATCTGACTGTTTAAGCGTCACACAATGGGAAAAGGTAGAAATTTGGGGGCATTTTGTTTTCTATAAATATAAACACAGAAACACCCAAGCTGTTGCTGGTAGGATCACATGTCTGTTTGTGCACATTAGGCTGAGGAGAGAAGTGAGTGATTTTTAAAATTTAAAACAACACAACTCATTGCTTACCAGCATTTTCTTTTATGAAGAAGCATCCGTTGATGTGTAGCAATTAGTGTTCCTTATGCAGTTTCTTCACCTTTCAGCCTGCAGATTGCAGAGCCTTGATTGACAAACTCAAGGTTTGCAATGATGAGCAGCTGCTGCTGGAACTTCAACAGATCAAAACATGGAACATCGGCAAGGTATGTGGTAGCAGCAGATCATGTAGCTAAAAAGCTTGAGAAAATGCAATGCCTCTTGTCTTTTAATTTATATTTATTTTGAGGCTTTATAATATAGCATTTTTTCCAACTTAGTGTGCTCTAGCACTACAATTCCCATCATCTAACCATTGACCATGCTGCCTAGGGCTGATGGGAGTCCAACAAGTTTGGGGAAAGCTCTTGTGGAAGGTTGAGGATGGCATGCGCTTCAGACAACCATGACTGGTCCCAGAGGATTAAAACTTTATGATGCACTTCTAGTTCTGCAAACCAGTTTATAGCTTTATCCGTTGTTGTTGTTGTTGTTGTTGTTACTATTATTATTATTATTATTATTCAATATTACATTCAGTTACACATTTCATCATTCTTTACAATACATTCCAAATTGTGCTATATGTATATATATCTATATGTAGATGTATATTTTCCTTATTTCTACCATTGTGTCTTCCCTCCACCAGAGCTCAACTTTTGTTTTTCTTTACTTTTATATTGTGTTATAAATACTATTTACTTATTCCCCATTAACCAACTTTCCATATTTTAACTTTAACTTTGTGAGCTTCAGTCAATGCATATCAATAACTTTGTTATGGAACAATGTTTTATCATATATTCTTCTACACATTCCCATTCTTTCCTCAGTTTCTGATTTGATTGGAATCTAATAGCTGCTGTCATTTTGGCCAACTCTATAAACTCACAGAGCTTGTTTTGCCACTCCGTTATTGAGGGAACAATGTCCCCTTTCCAATTTTTAGCTATTGGTATTCTGGCGGCAGCTATAGCATATAAAAACACTTCTTTTCTTATCTCCAGGGATGTCTGTTGAGACTATACCTAATAGGAACTCTTCTGGCTTTTTCTCAAATTATGTTTTAAATATATTTTTTAGTTCTTCATGGATTCTACTCCAGAATTTTTTTATTTTCCTGCATCTCCACCATAGATGGTACATCATTCCTTCTGCCTTATTACATCTCCAACACATATTTGATTTTAATCTGTGTATCTTGGCCAGTCTGATGGGGGTCATATACCACCTGTACATCATCTTTATCAGATTTTCTCTTATTGTGTAGCAAGCAGTAAATCTAATGTCTTGCTTCCACAATTTTTCCCATTGCTCCATCTGGATATTATAACCGAAATCTTGGGCCCACCTCCTTTATTTCCTCGTCTTTTAATTCCCACTCTGACAGTAAATTATAGGTTTTAGATAATAATTTCCTTTTGTTTTGTAATAGTTCTTTTTGTAGTTTAGATTCTTCTTTTCCAAAGCCGATTTTTTGGTCAAAATTAAATATGTCGTGTAATTGATGGTATTGCCTCCAACCAGTACAATGTTGTTTAATTTCCTCAAAAGTTTTCAGTTTAAATTGGCCATGTTCTTCTTTTAGTAGTTGGTTGTATGTAGCCCAGTTTTTCTCCATATTTTTCTTTTTTACTGAGATTACCTCCAGAGATGACACCCACCACGGTGTTTTGGGTTCTAGTAAATTTTGATATTTCTCTAATTCTTTTTTGTATGGCATTTTGTTGTATGTAATATCCTCTTATGAAGGCCTTACTTGCGTCCCATATCACTCATATCTGTTTCCTGAGCCATATTTATTTCGAAGAATTCCTTTAGCAGATCTTGAGCTTTGTTCAGTATCTTTTCGTCATTTAAGATCTTTTCATTCATCCTCCATCTCATATTTATTTTCCTGTTTCCCCTTAATTCTAACATAATTGAGTTGTAAAAGTTATAGCTTTATCCTAGTCAGGCTTACTTGTTGTGCCAGTCGGACTTCCAAATAAGCACGCATGGGGGTTGGATCTACAGTGGTACCTCGCAAGACGAATGCCTCGCAAGACAAAAAACTCGCTAGACGAAAGGGTTTTTTGTTTTTTGAGCTGCTTCGCAAGACGATTTTCCCTATGGGCTTGCTTCGCAAGACGGAAACGTCTTGCAAGTTTGTTTCCTTTTCTTAACACCGTTAATACAGTTGCGACTTGACTTCGAGGAGCAACTCATAGAACGCGGTGTGGTAGCCTTTTTTGAGGTTTTTAAAGACTTTGGTGATTTTTGAAGCTTTTCCAAAACTTTCCCGACACCGTGCTTCACAAGACAAAAAAAATCGCAAGACGACAAAACTCGCGGAACAAATTAATTTCGTCTTGCGAGGCACCACTGTAATGTTTTACTCTCCAGTGACTTAGCTCTTGAGTCCACTGTATTTAGCTGATGAATATGGGGATAGCTTGGTTCCCCCCCCCGCCCCCCGGGAGGTATAGCAGACCCTTTTCCAAGAAGTCCAGTTATCTCTCCTTGTCACTGTCATTCTTCCCTGAATGTGCTTTTTCCCCTCTTTAAGTGCGAACTTTACCACTGGGTGGACCTGCTAGACAGATTCGATGGGATCCTAGCAGATGCTGGGCAGACAGTGGAGAACATGTCATGGATGCTGGTTTGCGACAGGCCGGAGAGGGAACAGCTGAAATCCTTATTGCTGTCAGTGTTGAACTTCACTGCCCTGCTAATAGAATACAGTTTTTCTCGCCACCTGTACAGCTCTATCGAGGTAAAGAACTCTAAAGTAGCAGGGTTGGGATTTAGAAGGGCTGAAGGGCCTCTCATCTGAAACATGTTTTAGAAGCAGATGATGGCTTTAATAGTGTAAAGCCGCTTTTCTGTCGGGACAAGAATGACAGCTGCACTATATTGTTGATTGTGGGAGGCAGATGGACTCAAATATTTAATACTTAAATACTTAGCAATTTTATACAATGCTTTAAAGTATTCAAGAGGTTTACATAGCATACAGTTAATTTTTAAATTTTAAAGCCAGAAGGCAGGCTAGTATTATGCTCCCCATATTGTAGGTTGAGGATTGTAGCTGTCCTAAGGCTGCATATGGAGTCCATAGCAAAAGCAAGGTTTGAATTATGGACTTCTGGTTGATAACTTAGTCTGTTAGCCGCAACACTACAGTGACTGAACATGGCAAGGAAGACCAGAGTATTTATTTGCTATAACAGGAAAATATTAATCTCTTTGGAAATTAAGATTGTGGTAGTTTCAGGAATGTTTCAAATACTTTGCTCTTCGCTTAGCACTTGACAACATTGTTGGCGTCCTCGGACATGCAAGTGGTGCTTGCAGTGCTCAACCTCCTGTATGTGTTTAGCAAACGCTCCAATTACATCACGCGCCTGGGCTCTGACAAGAGGATGCCTCTTCTATCCCGGCTACAGCATTTGGCAGAGGTAAGGAGCTGTAAAGAGACCTACAAGAAAGTTGAAGTTCATTGTCTTAATGGCTTCTTTAGATAATGCACCTTTAGAAGCCATATTGATGGATCAAAAATGCAATGTCTCTAGTAAAGAATTATTCTAATCCGTTTCTCTCACATGGGACACACTTGGAGCATTGACAGTCATAATATAAATGGATTTGCTCAAAGCAATAGAAAATGTAAGATCTCTGACACATTTTCTATCTCTGCTTCCTAAATTTAAGGCTTTAGGCATCACATCTTAAATCTGGTTTGTCCTTTTGGGCTGTTTGCATCAGCCCATCTTACTTAGTGTTTTATTATGTACTGAGGTTTCCAGACAGGTATGTAGTTATTTGTAGTATTCCCGTTGTCAAAGTATTAAGACTTAAAAGCCTGAATTGTCTAATTTTATTTGCTTTGGGGTCTTCTTCATATAGCCAATTTTTTATTTGTTGTGGGAGCAATTGCTTTTGAAAGGTTGTGTATTGTTAAACAGACTTTTTAGCCTAATGATGAAGCTAGTAATCCTGAAGATCATTGTGCTACAGTTTAGCCTGCTCTTGTGGCCTTCTGTCACATTGCAGGTGTGGTGTAATCTGAGAGAGAGAGCAGGCGTCAGATTCCTTGAGCACTGCCTTTTTATCTGCTATGTGATAAAAGCAGCATGCAGCCAGGGTATATAAAGGAAGCTTCAGAGGTGGTATATTTTTGGCTAACCAGACCTCTAAGCATTCTGAGAGGTACAGTCCTGTAACTGCTTTTGTGATGGACTGTTTCACGTGATGTGTTTTCCCACCAATCCTTCTGCACAGTACAATGTAAAAATGTATGGTACAAAAGGTCTGAAGGCAGATGAAGAAAAATTGAGAGGTTAAAAAAAGCGGGTGGGGGGGACAGACACTCAGCTAAAACAAAGCACTTTGAGGGAATTGTGTACTTTCAGGGAGAAAACAGGAGTGGCTTTGTAAAACTTTTCTTCGAAAACAATATTTAAATACTATGTTCTCTGTCTGCTCTATTTTATGTTCTTGATTTATTTTCTGTATTTTATTGGTGGTATTTCTGTTTTGTTTATAATTGGAAACTATAATAAAGTAAAATATAAGCCACTGCGTAGGTGGCTCCACTCATCTTTCTCTGGATCCAACCTACTAAGTTTTAATCTGTTTGTGGCTTGATTTCACATCCAGATTACAAAACAAAGGTGACCCAATTCCTTCTCTCATTTTCAAAGCAGTTGAAATTTACTCTGGTGTCACTTGTAATTGCAGTTATCACAGGAAGCAATGATGTACATGACACTGCAATGTGCAGCTGGTTGTTTTCTTAAAAGGTCCAGTTTAGGTGTGCCTGTGGCAAAGACCAAGTACTATCATCACAGGTACAAACTATGATTCAGTGAGTCATTTCAAGCAGCTCTGAAGGCAGCTGAGCACTGGCGCTCTTTATCATAGCCTGTGACAGTTACTTAGCTCTCAAACTTCTGTTTTACCAGTCAACATTGTTGCATTGGGTCATGTTGGATGGTATCTTGGCAGTTTCTCAGTGGTATGTTGGCTTTCATTTTGGGTAGCCTTCATTACCACAAAGCAGAACTTGTCAATTGCTTTTGGAAACAATCATGAGGACTGTTTACATTAAGTAGGATTTTGGAGTCATAGGGGGAAGGGGGGCACTCAGTGAGATTTTAAATGCAGCTGTGAATAGAACATGCATGCCAGAACTTCACATAGCCAATTTTCTATTGATCAAGTCCAACTGAAGTGTACAGTTGAGTTTTCCTTCTGGATTGTTTTTTGTAGGGTTTTGGGGTTCATTCAACCTTTATGTTCTCCTCCTTCTGTCCTGCAGAGTTGGGGTGGCAAGGAGAATGGCTTTGGTCTGGCAGAATGTTGTAGAGATTTGCACATGCTGGTAAGTATTCCATTTTGAATTTTATCTTTTCTGCTACTTTGCGGTTGGTAGCTTGACTCATGGTGTGTAGAACTAATTCCCAGTTGCTTTTCTGATTTACGTGAATACATTGATAGTCCTTTCCCAAGTGTGTCTTTTATAGTGCCTCTCACACTGTTCGTATTTAATAGCAAATTGGCAAATAGTTGGTACTCTGCTCTTGCAGGAAGAAAATTTGGTCTTCCTAACGGGCAAGAGTCCATTAAAACACAGTAGGATTCTGCAATATATTTGATATAAAAGCCACTTTGCATTGCCTGACATAGGCTTTGGAAAAGTTTGACTTCAAACAATGTTTTAGGGTTAGGGATTCTGACACCAAGATTTGGACACTGAAACTCTCATTTTTTGCTGGTATATATAATCTTCCTTCTTGAGGGTAAGCAATGTGTGATTTGAAAGAATACTGGGTATTTGGGGGTGGGAGTTCTTGGGTGCCCTTTCCTTGCTGACTGCATAATTCTTTCCCCCGTCCATGGTGGTCCCCTGAACCAGGAGAGATGCCAGCTTGTGGTTCTGATAGTTACTAGCCTCATCAGAACCGCCCTGTTGCTTTAAAACTTTCCAGTGCCTGCTTTGCTGATTTTTGCTATGTTTTGAAATGGCTACACTCTGGAGTGAAGCAGCATCATTGTGGGCAGGATCATACATAGGGTATTTTCAAGATGTATTGTTTTTGAGAATGATCAGAGTAACAGTCCTTTGCAACATACACATTCTGGGTGTTGATCCTGGTGGAGATCACTTTTTGCCCCAGTTGGCTTAGCATGATCAACACAGATGGTACAGCTGCTATCATACCAAAACAGTGGCAGTTACTGTAAACTTCTGGAAATAGGAAGCAAAACATTTTTAAGGTGCTTCCTGGTTTGCCGCTACCGTCACTGCTGACAGCGATGTCAGGAAGTGCACCAACTGTAGGGCTCATGAGTTGTGAGGCCCATAAGGTCTGATGGCATGTTCTGAAATACTGCCCTTGACCTGGGGCCAGCAAAATTCTCCCCCTCGGCTGCTTCAACTTTTACATTAAGCTTGCATGAGCTGAGTGATGCAAGGCTGAGTAGTCTTATATGCATTGCTACTCATACCCTGTGGGGCTGCTGAAGGCACAGGTCTAGGCCATTGTTCCATGTCTGTGCATCTTCTTGGATATTGCTGTTGTGTTCCTAGATATCAGCAGGGCTCCCTCTGCATCACCATGTCTTCATACCTAATCCTAACTTCTTACATCTTAACTCTCTTCCTCCTCCCACGTGCACAAAAAGATGTAAGGAGAGTTGGGGTGGTGGTTATACTCACACTTCTGCAAGTGGGTGCTCTTAGCACCAGGGTGCATTGTCCTTTGTTACGCTAACGCCCCTCCCTTAACCTCCCCCTAGTCCAGGGTGAGAGTGGTTTGATTTTTTTTTTGGAGGGAGTGTTTGCCATCTGGTTTGTTCTGATTCCATACTGTGATCTGTACACAGAAATACCCTCCCAGTGCAACTACACTACACTTTGAATTCTATGCAGAGCCAGGGGCCGAGGTCAAAGTGGACAAAAGGGTGAGTCTCCTACAGACTTGTTCTTGTAGGGTTCTGAGGGAAGTGGGTGGGAGCAAGATTTGGCAAATAAGCCCACATTGGATTGAAAAAGGCTATAGCACGTTGCTCCCTATTCAGTTTCTAAGAGAAGTGGGGTTCGCTACTCCCAGTGAGTGAATACTAAGATGGAGGAAGTTACTTTAGGTATGAGAAGATGCTGGCAGCCAGTCTTCCTATTCTCAGATGCTTTCAGTAGCTTGATCAACTCATTTTGGAGGTTGTCATGGTCCACTCAGTGTCCTACCTCTGCTGTAGCTGCTGTGCCCTGCAATCAAACATGCTGCTTTTAACTCTTGGAGGTGGTGGTGATGGTGGTAGGGATTCAGTGGTGTTGAAGGCCCACTTTGTTGCCCTCATATCTCAGGGAGAGCTTGTTTTCCTACGTCTTGAGAAACACTCTATGAAAGGTCTCTTGTCAGGTGCAAACAGTTCAAACTTTGTCCTCCCCAAATTCCACACTAGGCCCTGTGAGGACCCTTACATAGTAGCTCCAGTTCCCTGAGTATTTGGGTGTAAAGTAGATGGCACACCTTGACAGTGTTCCCAAATTAAATGGGAACACTTCAGTGCCAGGTACATACACCATTGACACTTTCAAGGTAACATCTCTGTCCACCTGTGAAGAGACTTCTCCATTTTGCTTCTCTAAATGCTTGTTTTTTCTAGGTATGGATTTATGGGGCAGATGTGGATTTATGGGGCAGCAGCTCTTTCTCAAATAGGGGTTGCCAGCACAGTAATCCATATTGGGATATGATTAAAATACCCCACGAAAGCCAGGTCTGATTGTTGGCCAAAGGCACAACTCATTTTTGAGCTGTAGCTCTTGGTGGCTGCCCTTAAGCAGTTCTGTGGCACAGTTGTGACTTTGCCATGGCTTCCGAATGAGAGATCGGAAATGAACTCCAAAACCTTTTTGTTTCCTTTTCAGACTACCAGCAACACACTACATTATATTCACATAGAACAACTTGACAAGGTAAGCTAACTCCCCCTGCTTAATTGAATGATATTTTTAATTTTGCCTTTGTATTGGCTTCTAAGCCTCTCTTATTTACCCAATGCAGATTTCAGAAAGTCCCTCTGAAATTATGGAATCCCTCACCAAAATGTACAGCATCCCAAAGGATAAACAGGTACATTGACAGGAAAGACCAATGTGGTGCTCTGGGTGCATTACAGAATGAGGCTTCTGGTTTAGTTTCAAGGAAAACAAATTTGCTGTGCTTCGGAGATTTTCAGTAACTAAACTGAGTTAATGAATCTCCTTGGTACTTGAAATGGATTTTTTTCTGGGCTTGGTGGGGCGCTTAATGAGTTGAGAGCTCTAGTTTCCAATACTGCTAACTTTGGTGTGGTTTCCATATTGTGTCCTCAAAATGGGGAGAGTGTGATGAGACAGAGAAACGGAAACCCATTGAGAGTGACATGGTTACACAAGGTAGCAGCAGATACTGCCCTGGATTGCATCAGGTTGAGTGCATTAGGGCCACCTTTATAAATGAGATAATAGAATAAATTGTATCATCTGGGACTTCAGAATAGGAATTGCATTTTGAATGTGCGCTCTGTAGACAAAACGAGGGCATTGGGGAGACTGGTTCATGCCCTGCCCTTGTTCTAGTTTTCTGCTTGCAATATTTACTTATATACACATATGACTGAAGTAATAAAATTCGTTGCATCTCATTCTGCTGCATATGTAGATCCTGCCAGGTGACTGGGGTCAGTTATAACCCTGTGAGGGAAGCATTGTCATGGTGGGTGCTTGGGTCTTTATTGCAACATTGCTAACTGTTTTCTTCTTGTAGATGCTGTTGTTTACACACATTCGCCTGGCCCATGGCTTTTCCAATCATAAAAAGCGGTTGCAAGCTGTTCAGGCCAGACTGCATGCCATTTCTATATTAGGTGAGCATGGTGGCAGATGAATTCTTATCTGTGGCACTGCCAAAGTAAAGGGGAAGAATATGAGTTTATACAAGTGGACATTGGGATAGCTTTAAAGTGATACTTTTTATTTTGTTGCACGTGATCGTGTTTTCATGTACTGCCATGAAATAAATAGGCATTTGATCAATCAGTGGGGCAGGACAGGAGACATCTTCTCCCTGCCACTCTGTCATGTGTCCATGCCCCCATCCTGGCACTATTTCTGTTTTTGGCCCTCTCCTTCCATGGCCAGCTGCCGCCAGTGCATGCACTGGCTCCCCTCAGGCAGGCAGGCTTGGGACAGGCTAGGCAGTGGCCCCAAGCAATTTCCAGGGTGAGAGTCTGTCTCTGTCTGTGTCTCTCTCTCCTCCTCATGTGCCCTCCCCATTAAAGTGGAGAGCTCTCCACTTTATGTAATTTCACATGCATGTGCGGGGTTGTGGAACGTAACCCCTGCGTAAGGGCGGGGGAATGCCTGGACTATGCATTTCTGGGGACTCTTGAGTCACATACGTGACTTAGCTATTCAAGCTGCTTTTTAACTGATAGATGTAGTGGCTCACAACAAATGAAGTGAGCAAGTCTGTGTATCAAGGAAATCCTACAGTGTAGCTACCATTGCTGAAAAAAGACTTGGCCCTGGACATGTCAGCCTGTCCTCTCTATATATCAGTATTTAGACCCGGATGAGTTAGTGCTATCAAGTCTTGACTTATTTCCCAGAGACTAACCGGTAACCAGCTGATATCTTTTGGTACCAAGGAAATGATTCTAATAGTCCAGGCATAGGCAAACTCGGCCCTCCAGATGTTTTGGGACTACAACTCCCATCATCCCTGACCACTGGTCCTGCTAGCTTGGAATGATGGGAGCTGTAGTCCCAAAACATCTGGAGGGCCGAGTTTGCCTATGCCTGCAATAGTCAGTCCCAGCCACTAGCTTGGCTGCTGCACTAACTGAAGTTTATGAACAGCTTTCAAGGGTAGCCCCAAACTGAATATATTACAGTAATATAATATGGAAATTACCATAGCGCAGATCTCTGCTGCTCCTACAGAGAAGGCATAACTGGTTGTACCTGGTAAAAAGGTACTACTTGTCATAGTGCCACCTTTATATATAAAAGCAGCAGTATCTTAAGATACAATCTTAATCTGTGATCTCTCCCCACCCCCCGAATCTAGATAAGATCTATTCCCAGTCCCCAAGATTAACAGGGGAGCAAACACCACAATATTGTCAATGAGATAAGTTTAAGTTGGCTGTAAGCTTCTTTCCTACTTAACTACTGCTGCAGATACCAATTCAGGAATTTCACTGCCTCTTCAAAAAGGGCAAGCATTAATTGTTGCCCATATATTGATGATACACCATTCAAATTCTGTGATGACATTTCCCAACAGTTTCATAAACATATTAAAAACATAGGAGAGAGCCAAGATGGTTTTTAAGTAGTCTGAGAAAAATAAAGAACTTTACACTAAATTGCCATCTTTGAAAGCTGTAGTCTCTTCCCACCCCCAATTTTTTAACAGGCCAGGGAACAAATGTTATTGTGCTTATTTGTGATGTTGCTTCATAGAGGCCTGGTTGACTTAAATGCTTGTTCCTTCATGGCCAGTTGGTGGGGTTGTGGTTCATAGCAATGAGAATTTTAGGTTGTCGACTAACAAATGCAAGGACCAGAGGGAAGCCAAACAAAGCCATATAGAACCATGTTTGCTTTCTTCCTCTGATCTGGAGCACCTGGACATAGCTTGTACAGTAGAAGCTTGTGCTTCTGGATCAGAGACCATAATTGTATTAACCAGTTATGTGTCACTTAAAATAATGGATAGGTTTGTCCCCCCCCCCCCATGTCTGTCACCTGCTGCAAATTCTTAACAAAGCCTCTCTCTCTTTCCACAGTGTATTCAAATGCCTTGCAGGAATCCGCCAACAGCATTCTATACAATGGGTTGATAGAGGAGCTAGTGGATGTACTGCAGATAACAGATAAACAGTTAATGGTACGTCATCTATCGACCTGCTTCTCCTGCCCAGACTTGTTGGTAAGGAAAGCTAGCTCAATGGTACTCACCTTAGTTCCTTCCCAAGGTATTGGCATTGGGTTGGACTGTAAAGATTCTAGAGTTTTTTTCTGCCATTTTCCCAGGAGCTTGTCACTAGCCTATTCAGCTTCCTTTGATACTGACTGAATATGTGGATATTTATAAATTATAATATAGCACACGATTCTCCTCGGAGCTAAATCCCTAATCTCCCCATTTCTCTTTGACAGGACATCAAAGCCGCCTCACTGAGGACGTTAACTTCCATTGTGCACTTGGAGAGGACTCCAAAACTCAGTAGTATTATTGATTGCACTGGAACTGCCTCCTACCATGGATTTTTGCCAGTCCTAGTCCGGAACTGTATACAGGCCATGATCGGCAAGTATTTCTAGATCTCACATGTACTTTGGTTGTATTCTGCTTGTTGTATTCTAATGGTGCTTCCTTTCCTCTTCCCAGATCCCTCCATGGAGCCATATCCACATCAGTTTGCCACAGCACTCTTCTCCTTCTTGTATCACCTGGCAAGCTATGATGCAGGAGGTGAAGCTCTAGTCTCCTGTGGCATGATGGAGGCCTTACTGAAGGTAATGTATGCTCAGAAGAATGAGTAAGGCAGCCAGTTCCCAAAAATTAGAGAACCGTTTGCTGGACTCCTGTCAGACAAAAATTGGGCATGCAGTTCTTTTGACTGTTGTCAAGAAAACTGGAGCACTGTTGTGTGTACAGATACCCTTCTCTGTCCCTTGCCTCCACATCTTGCTGCTGCTGTTCCCGTTAGCCAGTTTGTTTGCCAGTTTGTTTCTATTGAATTAAAACTGGTAAATCTTGAATGCCAGCCATAGGGAAGCCCAGTTTCTGGGCTGGTGAGGCCGAGAAACTATCTAAGAGTAGAAAAGATTGGCTCATAAGTATTGGAGCCTAAAACATGCATTCATATGTGTATCTGGTTTGTCTCAACTGAAATGCCTGTTCTGTCAAGCCAAGCTCTGATTTAATAGCATTCGAGATTAGGCATAGTAGCTGCCCTTTGAGAAATCAAACTGCTTGGTGGCATTCCAGAGCATTTAACCGTAGCCTGACTTTGCTGTTGTGACTTTAGTTGTTGTGTTCTGGTCCTCAGACCTCAAGAAGGGCCTTATAGAACTAGAAAAGGGCAGTCAAAATGATCAGCGGGCACTGGAGACACACATACACACACCCCTTTGAGGAAAAGTTACAGCCTTGGAGTCTTTGAGGGGGCAAGGGGGAACATTATTGATTGAAAGATATAAAATTAAGTATGGTGTAGAGCAGGGATGTCCAACCGGTCAACAGGTCAATCCCTGAGTGATAGCGGTAGATCACGTGCTTATTTTCCTCCGGGGGGGGGGGGAGCATCCTTGCACGTGCTGTCCTGACCTGGCGAGAGTCAGTTGTCACTCGGATGCCTCCGCCGCCCTGCTACATGGGTGTTTTGGAAGCTCCAGCCAGCGGGCTGCAACAAGTTAACTCTGACAGGATCGCAGATCCCTGGCTGTGCCTGTCTACTTATGTGATCGGACGGCTGTAGACTGTTGGTGCTCAACCTCTGGTTTCCCACAACGGTGTGACCGGAGGGGAGTGTTCACGGGGATGAAGGCCCGCCTAATCGCCGTGTCAGAGGCGAGGGGAGAGCAGTGTAGTGTTTAATGTTTTTAAAGCAATTTATGGTGTGCCCCCTCCAAAAGCAGCAGAAGTACTGCGCCCCCAAAAACTTAACAGATTTGGTCTGGCCCCCCTAAAAAAGCTAAGCAAATTTGATTCCCCCCTCCCATGGGCAGATCACTGCCAGTTTTTTATTCCGAGAGTTGATTGCAGTCTCTTGGGAGTTGGACGTCCCTGGTGTAGAGAAAGTGGATAAGTCAGTAATCCAGGGTCACTGAACAAATCTGAATAATGGGAGACTGAGGATAGGCAAAAAAGGTACTTCTTACAGTGCATAGTTAAACTATAGAATTCATCCTCAGAAGATGCATTGATCGCAACCATGGTCACAGCCCACTTGAATAATTTTAAAAGGGGATTGAACCCGTTTGTAGTTGAAAAGGGTGTTAATGGTTACTTAGGGTTACCGTATTTCAAGAAGTGAAAATCTGGACACAAAAGTTGTTGAGCTCCCCCCCCCCCCAACACTTCTGATATGGGCTGCCATGCACCTGGGTTTTCATGGACATTTTAACCAACTTTTGACAATTGCGCCTGGACTCCCTTTTCTACGGATGAATCCCGGCTTTGTCTGGGAAATTCCAGACGTATGGCACCCCTGTGGTTACTAGCAAAGATACCTCCCGTATGGGGGCACTGTTGTGTGTACAGCATGCCTCTGAATACCAGTTGCTAGGGAATTTGAGAAGGGAAGAGTTATATTATATTGTCCTGCTTGTGTGCTTCACATTGAAGCATCTGGTTGGCCACTGTGAGAACTGAATGCTGGACTAGATGAACCATTTATCTGATGCAACAGACTTCTTAGGTGTTTTCTTTCGAAATTCTGGATTCTCCCCAATGTCATTTGAAAATGGTGGGTTGTTGTACCCATGGGTTTATCATTTTTGTGGCTCCTGCATTCACACATTCTTACCTGCTTTTACATCTTTCTTCCCAGGTGATCAAGTTCTTAGGAGATGAGCAGGACCAGATCACTTTTGTGACCAGAGCAGTCCGTGTGGTGGACTTAATCACAAACCTAGACATGGCAGCTTTCCAGTCTCATAGCGGCCTCTCTATCTTCATCTATAGACTAGAGGTAGCTGTGCTTTATTCTTCTGTCAACTGCTATTCATTGCATACTCTTCATGTAGGCCTCACTTCACAGCCATTGTTCATTTTTATTACAGAGTTCACAATCATTGATACCAGTGATTCAGTTAACTCTACTCAAGTTGTTTTAAAGCTCTTTTTACATATAGCTTCCTTTGTGTTTTAGCATGAGGCAGACCTGTGTCGGAGGGAATGTCCCTTTGTAATAAAGCCAAAGATCCAGAGACCTGCTGCTACCACTACACAGGAGGGTGAAGAGATGGAGACAGACATAGAAGGTATCTCATAACAGCTATTGGTCATTTTTACAGAAATGTTTATAACTTACTGAACTAATAAACGTAGAGAGGAAAATCTACAGAAACTGTATCTGTTGATAGTATTGGATTTTATTTTAATTGCAACTTGATGTATTTCTGTTAGCTTTTATTACGTTTTAAAGAGATTTAATAATCCTATGTTTTATAGAGCTATAACTAAAATGTTACATGTTAGATACAGTTGGGATTCTTCTGCTGCCTTTCAAGAACTGGATTTTGAAATAAAATGAATTAAGTAGAATTGTGAGATGAAAGGTAAACTTCATGCATTCTCCATAGATGGCAGATTTGACATGCTTAGCCAGTTTTGTTGGGGTGTGTGGTTTGGCAGAGTTGGTTCAGCACTTTTTGAGTGTTGGGGGATCCTCTGGGATTTTTACTTTAGAAAATGGGTGAGGTAGGGTGAGACAAGATAGAATTATACATGGTGTAGAGAGAATGAACAGGGAGAAGTAATATTAGTCTGTTGCTCTGGGGCAGGTTAGGTTGTTGAGTTTTGAAAAATGATAATAAAGAAGTCATGCCTACTGTCATCTTGTGTTGGCAAAGAGAAGATACAGCTTCTAAATGAAAGATAGGGTATTCCAACAGCTATAGCTTTGCAGACATAGGGTGGAACTTGTGAAGGGCCTGTGCTAATTTGTCTTACGCTGAGTACCGTATTTTTTGCTCTATAAGATGCCCCAGACCATAAGTTTTTGGAGGAGGAAAACAAGAAAAAAATATATTCTGAATCTCAGAAGCCAGAAAAACAAGAGGGATTGCTGCACAGCGAAAGCAGCAATCTCTCTTGCTGTTCTGGCTTCTGGGATAGCTGCGCAGCCTGCATTCGCTCCATGAGACGCACACACATTTCCCCTTACTTTTTAGGAGGGAAAAAGTGAGTCTTATAGAGCAAAAAATACGGTATATCTCCCTCTCCCGCGCCCACGCACAACTGAGTCCAATTATTTCCTTTAAAATATCTTTCCATTTCTCTAGTTTCTGACGTAGCCATGGAGAGCAGCCCTGGGCCTTCCACCTCTGGAGAACATCGACAAGAAGTTGTGGTTGAAACAAGGGCCCCAAGTGCCATCACTCCTAGCAGTAGCAGTAGCAGCAGCAGCACAAACATGGTAGTCTCACCCCGAAGTGGTATGTATTGACTTGTATAAAAGAGCTTTTGTTGTACCACTGGAGTGTTTGCCATTGACTGATTTCATTTTCTGGATTCCTTCTTTATTCCAGGAGTTCAGTGTATCCCTCAGCGAGCAGCACTTCTCAAGTCCATGTTGAACTTCTTGAAAAAGGCCATCCAGGACCCAGCTTTTTCAGATGGCATACGGCATGGTGAGAGACTGCCTTAGCATTTGGGCTAAGCCAGCAGTTCTTGAACCAGCTTTCCCTTGACCATCTTCTCATAATGACAAGATGCTTGTCTCTTTGTGGTGTATAGTAGGCTGTAAATGCTGGTGGCTGCACAACTAAAGGCAGGAGTCTCCTGGGATGCTTCCATCCTCCACCAGTTTGGTTCTACTTGGGCAACAGATCTCTTATGAGTTCATTAGCTTTCTTTTCTTCCTTTTTTTGTAAATATTTTTTATTAAATTTTACATCTCAGATGGTGAATGTTATGTTTGAATGGAAATCTGAGAATTCATTAGCTTTCTTTGGTGACTTTTGTATTTCTATCCTACACAGATGTAAAAGTGTGAAATGTCACACTAGACCTCTTTTTGGAAGTTGCTCTTGTTCTGGGGAATGAACTTCCCAGCAATAGTCACCAGTGTCTAATCTTGTGCAAAGCAAACCACAAAATGTGGTGACTTCCTTAGAATCCCAGTTTCATTGTTTAAACCCAGAGAAATTTGCTAGCCCATTATTGTAAAGATATTGGAACCGTGCAGAGAATAGTTACTGACATCCTTGGAAGCCAAATGAGTTGCTGAATAATATTTCTGGTGGTTTGGGGGTGGGGATTTAATTGCACTATGAAGCACCTTGTCCTTTACCATTATTAGCAAACCAGAATAAATTGTACAGAGTGATAGAATATTTTGTACATGTCTGCATATTGTATAGGCGATAAAGTAAAGCTTATTGGTGCAGCATTTTTAGTCGAAACTTTACTGAAAGTGCTTTATGTAATTACTGCATTATCCGTGCCTTATTCATTATGTCTCCTCCTTGCAGTGATGGATGGCTCTCTGCCTACCTCTCTGAAGCACATCATCAGCAATGCAGAATACTATGGGCCATCACTCTTCTTGCTTGGTAAGTGTGTCTTTCATGCATAATAAATAATACGTTTCTTAGCTGGTTTCCCTGGACCACATCCCTCTTGATTTGTTTCCCAGGAGTGACAGCATACTCTGGGAATGGGCCATTGTAATGGGAGGTGTCATCTCTCAGCCTAGCTGCGAAGTTGTCCTGCCTAGGAAGACCTGTACTGGTCAGTGACTCACCTCATTCTCTCTTCTCTCCTGACAGCCACTGAGGTGGTAACGGTCTTTGTATTCCAAGAGCCTTCGCTGCTATCCTCGCTACAGGACAATGGCCTAACAGATGTCATGCTGCACGCTCTCCTTATAAAAGATGTGAGTTTTATTATTTTTGTTACCTGTGTTCCTATAAAAGCCTCATGTTGTTGGTTTTTTTAATCTGGGAGCTGAAAGTGTCTTAGTAATTTTTACACTTCCCATTTTGCATTCCAGCAGTTGCTAATTTCTGGCACTGCAATCTAATTCATTTTGTAAATGAATATACTTGATAAAAGCATTTCATATAGTTCATGTTAAGTCTACTGTGCTGGCCCATTTAGGGGTTCATGGCACAGTTGGAATTGCACTTGTGCTACTTTTTCAACATATCTCCTCAGCTACTCTTTTATTCTGCTCAAATGGAGGGTGAATGTGGAAATATGTGGATTTACCGTATTTTTCGCCCTATAGGACGCACTTTTTCCCCTCCAAAAATGAAGGGGAAATGTGTGTGCGTCCTATGGGGCGAATGCAGGCTTTCGCTGAAGCTTGGAGAGCGAGAGGGGTCGGTGCGCACCGACCCCTCTCTCTCCAGGCTTCGGGAAGCTATCCGTAAGCCTGGGGAGCCCGTGGGAGTTCCTGCAGGGCTCCCTAGGCTGCGGATAGCAGCCTGCTTGCCCGGAGCGCGGGGCGCACTGAAGCAGAGCGCCCCACGCTTCGGGCAGATATCCGCAACCTAGGGAGCCCTGCGGGAGTTCCCGCGGCAGGGGGGGATAATTTTTTTCCCTTTATTTCCCCCCCCCCCAAAAAAAAAAACTAGGTGCGTCCTATGGGCCGGTGCGTCCTATAGGGCGAAAAATACGTCCCATTTTGTCTTTCCACTTTATTTACACTCCTGCTCAGTCAGTTCACTCTACCATTTCTTTCCAATTTCCACCTTTGAATCTCTGCTTTCCTGTTTATATTGTTTTCTCTCAACGTAGTCCCTTGAAGCTACTATTTTTCTCTCAAGTCATTCAACTCAGTTAAGAGAGTTCTCTGGCTCCTATACATAAGAATGGGTTCCCCATTCCACATAAAAAATCCTGTTTTCCCACATTGCTTTTATGCCATATCTCACTGCATTTTGTAACGTTAGGCCAAAGGTGAGCAGAAGGTTGATCAGGATCTGCTGGCAGATTTGTGTGATAGGAAGCAGATTGGAAAAAAGGTTCTGACTCCCAGTTCATTAAGAATAGCAGCAACAAATTGTCTTTTCCATGTAAATCAGGTACTGGGGGGAAATTCCTAGGCTCAGAATGTGCTTGGAGGCAAACTTCTTTTCAGAATTTCAAGATCTTCCATGGAGTAGCCATGATTATGTGTGTCTCCTCTTTCTCCAAACAGCTCAAGGCGACTGACCTTGTATTATCCTTGTGAGATAGGCTAGGCTGAGGGTTTCTGACTGGCCCAAGTTCATTCAGGGATTCTCATGGTCTCCATCTGCTAAACAACTTTGCTCCATTAGATAAACAACTTTTATCTACAAGGACATGTAGCTAGAACTAAAAAAGCAAAGTAGATCTGACAAGCCTGAAGTCTAACCACCCTTGTGTTAGGTTGTTAGGCCTCATTTGGATCAAATAATCGTTTATAAAGAAATGTTACTTTTATAGCTCAAGTGCAACTTTGTGACCCTTTTGGCATTGCGGTGCACGTCTCTCCTGACAGGTCCCAGCCACACGGGAAGTTCTGGGCTCCCTTCCTAATGTCTTCAGTGCCCTGTGCCTGAATGCCCGGGGCCTCCAATCCTTCGTTCAGTGTCAGCCTTTTGAACGCCTCTTCAAAGTGTTGCTCTCACCAGACTACCTCCCAGCAATGAGGAGGCGTCGCAGTTCAGATCCACTTGGTGAGTATCTTCCGGGGTCCATTTGTGTTGGGCATTTCTCCCTACTTGTCACCATCCTGTGGTCCAGATAAAAAGGTAAAGGTATCCCTGCCCGTACGGGCCAGTCGTGTCCGACTCTGGGGTTGCGCGCCCATCTCGCTTAAGAGGCCAGGGGCCAGTGCTGTCCGAAGACACTTCCGGGTCACGTGGCCAGCGTGACAAGCTGCATCTGGCGAGCCAGCGCAGCACACGGAAACACCGTTTACCTTCCCGCTAGTAAGCGGTCCCTATTTATCTACTTGCACCCGGGGGTGCTTTCAAACTGCTAGGTTGGCAGGCGCTGGGACCGAGCAACGGGAGCGCACCCCGCCGCGGGGATTCGAACCGCCGACCTGATGATCGGCAAGTCCTAGGCGCTGAGGTTTTACCCACAGCGCCACCCGCGTCCCGTGGTCCAGATAGCCATCTTCAAATATATTAAGGGCTGTCACATGGAAGAGGGAAAAGTTTGTTTTATCCTGCTCCCTGGAGACAACTAGAGGGGGTCCCCCCGTTTTAACTTTTGGAAATCGTTTTGAATTTTACTATTATCCAGTCTAATTAACAAATTAATCCTAGTGTTTTATGGCTCATATGTCGGCTCTGTTCCTAGGTGAAATTCTTATAAAGTGGACTGTTATCAACCTGTGATGAGGAATTCCCCATTTCCCTTTTGAAAACAAGCTTCTATTGTTTACCATTTCTAATGATTAAGTTGAATGGAAGTGCAGTTTTTCTGCCTCAGAATCCTACTTTCCTGATGACTTAATACAGCACCCAATGTTGTGCTGCTTGTGGTGTTTTAACACGTGAATGTGCAGCTTTCCACCTGGTATCTTTGTCTTCGCAGTGGGTGATCTTGTAATCACAGCCAGAAATTGTACTAGCAGCAAACAAAATGAGATGGCTATGAATCTGAAATATTTCATTCCATCATTGATGGAGCCTTAGAAATGTAATGTATTTGGCATACTTTTATCAGTTACAGCAAGAGTTGCCAATCCTTACTATTATTATTATTATTATTATTATTAGGAATAAAATTTTATTAGTTTTCAATTACAGTCCAATAATAGCCTCATTATAGCAATACCAATTTATAATACAATTTAATACCAATCATTCAAGTACTGAATTATATAATTTAAAGTTGCCCCCTGCATGCTTGATTTGATGATTTGATAATTTTCTTTATTTCTGCTTTCGAAAATCTTTTTAGTATCAATTGCATTCTGGTTATAATAATAATCCCTTATACAACATCTGCAATATTAATAACTCTAATCGTGTTGATACATTAAATGATTTTTAAATTTCAAGTGATGATCGCCAGCCATATCCTTGTTCTTGTGTGTGGCAGTGTTCAGAATGGAGGGAAGGATGGGTGTCCAATGCTGGCATCCAGTGAAATATGGGCATGTTTAAGGAATGTGTTCTGTGTAGAAGAGGCTGAGCATGTATAAACAGAAAGTGAACAGAAGGAACATATACTACTCGGGCTGCCGTGGTTGCGTAGAAAAATAGATTATTTTGACCTGTGGGGACCCATATCTGATTCTTAAAAAGAAATGCAACCGCACTCAATCTTGAATTAGTAGCATACCCAGCCAACAGTGCTTCCATCTTGTTTGGGCAGCTTGTTTACTCACATCCAGTTCATCACGGACCTTAGACACCAGTTCGGAACCTTAGTTAACTCGTTGAAAGCAGATGTAAAGGAGAGATAGCATTGAGTGTCCAAAATCTCCAGACAGTTTTGTGTAGATTGAACCTTGTGGCATTCTGCGCGTGGAAGGCCTTTGGATGGAACAGTAACTCCACCTGTCACCTTTGTAGACCCAACTTGCAAGAAGGAGAGACCACAGTATGTCTCCTCTTTGCTCCAAACACGAGGCAATCCAGAAGCATATCAGGGGATCTTAGAGAATAAACAAGATCTTATTCTCACTTTCCATCTCCTATCTATGCTCACCCACAGTTTATAATAAAGACATTCGTGCCTGTAGAAGTTGGTATTCTTGAAAATATTATGCTAACTTTTTATGAAAGCAAGTTCCAGGCTTATGGATTTGGAGATTAATAGATGGAAAACTCACACAGTGTCTGCAAGAGAGTCATACCTAGAAATTAGCTGTTACTCCCATCTGGCCTTCTGTTATTTTCCCTTATACCTTGTTTCCCTTTCATGCAACACTGAACCTTTTTTTTTTTTTTAAGTTTCATTAGAATATTGAGTTATGTAGACTAAGAGGACAAAAATAAATTGTTACTTACTTGACTGGGCTGGTTTATGCCAAGTACCACAGTCCTTTATAGCTTAAATCTAATTTGCTCCCCTTTCCCGGTGTTCATTCTAGGGGACACTGCTTCCAATCTTGGAAGTGCTGTGGATGAGCTCATGAGGCACCAGCCCACACTCAAGACAGATGCTACTACAGCCATAATTAAGGTAGGAAACAGAACAGAATGGTTCCTATGCTGTTTGTGTCTCTATCTTGCCAACCTCCCAAGTTGTGCACCTAGATGTTGCCTCTTTTACACTGTTTTTTCCTGAATGCAGTCTTATTTGGAGAATAACATCCCAGACTGGTATTCTGGAAGTCCTAACAAGAACCTGTTCCATGCCAACATGCTTGTTCACTGTTCTGCAGTTACTAGAAGAAATCTGCAATCTGGGCCGAGACCCTAAATACATCTGCCAGAAGCCCTCCATTCAGAAGGCTGATGGAACAGCCACTGCTCCACCACCTCGCTCAACTCATGCAGCAGAGGAGGCCTCCAGTGAGGATGAAGAAGAGGAAGAGGTGCAAGCTATGCAGAGTTTCAATGCCACGCAGCAGAGTGAGGCAGAATCCAGCCAGCAGTGAGTAGCTGAGGCTAAAAATAACATACAGCAATCCTGTGAATGGTGGCTTGCTGCAAAGTCTAGCCTGCACTTGCTTTCTGATCAGTTTTTAAAGCTGCTTGAAAACAACCTGTATTTGAGGGTGGGGGGGGGGGCTTGGCAAAACAACTGGGCTGCCCTTCATGTTTAGGAAGAGCACGGTGATGGTTCAAAGAACCCATTAAGTTAATTCCATGAATCCAATGGGGTCTTGTTTTTCTTCAGTGGCAATCCAACATGCCACATGGCAATTAGTTTTGAAACGGAGAGTTTCAGAGCAGCTGGAGCCGGCACGGGGTGTGTTGGGACGGGTAAGCTATACAAAAGTTACATCCCACTGGATTAGCAGAGGCTCTCTGAGTAAGCCTAAGCAACTCTCTGGATCCTAGTCAACGTGCTTCACATAGCTGTCAAGGTTGCTGCATATAGCAGAAAATGTACTTGGGCAGCTGTTACCCATGTTGACTGGCAAGTACATTGTACACAGCAGAAAATGCATTTGCATAGCTCTTCGTGTGTTAGCAAAGCATTCATTTTCCTGTGTGCTAATATCACTAGTAAAGGTAAAGGGACCCCTGACCATTAGGTCCAGTCGTGACCGACTCTGCGGTTGCGGTGCTCATCTCGCTTTACTGGCCGAGGGAGCCGGCGTACAGCTTCCGGGTCATGTGGCCAGCATGACTAAGCCGCTTCTGGCGAACCAGAGCAGCGCATGGAAACACAGTTTACCTTCCCGCTGGAATGGTACCTATTTATCTACTTGCACTTTGATGTGCTTTCGAACTGCTAGGTTGGCAGGAGAAGGGACCAAGCAACAGGAGATCACCCCTTCGCGGGGATTCAAACCGCCAACCTTCTGATTGGCAAGTCGTAGGCTCTGTGGTTTAACCCACAGTGCCAATTTGAGGCAACTGTTGAGCTCGTTTATTGAAGTGTACTGTTGCAAAAAAGAAAAAAGCCCTTCATAAGAGTAAAGTTTGATTCCTTTGAGCATTTTTGGTAGAGACTGTTTGAGAAATGGTGTATTTGTTTGAGTGTATGTTGTCTTGTTGTTCACGCCTGCCTTGTGGTTTTGAATCAAGACAGGATAAGACCATGGTCATTTTACTGTTTAGCATTTTTGTGATATTGACCCTTCAATACAAGGTTGCTGACATTTAATACCTGCTTGGTATTGAAGCAGGCCACAGATTCACAAATAACTCCTTAGATTCATGGTTTGCATTTGTTTATTTGGTAGGTTTACAGTGCCACACAATGAACAGAGTATCTAGGCAGTGAACATAATACAGCCCGTGAATGGTAGGGTGGGCTCTGCTGGGTTTATAGCCCTGAGATGTAATTGAAGTGATATATTATACCAGGGGTCAGCAACCTTTTTCAGTCGTGGGCTGGTTCACCGTCCCTCAGACCATGTGGTGTGCCGGACTATATTTTGAAGGAAAAAATGAATGAATTCCTATGCTCCGCAAATAACCCAGAGATGCATTTTAAATAAAAGGACACATTCTACTCATGTAAAAACACGCTGACTGGCCAGATTGAGAAGGCCTTAGGTTGCCTACCCCTGTATTATACAAAGCACAATTCTAAGAAAAGAGGGTGGGTGAAGCTGTTATAAAGATCACTTGGACCACAGCAGAACCCAGAGCTAGGTTTCAGTCAAAGTGGTCCTGTTAGCTTTTCTTTCTTGTTTCTGCAAGCTGATTCTTCACTTATCTATTTCCTGCCTTGCATACATTTTACTCGGAAGTAAGAACCACTAGCTTTCAGTGGAATTCACTTGCAAGTGAGAGTGGGTGGGAATATTTAATTTCCTCCTCTCAGTTCCATTCTGTGCTGTGCATGTGTAATCTTCCTGCTTATTATTCTATTGGCTTGTGACTAGGAGAAATTGGCTTTTGTGAGCTTATGGGTAGGGTTGGCATGCCAGTCAGTTGACAGATCAGACATTATAAATTCGCTATCTTGTTATCATTTGACCATAATCACATACCTCATGAAGCCACAGTGGTTGAACTTACTTGCTGCCTAATTAGCACAACTGCATTTAAAACCTACTTTTTAGTTGGTTGCTGCTGCTATACTTTATTTGGGATTTTATTTCATTATGTAGCCATGGACTGACCCTCGTGTTTGGGATAAAAGCTAGAGAACAGTTCAATGAATTCACATTTCAAATGATTAAAAGTTATAATTCACTGCAGTTCTTTTTGTTTTAAATATGGTAGTAACTTTATGATTTCATTAACAGATTATTTTGTTTTTGTAATTAGTATAAATATCAAACATGTTTATCTTTCTGTTTTTGTTCTAATTAAAGTTAATTCTTTCAAAGTTAACCACTATTTGGTCAGTTGACCAAATCTTTTTTTGATTGGTTAGATGACCAAACTTAGCTGCAAGTGCTTTCTTAAAAATGCATCAACACAGAGTATTCATTGCTTTGGAGAAACTCCCAAATTATAACTTACCAAGAACCACAACTTGGCTGGATCTTTTCAAACCTTGATAAACCTGCTTAATCCCACCACTGGGCTTTCAGATTGGCCATGTTCTCATGTAAGACTAAAACATGACAGGAAGGAGCTGCTGTGAGCCTTGGGCTTGTGTTCTTCCTCTCACCTCAGAGGACACCTACAGGGTTTAGTTTCACTTCCACAAAACCTGACTTATTACATATAAATCAGAGATTGTGATTTTTAAAAACCTGTTCTGTGTAAACCAGCCAACTTCAAACCATGGACTATGAAACTGTCTTATTTAACTAGCCCAGGGGGTGGGAAATCTGTGGCCCTCCAGATGTTGTTGGACTCCGTCAACCTTAGCTAGCATGGCCCAGTGGTCAGGTATGATAGGGGTTGGGGTGCAGCAACATGTAGAGAGCCACAGGTTCCTCATTCCTGTTTTACATCATGATACCTGGTTCATAGGACATGATAAGCCAGGTTTTGTGGAAAGTGAAACTAAATTCTCCCAGCCATGTAGTAGGTGGTGTGTGAATTGTGTTTCCCCTCCTAAATGTGGTAGAACCCTAGAAACATGATGCTTCCAGGTAGCTTCTGTTTTTACTAGAGTTTTATGTTTGATTGTTTTACCGAGAAGAGACTTGGGCTGTGGTCTTTTGCAGACTTGCAAGGGAGTGAGAACAATTTTATTCAGTAGAACATACTCTATAAGTAAACATTCATAGGATCAGGCTGCTTTCTTTAGCTCTGCCTCATGATTGTGTAGATGCTGAGGAATAATTTTTATCACTAAAATGTGTTTCTGGTGACTAGAATTCTGTACTTAATGTGTTTTGTTGTGAGTATGACATAGATTGAGGAAAGTCTTGTAGCTGAGCTTGTGAAATCTAGTCTGCTGACTGTTTACAGGTAGAATGCTGAGATCTTGGCAAAACCAGTTACAGAGAAGGTCCCTGAGCCAATACATATTTCATCGAACTGGTTTTAAGCAATGATTGCATTAGTTCTTGGGACAAGGAGCCCCCTATTGCACTAGCAAAGGGCAGGATTACATTTGGGGTGGATGGAGGGTCGCCTTGAGCATTTTTGGCATAGTTCTGCTTGCTCCCTGGCACCCTGATCCCAGCTGCGCAGAAGGCCTTACTCAGAGACTCTCTTGGCTCTGCAATGCTTTGGCAAGCTCTGCAGCAGCTTCTGAGTGCCTGCCAGCTGTTTCTTTGTAAACTTCTGAACTCTGAAGTTTCCTGTCTATGGGGTTTCTTAACCCCATAAACTCCTGGCTATGTGGTACTTTGTATGTGTGCCATATGCTGGGTAATGCCGCGGGGGAAAAGAGAGGGGAGTCGTTGCTGTCCTGCATTGAGAGCCTGCTGGCCCCGAGATGGCATGATGCTTTGCAGAGTGGGTGGGTGGAGGAAGAATGTTCAGGCACTGGGAAAAAGTTTGCCCTGGCAAACTGGTTTATAGGCAGTTTTCTGGCTTAAGGAGCTCTGGATCCAGTTGTTTGCTGGCTTGAGGATCCTTGTTTAGAGTAGACTGTTTTGAATTAAGCATTTGTTTCTTTGTATTGCCTTAGTTGAGAACAGACCTGTGTGCGTGGCGGTTTAGAAACAGTTAAACTTCCTTCTAGTTTCAGGGAGGCAGCCATGTTTCTTCTGGCCAAACTTGCAGGGCCGGATTTCCTTTTGGCTTGCTTGCTGCCATGTGGCAGGTGCCTGGTGCAGACTGGAGAGGTCCCAGTATCCTCCACTTTTCTTCCCCCCGCCCATCCACCCCAAGCATTTTGCCTGGCCCCTCCTTGCCTGTGTCAGACTTCTCTTTCTTCTCTTCTTTCTCCGACCAAACCTTGCACCGAGCATGCTCTTTACGTCACTGCCCAACTGTTCCCTCCCCTCCTTCTCCTCCTCCCCAGCTCCATTTTGCTGCAGAACTCCATGGCGCCTGGCAGTCGACCATTCATGGCCCCTGCCACATTCCCATCTTTAATCCAATTTGAGGCCAGCAGCCAAGATGGGCAGCACAGTTATCCCCCTCCTTTTGCCTTTTTCTGGTGTCTCCTCAATGCTGGTATCTTTTGTCACCATGATGCATTCTGGACTGCTTCAGGCGCGGTTTTGCCGCAGTCCTGGCGCAGGGCTGCCCTCTGGAATTTTTGTTGTTGTTGGAAGAGAACGATGGTACTTCTATTCTCCCAGTTTATCTTTTTGGGAAACCTTAATAGGAGACAGCTTTGCATAAAACCTGGGATGTGGGAGCTGGATATTGCGTGTCTAGGACTAAGAAAGGTGAGCAAAGATTTTGATAGTGTCTTTCGTGCGCTTGCTCTCTGATAAATTTGATTGGGAGCTGGGGGAGAATACTGTAAGGTGACCGCAAGCTGAGCAGCTAGCTCACATATCTACAACCCAAAATTGAGTGTCTGGAGGCCTCTATTGAACAATATGGTTGCAGTAATGGGCTTTTTCCCCCCCTCTAGGGTGGTCGGGACAGAAGAACGGATACCAATCCCACTCATGGACTACATCCTTAATGTGGTAAGTTCTCTATTAGTGGGTGGTCCTTGAGGGATACCTTGGCAGGATTGGCTTCAGTGTGTCTAGGGCAGGGGTCAGCAAGGTTTAACTTGCCTGGGCCAGATGGGTCCTGTGGAGATCCCTCTGGGGGCCGGATCGCGTGCCCGTGTGAGCATGCGCCCCCATGATTTTCGGCATCTGCACATGTGCAGACGCAGTATTCAGCGCCGCGGAAGCGAGTCCCCACGCTGCGCCAGTTTAGTGCAGCACGTGAGTGGGCAGCTAAGTTTGGCGGCAACTCATGGGCCGGTCAAACGACCTCCGTGGGCCACTTCCAGCCCATGGGCCTTAAGTTGCTGACCCCTGGTCTAGAGAGATATTCAGGCATCCCCAGCTCTTTTGCCTGACACCTTTTTTGTCTCCAGCCTCACATGTCATGTTGTTAGAATGAATTTGTATGGCTCTTGTAGCCACAGTTTTGTCACTCAGTAATGCTTCCTGAACTTGCTTGGTGTTGGTCTTATTTAAAGACACAAATACATGTTCGAAATAGCAATATTTTATCATTTTTTCCATATATAGAATTATTCTAAGAGGTAGGAGTTTGAGTATGTAATATTCACTTTCTTAACATATCAGTTAAATAAAAAAAAGATACTGCAAATTTGCTGATTATCTGCAGAGTGAGTGTGGTGTCCTTTTAATTAAACCTGGAATGTCAAAGTAAACTTTGCTTTACTGATTGCTTTTTTTGGAGCAGCTAGCCTTGGAACCCATCTATCACAGGGTTGTGAGGATATTGGACCAAGAAAACACTCCTTCTTTGGCTACACTGTAGTTGCCTCTTGAAAGATGGATGAATTTGGATTTAGAGAGTGTGTCATAGAATCTAAGAAACTATGGAGTTGAGAGCTCTCCATGCTTCACTCTCCATTTGGGCTTGGTCTGGGTGTAGGCTACCCAACCTTTTGTTTTTGTATGAAGTGTTGATTATTTTCTTCCCTACCCTCCTTCTTCTGTCTCCCAGATGAAATTTGTGGAGTCCATCCTCAGCAACAATACAACAGATGACCATTGTCAGGAGTTTGTGAATCAGAAGGGCCTGCTGCCCCTAGTCACCATCTTGGGCCTGCCCAACCTGCCTATAGACTTCCCCACCTCAGCAGCCTGCCAAGCTGTGGCTGGAGTCTGCAAATCCATATTGGTAAGGAGGAGAATACAACATTTCCCTTTCCAGAAGGTAATTATCACTGCCATCAAGTTGGAAGTACACACAAGCTTCTGGAAATCCTACTCTTTAACTCCTACTCCCACCCCAAAATGCATCTGCTAGACGTTCCTGTTGACTGTGTCATTACAGCTAACAGGTCTTATTTTTGAAGGGCTAAGAAGCCCTTTAATTGGAGATAGCTTTTTGAGAAATGTAGCTTGGCAGAGGACCTCTGCACCTCTCCCAGCATTCGTTGTGGTCATGTGCATAATTTTAGTGTATTGCCAGAGAAGGGCCAGTGTCTCAAGACTCTGTCACCTGGATGGAGTTGTAGAACTATATTTAAGAAATCCAAAGTAAAAAAGTAAGAAGGAATAAATCCTATCTATAGAACAGGCATACTTTCACAGTTCATGTTGGGACTATCACTCTATAGCATGATTTCCACTTGCTGCTCTTTTGTAGGAGCATGGGAAACCTGTAGAATACGGTACCAGCTGAAGAATTCTGTTTCCTAAGAATCTCAGCTTTTTATTTGATTTCACTGGCTGGGGTGGAGTTGGGAGAGCAGCAACAATTTTATGGTTTAAAGAAACGTTTTGAGGGTAAAACCTCAAATCAGAAGGGCTAGGATAACGTTTCTGGGGAACAGAGCTTTAACATTCTGTTTTAGCTCTTGGCTATTCCATATGATTTTCAGAAGCAGAATAATTTATGCTTCAACAGTTTAAACTGCATGATTATGCAAAACAAACCCTGCTGATTTGCTTGGGTTCCAGAATTTATACCAATTGCAAAGTTCAGCTTTTGGGGTTGTGGAACTTGGGCTATGTTGTTACAGAATGCTTAGTTTCTTTTTAGGACATGAGGCCACTCAGCCTTAACTGGTTTTTCTGATGAAACATTTTACTTTGGTTTAAAAGAGCATGCTGTTCTCTGGAAGAAGCCAGGAATTAGTTGAAGCAATTAAAAGATGTCAGACGGTGACAGTGGTTCCATATGGTGGCAGCTCCACATTTTGGCGTGTGCAGTAGTATTCATAAACTGGTCATCATGTGGATCTCAATTGCATGAAGTCTCTGCCGGGGCTTAATTTGTGCCAGAGCTCACTAAGCTGCAGCCTCATTGTCTGTTGGTTTAGAGTTCATTTCCTTCAGACACTGCACACATCAAGAATGGCCCTAGTGGCCCTAGATCAGAAATGAATGTTTGGAAACAGACTTGAGGCATAGCATTTTCCCCTTAGAAATTAAGACTGGTCTTTTATGCTGCTCCTGCTCTGGTTAAGCTGATCAAGGAATAATAAACTTTAGGTGACCAGAACCACTACTTGATCAAAAGCAATTTTAGAGCCCTTTTGCTGAAATTGCTCCTCAGGCAAATCCGCTAATGTTGCATCACCACACAATATAGATGCAATGATCAAGGAAGTAAAAAATTAACAAACCAGTTACTGTAATTTTAGTAGCAGTGCCAAAAATCTTCTTAATCCTCAAAGCAATACAAACCAAAGCCAGTTTCTCCTAGATAAGCACTGTCAAATTGGTTCCACTTCTTACTTTCAGCAAAATAACCGACAATTTTTCATTTTCCAGCTTTGCATATAGAAGCGTAAAATAACAAAAAGCATTGAGTGAGTGTTCTCGGCTGATGCTGATTAGCAAATGTACAGCTGCTAATTCAAGTTCATTCTTTTATAGTGTCTGTCCAGGTGACATAGTCAGTCTGTCAAGGCTTCCCTGTATAAACTCTGAGCAATGATACAGGGCCACCACATATAAAAGTTTAGTAGTAATATACACACTGCTGGCGAGACTCTGCCTATTCCCTCCCCTCAAACAATGCTTGGTGAGGGTTGCAGGGAAAGCAAACAAGACCCTTACCATCCTATTTGTTTGCTATGATCTATTGCTTACAAGTCTTTGTAGTCTCAAATAGGCTTCATTGAAACCCAGTTCTTCACTTTAACATTCAACATTTGCTTGCAGTGACTGTTGATGCATTCATAAGTGTTGCTTGTCTCCAAAAGACCTGGCAAGTGACATGGTACTTGATTCCTGGATCTCAGGCCATATTAGAACATAAGAGGAATCCTTGTGGCCCAGAGTCCAGCACTCTGTTCTCACAGTGGCCAACCAGATGCCATCCAGTTTGGGTTAGTTTAGAGCATGTGTCAACTGCATGAAACCAAGGTGTATTACTGGATGTGTGCTGGAGAAAAGGGGCTTTGTGCATTCATAGAAACAAGACAAAGCTAAATCAATCAGTACTTTAAATGCTGACTGGTGAATAAGCTGTGGCAGCGCCTTATACAGCCTTCTGGTGTTCAGCAATCCATGGTAGCGACACTTCCTTGAAGCTCTGGGTATAATGTCATGCTCGGCTTCTGGATATTGGAAGGCCTTTTTATGCAGAAGATGTGCATTTATAATAGCGCTTACTGACATGCAGTTGTGTTGGGTCATTCTCAGCACTTGCTGTTTTGTTCTGAGAACATGTGTGCCCATTTGTATACCCATATCATTCCACATGCCCACAATCTCCCACCATCTTTGCTTCATTCAGTGTGCCAATATTACAGGCTTTCTTACCTTGCAATCTGTTTCTAGATCGTTGATTAGCCCAATCATCACATTCATTTCTCTTCAGGAAGGCCAGTTTAACTTTGACAGTTGAGGAGTGGTAATAATTAAACTTGGAAATCCACAGAGTTTACTTGGAGCAGTGAACTTTAGGGGTTATGTTTTTCTCATTCAGTGTACCTGACATGCTATAACTTTTTGTAGACACCTGAAGGCAGTCCTGTTTGGGGAAGCTTTTAATGTTTGGTGTTTTGTTGTGCTCCTTTATATTTTGCTGGAAGCCGCCCAGAGTGGTTGGGGCAACCCAGTCAGATGGGCTAGGAACAAGAAATAAGTTATCGTTGTTGTTGTCATTGTTGTTGTTATTATCTACATAGCACCACTTTTCTTACCAGGTTCACTTCTGCCAATCTAAGCAATACCTAAACAGATCAAGGGACCAAAAAGGTCATGTATCAAGGATGCTGTTGTGGCATGAGTTTAAACATCTGTCCCATCAGGGATTAAACCACATAATTTAGACTACCGTGTTCTTTGCAGGAGCTCAACATCTCTATTAGTTTGAGCAGGCAGTGATCAATATGCTGTGATCTCTTGACTTGGGGAAACCACATCTGAACTGTAATATGACCAGCCACTGCTCTTCTAATTCTGTCATGGTAGCTTAGCGGGTGGGTTTGGAGTGCGAGTCTGCGCACTTGTTGCTTAGCCTTCTTGTGTGGGCTAGTGAGTAAGCTGGTGGTACTAGCTTGATTAGTGGGGAAACATTATCTATATTTAGCCTTAAGTCACTAAATGTTAACAATGTGGCCTTAACAGCTAGAAAAGCTTCCAATATTTCCCTGAGAGGAAGTGATGAATACCTTCTGAGTGCTGCTAGGTATTCAGTAATCCACAGGCCACTACTGTAAAATGAACATCCTGAACCAGAGATTGGTATAGTGGGTGGTTTTGAGGCAGAGATCTGCACTTACTGAGCCTTGTTTAATGGATGTCACTATTTATCTTTTCTACCTTAGACACTATCTCATGAACCGAAGGTCCTGCAGGAAGGCCTGCTCCAGCTGGACTCCATCCTATCTTCCCTGGAGCCTCTACACCGGCCCATTGAGGCGCCTGGTGGCTCGGTCCTGCTGCGGGAGTTGGCATGTGCTGGCAATGTGGCTGATGCCACCCTCTCAGCCCAGGCCACACCCTTACTTCATGCCCTGACAGCTGCCCATGCTTACATCATGATGTTCGTACATACCTGCCGGGTAGGACAGGTAAGAGCAACCCCCCACACCTTGTTAATGACCCACCTGGTCTGGCTGCTGCTTTCTGTCAGCAGAATGTAGTCCGGGCACTTAGCAGCGTGCAATCTTTTCTATTACAGAGTGAGATCAGAGCCATCTCGGTAAACCAGTGGGGTTCCCAGTTGGGCCTGAGTGTGCTGAGCAAGTTGAGCCAACTCTACTGTTCCCTGGTATGGGAAAGCACGGTGCTGCTGTCACTATGTACACCAAACAGGTATGGAGCATTTGGTGGTTGAGAGGCTTGGGCTTGGCAGTGGTGGACAGTTTTATCATTTACTCCCAGAATTTGAAATCAGGAGCAGCCAGGTAATGTCTTCCAAGAAGTCATTTGGCAGACAAGAATTTTGAGGGCTGAAGAGAGCTAAATGTCTTAGACTTGTACAAATGCACGTCCTCCTTGGGTCCCTTAAGGAGTTTATGTGTAACATAATATGGTAAAGTAGAAGCCATTAGTACATGCTCCCTTGGCAAGCAGAGGCTACAAGGAGCTTTCTCTTGTCCATCATACCTAGAGTCAGTTTCTTGGGGAAAACTCATCTGTAGATTAAGTGAACTTTGACTCATTTACTGATTCCATTTAGCAGTTTTAGAGCACACTCAGCAATTTCAGTTCTTATTTAGCCAGACTTGTTCAATCATTCTAAAAGCTGATGTGGCTAAAATGATCAAAAGCATGGGAGGAAAAGGCAAGACTCCAGATGGAAATGTGGAGAGGGCTTCATTTAGCCCAAGGAGCATAAACAGCTCAGCACTGACTAGAGTGATGTCTATGATCCTTCATTTCTGTGCCCCGTGCTTGAAGGGTAGTGCACTCCCTTGCTCCATATTGCTAAATGTTTTTCTACGGTGCTGTAGGCTAACGTGCCCTGCCAGATGAGTGCCACCTGTTGCTGTGTCTTACCTTTCCGTGCTTTCAGTTTGCCTTCAGGTTGCGAATTTGGCCAAGCTGATATGCAGAAGCTGGTGCCGAAGGAAGAGAAAGCAGCCCCCAATTCCACCCAGGGAGCCAAAAAAGCAGGTATGGATGGGAAGCAGGATCCTTATCCTGGACATACTGAATACTGTGGCATCTCTAGAGGAACTTTGATTTTGTGGTACCTATGCAGTGCAACATGAGCATGGTTGTAGAAGATATGTTTTGTAGTTCAGTCGCTATATCTACTACATGTCAAAATATAAACACCCTCAAGGCATACTCTGTGTGGTCATAAAACGCCGATTACATTTTACACGTTATTCAGGGCTACAAAACAGGTGTCTAGCAGGGTGAGCAAAATTGACCTAACGAAGGGTATTGCATGCTGTAGCATCAGCGCACTACTAATATTTCTGTGATTTCAAACTTCACTGTCTGAGCTGCAGTCAAAACTTTGGTGTATCAATTCATATTGCCCTGAAGGTTTTTGGTGGAAAACTAAAAATTTTAATGTGTGATATTTTAATGTATTTTTAATCTTTGTTGGAAGCTGCCCAGAGTGGCTGGGGAAACCCAGCCAGATGGGCGTGGTACAAATAATAAATTATTATTATTATTAAAAGCCCCCTGGTGCCACCTGAATTAGTAAATTGTGTATGGTGTGTGTGTGTGTGTGTGTGTGTGTGTGTGTGTGTGTAAAAATAAATAAATAATAAAACTAGTGTGGCCCCTGGGGGAGTATGACCATAACTACCCATTTAAGTTTGACACCCCTGCCCTTCCATGTGCCCTTTGTTGTCCAGTCCAGTTCCTGATTCTCTTGGCTCTAAAGTACTTCTCTTGAAATGACAATGTTGTAAGATGCAGACCTTTTTGAACCAGTGGGCACATTTGGAATTTTGAGGATGCTGTGGATGCCAGTCACAAAATAGTTGCTGTGGGTGTACAGTGTACAGTTTAACACAAAATGTTTGCCACATCTGAAGGAGTAGGAGGGAAATATATAGATAAAAAAGACAGGACCACAGAATGACGTAAGCATGCCCCTCCCCAGTCAGTGTGGGAGGGAAGGCATCTAGATCCATCATTGATGTGGTCAGTCACAGAAGCTCTTCACATCTTTCCTCTGGTATCCAGTGACATGTACATGCTTAAGGGGGCATGTTCAGTGTTGGAGAGGCTGAACCAGTCAGGGCAAACAGGCGCTCATAAGGAAGAGCAAGCCATGTCTCGTGCATCCTGAATATTTAAGGATTATTTACTGAGACCTTTTGTGGGTGCCATAGGAGGTACCAGTGAACACACTGACATCTGCTGGCACCACGTTGGCGACCCCAATGTAAATAAATAAATAAATCCCTTTCCAAACTCCTAAACTCAACTGATAGAGCTACATTCTTCAGCGATTGCTTTACCCAGGACCTTTTGTCTGCACATTTGAATTTATGGACTCTTGGTACCTCCTAAGTAGAATTGTGGAAAATAGGCTCGCAGAACCAGGTTTCCAAGTGATCTTGACTTAGAACTGGAAGAATGCAAGACTAGTAATTTAACATATTCTTCTTGCAGATGGTGAATCGGAGGCAGTGGCAGCTGGGAGCATGGAAGCCTCTGCTCAAGGCCTGCTAGAAGGAATTGGCCTGGATGGTGACACACTGGCACCAATGGAAACAGATGAGCCCAGTTCCTCTGATCCCAAGGGGAAGTCAAAGATCACTCCAGCCATGGCAGCCAGGATCAAACAGATCAAGCCCCTCTTGTCAGGTGAGAGCAGGAGAATAAGGGGGGGGGGGGTTAAGAAAAGAGACAAGAGCTTAAACAGAATATGCAGCTGGGAGTCAAAAATTCTTTGTATGCTATTTTGCTCCTTGTTTTCCTTTTTATGCTGAAGTAGAAAGAGAAGGCACTGGAATATGACATGTCCCTTCCTTTACTGAAGCTATAAGATGTGTTAGGTTTCGGGTATCCTTTTTAAGAAAGAAAGAACAAAGTATGTCTCCGGAGCTACAGAATTGATTTCATGCTCTCACTGTGGACACTGCTTCTTGGCCAGAGGAGCAAGAACAACTGTTGCAGACCTCAGAACATACTTAGGTGGTGGTGGAAGCTACAATGTACAAAATGATTCCTGCTGCTCCTCAGAGAAGGAAGAGAGGGGTGGCGGTGACGGGGGACAGAGGCAGCACTGTGCAGAAGAATAACTCATGGCTTCAGTTGTCTCTACATGAATGCAGTTGTCTCTATGGGAGACGAGAAATAAGAACTTGAGCTCTTAATGCAGGATGCCAAACGTGACCTGACAGGCATTACTGAAACCTGGTGGGATGAGTCTCATGACTGAAATGTAGAAATTGAGGGGTACAACCTGCTCAAAAGCAATAGATCAAACCAGAAGTGGGGAGAGGCAGCATTATATGTAAGGGATATGTACACTTGTGAAGAGATTAATGACTTGGAGCATGAAGGCAGGTTGAGAGTACATGGGTAAAAATTGTAGGGAAGGAAAACAACAGTGACCTTACTATGGGTGTCTTCGATAGACCTCCAAGCCGGACTGAGGACTTGGATAATGCATTCCTCAAGCAGGTTACCAAACGTTCAAAAAGGAGAGGTACAGGGAACTTTGGAAGGAAGTGATCATGTCTTCTTGGCTTTTATTACACACAGGCAAGGGAAAGCTGAGTGTAGTCAGACATGCACTCTAGACTTTAAGAAGGCTGATTTCAAAAAGCTTAAGGAACTACTGGGTGTAGTCCCATGGTCAGAAATACTCAAAGAGAAGGGAGTCCAAGTTGGATGAGAGTTTTTTAAAGGTGAAATATTGAAGGCACAAAAGCATACAATTCCGGAAAGAAAAGTGGGAGGCACTTGAAGAAACCAGTGTGGCTGCATAAGGAGTTTACAGATGAGCTGAGATTTAAGAAGGAAACGTAAAAGTAATGGAAGAAAGGAGAAATCACAAAGGAAGAGTATACACAAGTTGCTTGGAAGAGAGGTTAAAAATAATAATAAAAAGTTTCATTGGCTGTGTTTGAAGCAAGAGGAAGAACAAGCAAGTAGCATGTCTCTTGCGTGGAGAAGATGGAGAAATGCTATTGGATGACAGAGAGAAGGTGGAACTGTTCAACACCTACTTTGCCTCTGCACTCAAAAGGAAAGTAGTGCCCAGCCAGGTGATAACAGAAGAAACGATGCAAGGAGGGAGCTGAAGCGCAAGATAAGAAAAGAGGTAGTAAGGGAACACCTTGCTACTTTAAATGAATTCAGTTCTCCAGGGCCTGATAAGCTACACCCATCTTGTTGCCCTCCAGCTGTTGCTGGACTCCAGCTGCCATCACCCCTGACTATTGACCATGCAAATGAGCTTGGAGGTGTACCCTCAGAGCTTTTGTCTATAATCTTTGAGAATTCTTGGACAACAGGTGAGGTCCCTGCGGACTGGAGGCGGGCAAATGTTCCCATCTTCTAAAAGCAGAAAAAAGAATACCCAAGTAACTACCAACAACTGAGCTTGACTTTAGTAGCAGGAGAAGTCCTAGAACATATAATTAAATAGTTGGTCTGTGAGCACTTAGAAAAGGATGCTGTGATTACTAAGACCCAGCATGGGTTTCTCAAAAACAAGTCCTGCCAGACGAATCTCATTTTGAGAGGGAGGGAGAGAGAGAGAGAGTATGTTATAAGGTTGGTGGATCAGGGGAATGCGCTGGACATAGTGTATCTTGATTTCAGTGAGGCTTTTGATGTCCCCCATGGTATTCTTGCAGAAAAGCTGGTGAAATGCGGGCTGGAAGAGGTAACTCTTAGGTGGGTTTGTAGCTGGTAACAGCTCCTCACCATCCTGGAAAAAAGTGGCCTGCCACAGGGTTCTTGGGCCTGTTGTTCAACATCTTTATAAACAACTTGGATGAAGGAATTGGGGGGCTGCTCATCCAATTTGCAGATGACACCAAACTGGGAGGGGTAGCTAATGCCTCAGAAGATAGAATCTGGATGCAAGATGATTAAGGGAAGTAATAGTCCTGCTCAATTCTGGCTTGGTCAGACCACACCTGGAATGATGTGTCCAGTTCTGGGCATCAAAATTGAATAAGGATATTGACAAGTTGAAACATGTGCAGAGGAGGACAACCAAGAGATTATCAAGGGCCTGGAAACCAAGCCTTATGAGGAACGGTTGAGGGAGTTATGTATGTTTAGCTTAGAAAAGAGGAGATTGAGAGAAGATATGATAGCTATCTTCAAGTATCTAGAGGGCTATCACATGAAAGATGGAGCAAGCTTGTTTTCTCCTGCTCTGGAGGGTGCAACCTAAACCAATGGCTCCAAGTTACAATAAATGAGATTCCTACTAAACATCAGGAAGAACTTTCTGACAGTAAGAGCTGTTCAACAGTGGAACAGACTCCTATGAGAGGTGGTGGACTGTTCTTCCTTTGAGGTTTTTAAGCAAAGGTTGGATACTCGTCTCATTTATGATCTAGCTGAGATGCCTGCAGTGTAGGGGGTTGGACTGGTTGAACCTCTGCATCCCATCCAGCTCTCCAGTCCTATGATTTTATGACTTTATGGTTCTCAGTAAAGCAGGAAATTAGAGATTATGCCAACACCAGGTGGAAAGTCCTCATAAGCTTCTTTATTTTGTCACAGTTTACCAAGAGTTCCTGCAAGTAAAGAAAATCAGTTCTTCATTCTCTCTCTGTATCTCAGCTTCGTCTAGGTTAGGCCGTGCCTTGGCTGAACTGTTTGGGTTGCTGGTCAAGCTGTGTGTGGGTTCTCCAGTAAGACAACGCCGGAGCCACCATGCTGCTAGCACCACTACTGCTCCCACACCGGCTGCTCGCTCGACAGCATCAGCACTGACCAAACTACTCACAAAGGGGCTTTCCTGGCAGCCCCCACCATACACGCCCACCCCCCGCTTCCGGTGAGTCCTGTCTACTATAAATTGATCTCAAGTTCCACAGTGTTTGCAGGAAGAAAGGAAATTTTAGGCTTGGATGCTTGTAAATACTCTTCCTGAGGTGCTGGGACTTAAAGAATACAGTGTTTAATCTCGCAGAATCATCGGCCTAACTATCTAAATCTGTTTTTCTTCTAGGTTGACTTTTTTCATCTGTTCTGTGGGTTTCACCTCACCAATGTTGTTTGATGAGCGGAAGTATCCCTACCACCTAATGCTGCAGAAATTTTTGTGCTCAGGGGGCCACAACGCACTCTTTGAGTAAGCATTTATGTACTGCACGCCACTTTTTCTAGTGTAGGAGACAGAAAATTGGGTTTGAAGGTTCTGTAGTTTTATGTGCTGTAGTCAAAAAATGAGATTGAAAAACTAAGGCCTCTGTCATCCATTGTTTGCTCAATTACTTAATATAACATACGTTGCTAATGACACTAATTGTGTGGCTGATGGGGGTGGCACAAGGAGTATGTGAAAAGTAGCTTTCAAGTCAGTGGGAAGATCAATAAATGGGGCCCAAATGCGGGTGCATAACATTGTGGGATCCTGTAGGAAAAACATTCAAGTCCAAATGCTTAGAGGTTGTGACACTATTTGTGTTCATTCCTTTTTTCCTTTAGAACATTCAACTGGGCCCTTTCCATGGGTGGCAAAGTTCCTGTCGCTGAGGGCCTGGAACACCCAGACCTACCTGATGGCACAGGAGAGTTTCTGGATGCCTGGCTTATGCTGGTGGAGAAAATGGTGAATCCCACCACAGTGCTGGAATCTCCCCATTCATTGCCTGCCAAGCTGCCAGGTGGGCAGAACTACCTGCAGTTCAGTGCCCTGCGCTTCCTCGTGGTAACACAGAAGGTGAGCAGCCTCTCCTATCTAGCTTATACTATGGGTCTATAGGCACCATTATACCAGAATCTGGTGCAATGTGACTTGACTGTGGCAAGGACTCTCAAATCATTTGTTTTATTCTAATGTTATAGTCTAATAAAGCTGACCTATGTGGTGCTCTCGGTAGTCCTTACAACAAACCTGTTCATCAAACGCTTTATAGAGAGTTCAAAATGCTATATAAATGCTAAATTATAAACATTTAATTCTGTTAATATCCCTAGCCAGGGTTTTGTGTTGCACAATTCCCCGCAAGCACAGAATTTGCTACTTAATGCGGAATGCACCATACTGAGAAACCTCTTGCTCTTTTCTTTTTGAATGATTCCCCTCCCCTCCACACGGACACATATTTTGCCACCTTCTTCTTTAAGAAATGTAACCCAAGTAGGACTAAGTTTGCTAATTCTTTCTCCGTGGTGCAGGCAGCCTTCACTTGCATCAAGAACTTATGGAACCGCAAGCCACTGAAGGTATATGGAGGACGCATGGCAGAGTCCATGTTGGCCATTCTGTGCCACATCCTGCGTGGAGAGCCTGTCATCCGTGAGCGCCTTGGGAAGGAGAAAGAAGGAGCACGCAGTGAGGAGGAGGCAGGGCAAGAGGAAGGTGGTGCCCGAAGGGAGCCCCAGGTCAATCAACAGCAGCTGCAGCAGGTAGAAATCAACTTATTATTCCACCATTCCACAAAACAGCACCCTTCCATCCAGAGATACTCCATCCAAGCTGTGTCTTCTACAACAGTCTCTTCAGTCTGCATTTCTGATCTTTTAAAAACCTGTCTCTCTCTCTTCAGTTGATGGATATGGGCTTTACACGGGAGCATGCCATGGAAGCTCTGCTGAATACCAGCACCATGGAACAAGCTACAGAGTATCTGCTGACCCATCCTCCTCCACTTATGGGTGGTGTTGTTAGGGTAAGGCCACTTAGCAGCTAAGACTAAGTAGCAGGGGAAGGGCATATTCCTGGGCTGCCACTCTCTCCAGCTTGATACTTCTGAAGGAAAATGTGTACTGCAAGCTAATTTAATGTAGTTGTGGTGGCCTTAGCCAGGAGGATAAGCAGTGTACCCAAAGGGTAGTCTCTTCCTACTTGAATTCTGTAATTTAGGCCCTGTAGACTGTTTGGAGAACTGTTTAGTTTCCCTTGCATTGAGTTCTGTAACCTCACAGGGTTATTTCTGTGTTGTATGACAGGATCTGAGTATGTCTGAAGAAGATCAAATGATGAGGGCCATTGCTATGTCACTGGGACAAGACATCCCCATGGACCAAAGAGCTGAATCACCAGAGGTAAAGGCTTCATAAGGGGATTCCATAAAGTGCTGGGTTGAAGGAATACTGGTGAAGTTCTTGGAAAGAAGTCGGGAGTGGGCTGGCATATGCATCCTGGAATTCAAAGGTTGCAGAAATGTGGTGAGAACCTGTGGTCATGACAATGTAAATATCACAGACTCAGTTTTCTTTGATAATAATAGGACAGCTGCAAATAGCAGAGGAACCGTGCCTTATCCTTGAGGGAGGCAGGCAGGTGAATCTGTGGTGCTGTGAAAGCAATATTTATAACCAGCCGTTTCTGCTCTCTAGGAAGCTGCCTGCCGAAAAGAGGAGGAAGAACGTAAGGCCAGGGAGAAGCAAGAGGAGGAGGAGGCAAAGTGTCTAGAGAAGTTCCAGGATGCCGAACCTCTGGAGCAAGAAGAGCTGCACAGCTTTACAGACACCATGCTTCCTGGCTGCTTCCACCTGTTGGATGAGCTGCCAGACACGGTGTACCGTGTCTGCGACCTCATCATGACTGCCATCAAGCGCAATGGGGCTGACTACAGAGACATGATCCTCAAGCAAGTGGTGAATCAGGTGAGTGTATCTACCAAGACCACACAATCTCTTTACATTGGGAGGCGTTCTGAACAATACATTTTATGCTATTCTTGCCCTGAACAAGACTGCATTATCCCAGGGCTCTGTTAGCCCAGGTGATTATCCAAGATGCTCTAGAAGAGGAAAAGGCTTCTTTAGGTACTTAAGTTCACCTGGTTTTCAGGGACAATCTGGAAGACAGGCTGCAAGCATTGGGTTCAGTTAGAGCTTGGATTTGAGATCCTAGAAGATAATGATATCTGAATTGGGCCTCACAATGTGTGCTGGATGACAGGACTCCCAAGGACTGCTTAATGTACGATACATTAGGAAAAATCCAGAACCCAATTGAAAACTGCATGTTTTCTTCTTTGGGTACAAAGCAGGAAGCTCAGTTGGCCACAGAGGCTTTGAGGTAGATGTGTACACACATGGGTAACTCAGTGTAACGGTACAGGCGACTCCCCAATTATGTAGCGGCTACGTTCCGAATCCCTGCACGTGTCACTGAAATCTCATAAAATGGGGAGTTGCCTGTCAGCTCAACAAAGCCCCGCTGATGTGTGTGTGAAGAAGTTTCTTCCCTGTGCATCAGCTGAGCTGGTCAAGAAGACCCGCTGCCACTTTGGCTCGCGTGAGCCGGAGGCACAGCGGGGCTTTCTGCCTGATGCGCAGGAAGTTGCAGCAGCAGCCGCTTTGCCACACGTCAGCTGTCAGCTGGGAGCCTCAGCAAAGCCCTGTTGCATCTCTGGCTCATCCCCAGAGTCCAAAAGATGTCCCCTTCGGGGAGGGTCTCCTCATGAGCTAGAGGCGTAGCAGGGCTTTGCTGAGGGTCATCAGGTATCTCCCCCCACTTCCAGGTTTCTGGAGCCATGCATATGTGCAGTCACACGTGAATTGAACACATGTAAGCAGGGGGATACCTGAATATACATGCTATACGTCTCTCTTGAAATATAAGCATTTACCTCAGTGGGGAAAACTCTGTTTAAGTAGCTGGGGGGCAGCAGGGAGATAATGTGGAACCCAAGGTATAACAAATTAACAAGAGCATGTCTCCAGGTAGAATTCATAGAGGTCAGTGTTTGATATGCTTAGGTCTAAATTTTAGAAGTTAACTTCCGGTTGCCACCAGATGCCTGTGGGGCCTAGCATCGTAGCCTTCTGAGCAGATACCTTAGTGCCATCGTGTTCTGGATGTTCTGTAATGGATTAAGACTACTGTCCAAGAAAGGCTATCTTGCTGATAATCCACTCCATTCATAACATGCCCTTTCTTTGGCAGGTGTGGGAAGCCGCTGATGTCCTCATAAAAGCAGCTCTGCCCCTCACCACTAGCGACACCAAGACTGTCTCGGAGTGGATCAGCCAGATGGCTACCCTGCCACAGGCCTCCAACCTGGCCACACGCATCCTGCTGTTAACTTTACTTTTTGAGGTGAGTCCAAGGAAAGGGGAAGGAGACGTAGCCACCCCCCACCAGTTACCCCGTGTCTTTGTTCAACTTTTACCTGGGGTGGGGTTGGAGGGTCAGGACTGGACTTTCAAGCCTTTGAGGTGATGGTTATCATGTTTTCCTATAGAATTTGGATTGCTCTTTACATATAGCATTTATCTCATAGCCCTCTCTTGCTGTTTTATTGCTTTAATCACTAGATGTTTTCACTTCCCAAAGTCCAGGATATAGAGCATAAGGAATGTAATTATTTGATAGAGAGAGTGGACCTGATCACTTTAGTTCATGATACTTTGTCATTTAGGGTTTTCCATTGTAACTGCTTAGGCATCTATATGTTAAGCAGTGTCTGTATGTGTTATATAACATTAACATTAATAAATTCATATTTCATATTTGACACTGAAATATATATACAACCACAAAATACTCAACTTCAAATAATTTTGGTGAACACAGCTACAGATTGCATTCTACTAGGCCAGCCTTCCCCAACCTGATGCCTTCCAAATTCTTGCTGGTACTGATGGGAGCTGTTGCTAACATCTGGAGGTCACCTGGTTGAGGAATGCTGTATTACAGCATACAGTTGTGTGGGATGGGGTAATTTTTACAGGACAGTTGTGCTTTTCATTCATTCATTCATCATCATCAACAATTATTATTATTAGTAGTAGTAGTATTAGTATTACCACCCTACCCATCTGGCTGGGGTTCCCCAGCCACTGTGGGCGGCTTACAGTATGTCAAAAAACACTTTAATAAACTTTGGATAAAGAGGTTGATGTATGCTGTTAGATGTGAACTACTCTGAGGACCTGTACAATAGAGCATGCACTTGAAAAGAAAATGCCTCACGTTTTCCCTTCACTTGGCTGTAAAGTGATGATAGCACTTAGAACTTTGAATGTAATGGTCAGTTTGTGTTCCGATTAGTCCTATCTGCTGCATGGTTGCCAACCTCTTTACCTTTGTTTCCCTGCAGGAGCTTAAGTTGCCATGTGCTCGTGTTGTAGAATCTAGCGGCATCCTCAACGTTCTGATCAAACTGCTAGAAGTGGTGCAGCCCTGCCTGCAAGCTGCCAAGGAGCAAAAGGAAGTGCAGACACCAAAGTAAGCTACAAAACAGGATATAGGGTGGAGCTGGAAAGCCCCAAGCCAGGCCTACCCACACTTTGATATACAGCACCTGGGTTTTGCTTCTGGTCTTACTTGTGAGGAGAAGCTACCAGTTTTGTATTTGTACCTAATGAAATGCATAATGGTTTAATAATGCTGGATGCAGTTACTAACCTGGAATGAAATTGGGTTTGCCTCCCTCCTTGAGTCCAATGTGTTTTTTTAAGCTAGCTTGCCTGGTGGCCAAAAGGTCTTGCTACTGTTTCCTTGACAGGGTTTTAGTCCAAAAATGGCTGCAGTATCTTGGCTTAGGAACCCGTGCAATATATTTTGTTGGATGCCTTAGCTGATGTAATTAACTTGCCTCCCACAGGTGGATCACCCCAGTGCTGTTGCTGATTGACTTCTATGAGAAGACAGCTATCTCCTCCAAGAGGAGGGCCCAGATGAACAAGGTATGAGCTCAGGGTGGTGGTGTGGGAAATGCAAGCTATTACGAAGGGGACTGGAAGAAAGGATCCTGGCCACTGTGGAATTGTGAGTGTGCACGGCAAATAAGCGGTGGCATTTGCAATACACCCTGATACAACCAGGCTGCAATCTTTTATTAGAACTGGGAGCAAGTTCCATTGAACTTTATGGATCTCACTTCTGAGTAGACATGGAGAGAACTGCAGTGTAGGTCTGCAAATGCTAAGAATCTGTATTCTTTCTCTCCAGTACCTCCAAGCCAATGGCAACAACTGGCGCTGGTTTGACGATCGCTCAGGCCGTTGGTGTAGCTATAGTGCAAGCAACAACAGCACCATCGACACAGCGTGGAAAGCAGGAGAGACCAGTGTTCGTTTCACTGCTGGCCGTCGGCGCTATACTGTGCAATTCACTACAATGGTGCAGGTATAGGCGTTGGGAATGTTGTCATGGGTGTTCTCTGAGGTCGTTGGGCACATGGGGTATGGTAGTCTTAACCTCCCTCTTGTTTCCTTAATCAGGTGAATGAAGAAACTGGGAACAGGCGTCCAGTAATGTTGACTTTGCTCAGGGTGCCCCGGCTCAGTAAGAGTATGAAAGAGGGCAATGGACAAGAGCTGGAGAGAACCTTGGAGGAAGGCAAGGAGGTGGAAAGCAAGCCTAAGGAGGAGAAAGCAAATGGTACTGAATATGTAGTCTCATCACTGAGTTACCTATAAAGTAGGAGACTGGAACTTGTAACCTCAGACCTATTTTATCTTCCCTCATCAGATAGCCCTGCTTCTACTGAGAGTCTCACCCTTGAGAAGGAAGCACCTTCAGAAGAGGCCAAACCATCAGAGATCCTCATCCAGGGCCTGACAGAGGAAATGGTTACCGTGTTGATCCGTGCCTGTGTCAGCATGTTGGGTGTTCCTGTGGAACCGGACACACTACACGCCACGTTGCGCCTCTGTCTGCGCCTCACCCGCCACCACAAATACGCCATGATGTTTGCAGAGCTCAAGAGCACACGCATGATCCTGGGTCTCACGCAGAGCTCTGGCTTCAACGGCTTCACGCCTCTTGTCACCCTTCTTTTCCGACACATAATCGAGGATCCCTGCACACTCCATCACACCATGGAGAAGGTATGGCTTGCTTCTGCTGACTTCACCATAGAGAAGGTAGAGTCTTAGAAGCTTTCTTCTGTATAGGTCTTGCACACTAAAGAGGAGACTTGACTCAGCTCAGACAGCATATGGAAAGTGTTGCTGCTTCAGTAATTGCTCGGGCTTCCTGAAATCTCCATTGCCTTGTCCATTAGAACTGGCTTTTTCAATTGCCAGTATGAACACACATTTCTCTTTTTGTCTGTTTCAGGTTGTGCGCTCAGCAGCCACCAGTGGAGCAGGCAGCACAACTTCAGGTGTCGTGTCAGGCAGTTTGGGCTCTCGGGAGATCAACTACATTTTGCGAGTGCTGGGCCCAGCTGCTTGCCGCAACCCAGAGATCTTCACTGAGGTGGCCAATGGCTGCATTCGCATTGCCCTGCCTGCTCCCCGTGGCTCTGGAACTGGTAAGTAATTCAGAACCCTGCTGGTTTTCCTACAGTGTCCGCGCTAATGCTGTGTGCCCATTTGCACAAGGATCTTCATCATAATTTGAGGTAGAAGGAGATCTGGGTCAGAGATAGAAGAGAAGTATGAATCCCATAGTAATCTTGTGCCAAAATAAAAAGCAGCTGGAAAAATGGCAAAGAACTAAGCCCCTTCCCTCCTTAAGTCCCAGGTTCCTTTACCAGTGTTGGCTGCTCTAGTTTTTTTTATTATTTCTCCTTTTGCTCCCCAAGCCTCTGATGACGAATTCGAGAACCTGCGGATCAAGGGCCCCAACGCTGTGCAGCTGGTAAAAACCACTCCAGTAAAGCCCTCACCACTGCCTGTCATACCTGACACTATCAAGGAGGTGATCTATGACATGCTGAATGCTCTGGCTGCCTACCATGCCCCTGATGAAGGTACATGACAGCCTGGGACAGGATGGGTGGGAATTTCTGTGCATGGGGGAACCAAGGGCCTCGTTCCGTTGAGGAGGACTTCATGTTGCCTGAACAGAAGCTCCCTTCTGATCAGTCCTTTTTATTAAAGCTGGAACCCAGTATTAACCATTTCACTTCCCATCCCCAAAAGACTAGTAATAACAAAGTGCTTTTCTTTCAGCAAGTCTTCAGATCATGGAATTGGGTGTAAGATAAACACCACACCAGCTTCTTGAAATAAACACTTTGAATTTGCCATGTATATATGTATACCGTTCTCTGAAGAGACATTGTCAATGGTGGTCATGGTTTCATTTCCCCTCTCCAGCAGACAAGTCTGAACCCAAGGCAAGCAGTACTAACCAGGAGATGAGCCAGATCCTGCAAGAAATTGGAGATGATATGTACCAGCAGTATCGCTCTCTAACCCGTCAGGGCAGTGACTTTGACTCTCAGACCGGCTTTGGCATCAATGTGAGTCTGCCAGAAGCAAAAACCCAAACTCCACAGTAACATCTATCAGCTGTCAAAATCACTGAGCCATTTTTTCTGCAGCAGTATCATAAATCCCATAGCATCTCATTTTTTTGCTCTTTTATTTCCTTTTGCTTTTTGAGGTTTTCAGTTGTTGGGGGTTGTGGACTGTTTCTGAAGCATTGTTTAGATGTTGACTGCACCTCTGATTTCTTACGGTTTGAGACCTCTGTGTATTCCACCTCTCTGTTGCTCCAAAGTAGCAGATGGCAGTGAAAACTGTAGTGCCTTGTCATGTGTGGAACTCTGTTGGTGGATTTTAGGCCATTCGGCACCATTTTGTTCATTGCCTTTGTCCTTCTTCTCTAGGCTCAGGTTTTTGCTGCTGATAGTGCAGCTGCTGAGACTCCCCAGTCTGGAACTCCCCAAGGAGATGGTAAGTCTCATCTTTGTTGATTAGACACAACAGTGTCTTAATGCCTCTCCGGGGATCTCCCTTCAAGCTATCCTGCGATTGGAAATACTAGTCCCTGATTAAAACAGACCCAAAATGACATTCCCCTGCTCAGTCACTTCAAGTGATGGGACGCCAGTCTCATTTCTCTTAGTTGTAAAGATGGGGCCCCTCAGTCTTTTTCCTGAAAGTGAGATCAAGCCCCATCTGCCATACTGGAACCATGTCTCTCCTGAAACTTTGTGGGGAGGGAGGCAGGGAGCAGTTCTTTCACTGGTTCTCCTTTTCCCTTGTGTCCTACAGCCTCCACTCCTGAAGAATCAAGAGAAAACAAGAAGGATAAGGAGGGTGATAAAGCAGCAGAGGAGAACAAGCAGAAGGCTAAGGGAAGCAAGCCACTTATGCCTACATCCACCATCTTGAGGCTGCTGGCAGAGCTTGTGCGCTCATATGTTGGCATTGCCACCTTAATTGCCAACTACAACTATACTGTGGGCCAGTCTGAGCTGATAAAGGAGGTGAGAAGCCCTGGAAGAACGAAACAAGCCTAAGGAACTGTGGATTAGGAGTGGGGTAAATGCAAAATAAGACTTGGGGCCAGCACTGCTAGGTTCCAGAGAAGAGGAGTGAGTTTGGTTAGACTGCTTGGGAGGAGGAGCTGCTGATGAAAGAAGATGACTAGGCCACCCTGGCCTGCTCTCGCTACTATCTTTCATTTTGTCTTTCCAGGACTGTAGTGTGTTGGCCTTTGTGCTGGACCATTTGCTCCCTCACACCCAGAATGCAGAAGACAAAGATACACCAGCCTTGGCGCGCCTCTTCCTAGCCAGCTTGGCTGCCGCAGGCAGTGGCACAGATGCCCAGGTGGCCCTGGTGAATGAGGTGAAGGCAGCCCTGGGTCGGGCACTGGCCATGACAGAGAGTACTGAAAAGCATGCCAGGTGAGCTGGAAGGTGTTGAGGATTGATTAGCACTTGAGAAGAGGATGTTGTATGACAACTCTCCTGTAATAGGTTCCTGTAGCTTTGCACCCCAGCAAAGGTCTTGACTAAATCATGTTTCTTTTTAGTAGTACCGCCGTACCTTGGAAGTTGAACGGAAACCGTTCTGGAAGTCCATTCAACTTCCAAAACGTTCAGAAACCATAGCATGGCTTCTGATTGGCTGCAGGAACCTCCTGCAGCCAATCGGAAGCCACGTTGGATGTTCGGGTTCCAAAGAATGTTAGCAAACCGGAACACTCACTTCCGGGTTTGTGGTGTTCGGGAGCCTAAATGTCCAATTACCAAGGCATTCAGGAGCCAAGGTACGACTATAAAATTTTCAGGTACAATATTTTGTAAATCAGGAATGGGTAACTTCTGGCCCGCCAAAAGTTGTTGGACACTAGCTCCCATTGGTCCCAGCCAGCATGGCTAATGGCAGGGAGGATGGGAGCTGTAGAATATCTGGAGGGTCACAGGTTCTCTGTCACTTTATTAAATTAGAATACTTGCTGCAGGAAAATAGATCTTTCCTGTTACAGGGATTAGGGCAGGTTATTGCAGGATTTGCTAACCATGACACTGTTCTGGAAGTAAAGAAATGTCACTTTCCACTCTCTAGGCTGCAAGCTGTCATGTGCATCATCAGCACCATTATGGAATCATGCCCATCCACCTCTAGCTTCTACAGCAATGCCACAGCAAAGACCCAGCACAATGGCATGAACAACATCATCCGCCTCTTCCTCAAGAAGGGGTTGGTCAATGACCTGGCCAGGGTGCCTCACAGCCTTGATCTGTCCAGGTAAGTGGCTTATTTAACCGCAAGGAGACGGAACGGAGCCTCCTTCATGATCAGGGATGATGTTGAACAGTTGGTGTAGGGGACAAGTACAAGATCAAATGTAGAAGACAGATACAATCCCTTCCATTAAGATTCGGCCTTAGAAAGTTTTTTTCCCTATCTCTAGAACATAATTGAATTGGCATATTGAGAGAGCAGGCAGAATCATGACATCTTCCCACTAGAGGTTTCTCTTCGTTCTACCCCAGCTAAGGTTAGCTTTGCTATTAAGACCTTTGTTCACAGTCTGGAAACTCATATTGGCATGTGTTTTTCCTCCAAGTCCCAACATGGCCAACACAGTAAATGCAGCCCTGAAACCCTTGGAAACGTTATCACGAATTGTCAATCAGCCCAGTAGTCTCTTCGGTAGCAAAAGTGCCTCGAGCAAGAGCAAGGCAGAGCAGGATGCTCAGGGAGCAGCACAAGATGCCAACAGTGGCCAACAAGATGCAGGTATGCCATCCTCAGCATCCATTGTTTATGGGTCACGTACCTCTTCTCTGTGATTTTTCATCAACCTGTTCCACGATAAGATCCACACCTGCCATCCCCTCCTTTCCTTGGCCTGGAATTTTTCTGACTTCCATTATGAGTCTCCATTAGTCTGCCACTTAAGCTAATTCAAGGATGACTTGAGAAGGTAATATTGAGACCTTGACTTACAGGGGAGAGCGGGGAAGCAGAGGCCCCGGAGGAGGACCATGATGTGGCCCAAGCAGAAGTGACAGATGGTGACATCATGGATGGTGAAACGGAGAGCGATGCCGTGGTGATTGCTGGACAGCCTGAGGTGCTGAGCACGCAGGAGATGCAGGTATTGATGGTGGCTTGCAGGGACCCTGCCTGTATTGCATGCAGGAGGTGGCCACAGGTTTTAAGGCATGGGATGTTGGTGACATATAGCTGGGATCGCTTCCATTCCTGCTTGTGTTGCTTAAAGTTGCAATTTATTTAGGGCTATATGCAGAGGAGTGTGTAAATGAAGACTTGTTGATCACAGCTTTGCTCTGAGATTAAGGAGCACAATCTGGATAGCTGCACAAACTGAAATGACCCTTTGCTTGCTTAATTTAGATTGTGATACCTGAGGCTGGGGTGCCTGTCGTATATAGCATGTGACTTGGGTAGAGCACAAATCAGACTTGTTTCAGAAGTCAGGGTGATGCAGCTTGTTTTACGGTTTTGAGACTTGATAGTAAAGAACTGGAGATCACCAGTGTGTTTGTCTTTACCATCTTCTAGGTGGAAAATGAGCTAGAGGACCTGATCGATGAGCTTTTAGAGCAGGATGGTGGCTCAGGGAATAGTACAATAATAGGTGAGTACAAAGCCCCAACACTTTGCCTCAGAACTTTCCTTCAGGATCTCTGGACTCTCTGCCTTTCCTCCTCTGTGTGGCCTCTGAGGGAACCAAATGCATTTTTTGCTTTGCTGTAGAGAATCCTACCTCATAAGACCACTCCAGGTAGAGATCATCTACTGTTCCTCTCTCTTCCTCCTCCCTGCAGCTCTTCTTTATCACACAGCATGGGTGCTGTATCAGATATATGTCCGTGTTGCTTTTTCGCCCATTATAGAGATAATCTATTCCTATACAATTCTTGGTGGGTGGGGTAACTTCTGAGAGGCAAGAGGCTTGTCATGGTAGCTTTATAACTGCCAAGAAAATCGCCATCTGTAAATGGAAAGCAGCATCACATCAGGACCATAACGGGCACTCAAAGATAAATGGCCATCAAGTTTAGGGACTGCCCAGAAGGTCCTCTAAAGGGAGAGGGTTGTTTGCTCATAACTTTGCTAAGCCCTATACACATCCTTTATGTCCTTCAGTGGGCCGAAGTGGAGAGGATGAGTCTCAGGAGGATGTGTTGATGGATGAGGCACCTTCCAATCTCAGCCAGGCTTCCACATTACAGGCCAACAGGGAAGGTGAGGCATTGCCTACGATGTTACATGGAGTCAGTAGAAGTGCCTATAGTCCCTGGAGGGGGAGGGGGAGGGTAAGTGAACTAGCATGATGCAGAAGGGTTGTTATAGGCTTGCACTCTCGTAAGAGAAGCAAGAGGAGGGGGAGGTTTCTGAGACCTGGCTTTGTGAGGTTTTGCCTGTCTGGCAAAAGGAGTTTGAAGATAGAACTTGCCAGAAAGGTAACTGGAAGAATCTTCGCTTAACCTGCAGGGGCCAACTCACCATAGCTACACTCTCTAATCTTCTCTAGATTCTATGAATATTCTGGATCCTGAAGATGAAGAGGAGCACACACAGGAGGAAGACAGCAGTGGCAGCAATGAGGATGAAGATGATAGTCAGGATGAAGAGGAAGAAGAGGAGGAGGAGGATGAAGATGACCAGGTAAGGGCATTGAAGGAAAGGAAGTGCAGAAGTCTTTCCAGTGGGTGCTTTATGATCTTAACATAGGAGGCTGTGGGACAGATGTCAAAAATAACAGGGAAGGGGTGGTCACAATTGAGGACAGCATGTAATAGGTTTTTATTGGGGAGCTAATGGGAGCTAGGCACCATGATGTATGGGTTTTAGATCTAGAGTAATTTATAGTGTGAGAGCCAAACATTTCCTTGCCTCAGTTTGTGGTTCCAGGTAAAGAGAGTGACTAAAGTTGGAGTGAGGAGGTATGAAGACTGGTTTTCAGGATGCCATATTCTAGCCGGCATTTGCTTAGCCTTGTGTTTGGTGATAACTTTCCCTCCAGGATGATGAAGAAGGTGAGGAAGGCGAAGAGGAGGAAGATGACGATGATGGCTCCGAGATGGAGTTAGATGAAGACTACCCTGATATGAATGCCTCCCCACTGGTGCGTTTTGAGCGCTTTGACCGTGAAGATGACCTCATCATTGAGTTTGACAACATGTTCTCCAGCGCCAGTAAGAACTCTAAAAACTGGAAAGCCACAGGACATGGCTGATTCTGGGGGGGCTGGGAGCCAGGATGCTAAGCTTTCCCCCACATCCTATGGACTAGGGAGCTGGGCTTTTATTTGAAATGGAATAGCATTCTCTGTCCAGTGGGACGGAAGCATCCACGTAATGGGTTGTCTCCTCCCACTGCCCAGAACAGGCAGGATCAGGCAACCAGGCTTTGGCCACATTCAGCTTCATCTCAGTTCCTTTTCCTGCCTTATCCATGATCAGTGCTGTGTTCTAGCACATGATCTGTTTTCTAGCTCCAAAATGTTGCTCTGAAATTTGGGAGGCTTTGTAATTATGGCTTTGTTGACCCTATTTCAGGCTAGTTCTTGTCTCCAGGGAAATTATATTTGTATGTCTTCAAAGCTCCATCTTGGCTTGCTAACTTTGCCTATTTCTCTTCCCAGCGGATATTCCTCCATCACCTGGCAATATTCCTGCCACTCATCCACTCATGGTACGGCATGCAGACCATAGCTCCTTGACTTTGGGTAGTGGCTCCTCCACGACGCGATTGGCGCAAGGCATTGGCCGCAGCCAGAGGACCCTTCGGCAGCTGACAGCAAACACTGGCCATACCATCCATGTTCATTACCCTGGCACCCGCCAGCCCAACCCACCTCTGATCCTGCAGAGGTGAGACTTGAGGGAGTGGAGGAGTATCACATTTTGCCAAAAGCTGTAGAATACAGAACAGTGAATTGTTCTGGCAACATCCCAACCCAGTTTGGTTTGCCCCAGTGTTCCCCATAATCTTGTTCTGAGAACTGGGGGACTCTTTTAGAAGTCACTGCATCTCTGTGTAGGAAAACAAGTGTTCCTTTTATGTCTTCCTTAGGTTGTTGGGCCCTTCAGCAGCTGCAGATATTCTTCAACTAAGCAGTAGCCTCCCACTACAAAGCAGAGGTCGAGCTCGCCTTCTAGTAGGCAACGACGACGTGCACATAATCGCTCGCTCAGATGATGAGTTGCTGGATGACTTCTTCCATGACCAGAGCACAGCCACCAGCCAGGCAGGCAAGTCCTTAAGACTGTTTACTAGATTTGTAGGTAAAATCAAAAGGACCAATAGATTGAAACTCTACAGTGGGAATGGCTGACCCTTTTGGGGCCACATCGACCCTATGGTCAGCCCTCAGGGAGCCAAAGTGTAAATATGGGTGCAGTGAGAACTAAAGTTCTCAAGGCTACCTTCCAAAGCAGGACTTTTTGGGAGTGGTTGGTCAGTAACACTTTTTTGAAATTTCAATTTTTCTTTTTTTAAAAAATTAAATGGAAAAATTTGAGGGATGCTTTGGAGACTGCAAAAGAACCTTTTGTGAATTAGCAGTCAGGTGCCTACAACATTTTTATACCATTGTGCATCAATTCAGACATCTTTATCGATGGAGTCAGTTCACATTTTCAGCTGTTAGGCAGATGCGGAGAGTGGGTGGCCAACAGCACAGCTGTGGGTCTTGAGGGTGTTGGTGAGCTGTTGTATGGATTGGCTTATCAGTAATATGTCCTCCACTTTTCTTTCTATAGGAACCTTGTCAAGCATCCCTACTGCCCTGACACGCTGGACAGAAGAATGCAAAGTACTAGATGCAGAAAGCATGCATGACTGTGTGTCAGGTGAGCTAACAAGTAACTTTCCTTGCTTCAGCCAATGCAGGCCCTCCTCTGTTTGGCTCTATTTAATCTGGTGCTTTTTCTCCATCCAGTGGTCAAAGTTCCCATTATCAACCACCTGGAGGCATTGAGAGATGAGGAACTAGAGGAGCGTAGAGAGAAGAGGCGAAAACAGCTGGCTGAGGAGGAGGCCAAAGTTGCAGACAAGGCCAAGGAGGCAGAAGACAAAGAGCAAAATGCCCAGGTTAGAAGCCCAACTTGAACATCTGTGACCTTTTTTAAAATCTTGTTGAATGGCAAACTTTCAGCAGGGCTGATTTCATCTGGTATGGTTTTCATTATGGAAGCTGCATTGTGACTGGGGTGGGGGGACAGGACTAAGAGTTGTATTCATTGTAGCACTAAGGCAATTGTTAAGTTAGCGCAAGGCTTTCTGCTTGCACAATGGAACACTCTCCTCCTGTGCATCCCTAAATCTGTTCTAGGGGTGTTTCCCCAAATCCTCAGGAGAAGTTTCAGGGAGGGCATGGACTGCAAGCAGGGAACGTGGTAATGCTTGCACTAGTAGGGCGAATCAGTTGAATGTCACCTTGAATATATGCAACTGGGTTGTAAATGAGAAGCAGAGTACCTATAATTCGGAATGAAAATGCCAGCAGACGCGTTTAGGTCTTGGTAGCTTGATAAGACAGCAAATCTGTTTTGCTCCAGAGCAAAGATGTGAAACTGTTTTTTGGTAAACTTTAAATTGTGGCAAGTGGGCCACCTTAAAATAAAGTTGGGGATGTTCATTCACTTAGGTATATAAGGGAAAACACAAAATAAAAACCCCTGCTGTCATTTCAGTATATAATTCCACATGTCTGTGTGCTCTTTTGCACATGGCAGACAGAGATGAAATCAGAGAATAAACCTCTGTTCCTTTCTTTCCTATCAGGAAGGCAAGCAGAAACTCAGACACTAGACTGAGAACCGATCTTTCTTAGTACAGTCATACCTCAGGTTACAGACGATTCAGGTTGCGCATTTTCGGGTTGTACACCGCGCCAAACCCAGAAGTACCAGAACAGGTTACTTCCGGGTTCGATGTATGTGCAGAAGTGCTGAATTGCAACCCGAACGTCCACTGTAGCTCTTTGTAAGAAGGAAAGTCACCACATTCCCTTCCTAGAGCCAGGTCTTACATCTGTTCTTTTTTTAAAAAACACCCCACCCACACCCTGTTACAGGAACAAAAGAAACGGTGTTATCAAGAATAGAGACACCGGCAGTAAGTGGAATATGGTAACAGTCATAATAGTTAGCAGAGACAGGGATGGACACACTTTAATGTGTTTCTTCATATCTCTGCCTGTCAAATGAATGCTACGAGGACATTATCAGGAAGTTTACTCATTGATGTAATTCTATTGGATTGATATCTTTAGCCATTGTTCCAAACATTTGCAGAAGAGAAAGTGGTCGTTCTTTTATTTTTTCAATAAAGAATTTAGCTGTTAAATCTCAACTAAGGAGAAGGAAATCTAAGACAGTTTAGCAAGATTGTTTTTGGATCTGAGGGAATAGAATATCTTGACATTTTTCTGTATATAATCTGTACAAGCCGGATATCTTTGTCAACCAATTACAGAAAGGAAAACTTATCGACACATTTTCCAGCAGTATTTAGAATGCTTGCTTCTATGTAGAAGAGAACATTTTGATAGATGTGCCTCACTGGACTAGATGAAAATCGGGCAGAGCTGTTGTAGCAAAAGGCATACAGGTTACGTACTGTCCTCCTTACAAACGCTTCGGGTAACAAGCTCTGCTAACCCGGAAGTAGGTCTCCTGGTAGCAAACTTTGCCCCAGGATGCGAGCAGAAGTCGCGCACTGGTGGCGTGGTGGCAGCGGGAGGCCCCATTAGCAAAAGTGCGCCTCAGGTTAAGAACGGACCTCTGGAACGAATTAAGTTCGTAACCAGAGGTACCACTCTAGAGGGAAGGTACAGCTGTGACCTGAAGCTTCTGCCTCCTTTCCTTGTCCTGGGTGTCAGAAGCTACATAGGCAGTTTCCTGTTCCAATGAGTTTTAATCAGATGAATCTTCACTTACTTTTTTTTTCCCCTCTGCAGGGAGCCTTACCCCAGTCAAACAGCTCTGCTGAGCAGAACCTTCCAGGTAATTTGTTCCCTTACTCTATGTCTGTATGGTGTCTTCTTTCCTCAGCTCAGCTGAAGCAGATGCTATTCCTGGGCCCCCTGGGATGAGGTAGTAGATTGTATAGTTTTAGGGTCACACCCGGTCTTGGAGATAACTATACAATCTACTGTCTTTCCTATGAGGACTCGCAATTCGCCGTGCCAGCATTGAAGAAGAGAGAAGCCACTGAGAAACCACGCCTAGCTCAGGAGGAAAGAACATGGGCTCAAGAATGAAATTTGGAATCAAAGCCCCTGAGTTCCTTGGTTCCATCCCTAGATGTGGAAAGAAATTTGGGGATGGGGGTTAATAGTGGGATAGTGTGTCATTAGATCTTGTAGGCAGGATTCCCTGGATCTTGCTGTGGCTTGGGGAGTGGATCGTCTGCATGAGTGTTCTCCTCAGATCTGTGTGAAAGGATTTTGCAGGATTTTAAAAAAACTGGCTGTTCAGATGGGGGAAGAACCAGTTGCCTGACGCTGAGGCTTTGTGACGTTGCTCTTGCTGGGGTGAGGTAGTAAGTTGTATTGTTGTGGGGTAGGGATTTGTGCCCCAAATCAGAGATAACTATACAACTTACTACTTTCCCTGGGAGGAGTGAAGTACCCAGGACCGAGGTGGGTGTTTGATGTGCCCAGCTTTTGAACTAACCTTGAGGGCGCAGGGTGAAGCCAATTCCCTGCTTGAAATCCTGCTGCTGCTCAGTGGTCTGGGTTTTAAGACAGCCTCCCTCCCTCTCTTGGCTCCCAGATGGTGCTGCCCATCCTGATGGCTATCCTGCAGTCCCAGCTGCAGCTGAAGACGCCTCTGCTGGCCCCAAGCAGACTCTGGTCACGCTGGAGAGCCCCCAACAGCAACAGCAGCAGGTGACAGGGGCAGGCGAGCTTCCTTCAGAGCTGGCGGGGCAGTCCAATGCCCAGGGTTCTGGGCAGTTGCTGATGCCGGTGGAACAGGAGGACTCAGGCCCTGGGAGGCCAAGCACTGATGCTGAGGCCACACAGATGGAGCTTTCACCTGCTCCCACCATCAGTAAGTGGCCCCAGGCTTCACCCTGCAGCAGATGTTACCCCCTTTCTGGCTGTGTGTCACTTGTACGTGCATAAACATACCCTGATTCCTACCATCTTCCACATGTTCAGGAGAAGGCAGCAATAGTTTTAAAGTGCATATATTTTCATCAGCCACCTAGCTACTCAGCGGCCCGGAGCATCATAACTAGACACTGGAGAGAACATGAACCAGTGGTACCAAACCATATGGGAAACAGCCCATAGAGAAGCTAGCCAACAGACTGAAACTGACAGAGGGGCAAATAAAAGAGGACACCTTCACCCCAGTGTGGCTCCCCTTTATTACATACACAGCCCAACAAGACAAGAACCCACCAGCAGCATATAAATCAATATGGCTAACTTGACCCTAACAACAACTCCCCGTTATACACGCAAACAAAACTCACTGCAGCCAACTGAAGGCAACCAACCATGCCCTGCCCCCAACCTCCCTCACCACCAATTAAAACTAATAAATGAATAGAAAGAGAACCTGGCCATGTGACGCTGACACAAAAACCTTGCATGTATGCTCTCCCCACTTCTCTTCTCCCCCAGCCTTATACTGTCTATAACATAAGTGTCTCACATTGAGTATAACCTGTAGAAAAGGTCTTATGAACGGAAAGCAGAAATGCTGTATGTACTTTTGTAACCCAAGAAAATCTTTAATAAAAACAATTTTTAAAAAGTGCATATACTTGCATATTAACTAAAATTTGCAAAGTGAAACTAAAAGCCTACTCACCCACCTAATGATTTGATCCTAGCTTTCAAAATTTGGCTGGATGTTTGTTTGTTTGTTTGTTTGTTTGTTTGTTAAGTAGCTTTTTATTGAGGTTTAAGCTCACGTTTTGAATCTCTCATTTTTAAAAATAAAAATGCTGTGCTGGATCAGACCTATCAATTCAGCTCAGTATTCTGCCTTGACAGTCTTCACAGGCAATTTCTGAAGCCTGTTACTCTATAGTAGGTGGTAGTGAAGGGTATATCACAGCCAAAACAAGAAGTTTCCTTGCTGAATTGGAACCAGAGCCCTGTCATAATAGGCAGCAGAATTTGAATCCAGTGTATCAGGTTTTCAGGCAGTGCTTCTATCAATGCTTCTTAGGAAGGGTGTCTAAAAGCCAGGAGGTCAATGGGTAGGTTTCTGTCCTTTCCATGTTCTGGGCTGAATCTGATGATAAGAATTCAGGTTTGACAGACGTTTGTCAGACTTATCTCTCAGTCCTTTCTTTCCTTTCCCACCAGCTTCGCTTTCTCCAGAGAGAGCTGAAGACTCTGATGCCTTGACAGCAGTCAGCAGCCAGCTGGAGGGCTCACCCATGGATACCAGCAGCCTGGCCTCTTGCAACCTCGAAGAAGGAGTTGGAGAGGCTGGTGGCCCTAGCAATGTGGACCAGGCAGGGGGAGCCACTGTTGTAGCAACGGCAGACACCGCCCAGCAGGGCTCCAATGCACAGGCCCTCAGGGAGGGCCAGTCAGATCCCAGCCAGCAGGTGGATGATGGGTAAGGAGCAGCGATGAGGTGCAAGGGGGTGATATGCCAATTTTATCATTAGCACCGCACTTGCTAATACTGTCACTTCCTGCTCTTCAGCTCCCCACCTGCCTCATCCTCTGAGAGCTCCTCCACCAGAGATTCGGCGGTGGCCATTTCCGGTGCTGATTCTCGGGGCATCTTGGAAGAACCTCTTCCTTCTACCAGCAGTGAGGAAGAAGACCCCTTGGCAGGTAAATACTAGAAGAGGACATAAAAAGAGGGAGCTGTACTAAGTCAATGCCATTTTTCTTAGTAGGGATAGCAGCTACCTCTAACATGCTTTTTCATAGGGATAAATCTTCCGGAAGGTGTAGACCCATCTTTTCTGGCCGCTCTGCCTGATGACATCCGGCGTGAAGTGCTACAGAACCAGTTGGGTATCCGGCCTCCTGCTCGTACTGTCCCGACTACCACAACTGCTGCTACCCCAGCACCGCCCGTGGTGGGAAACCCTAGTGTGACAGAAGTCAGTCCAGAGTTCCTGGCTGCACTGCCTCCAGCAATCCAAGAGGAGGTAAGGTGGCACTTTTAAATATTATGGGGTAATACACAGTTTAGGAACAAGTATAATAGAACTATGAAATCTGAAGGAAACTCATGTAGCCTGTGGCCCTGCACTGTACAAAACAAAACTTTCTGAATTTAGGATTCCTGACCTTAATTTAAAAAAAAAAATAGAATTTTTCCCTTGCTTGAATTGTATTGTTTAAAACATGTAACATACAAACAAAACACAAAAAGGGAAGACAAAATAGGAAAGTAGGTGTAAATACAAATCTACTGGACTGCCAACTACAAGTCACAAGAAAATCTGGGCAGTTGCATTTATCTTCTTTGTGCTTAAGTTATAAATTGCATAAGGACAAGGTATGCAAGTTATTTGTGTGGATGTGTTTGGCTCACCTTATTGCATGCATGATCCATAGTTCATTGCCTTGTGGTAAATTCCACAAAAGGGGGATGTAATTCAGTGAAATATGTATTTCTTTGAAATATAGTGAAATTTCCAGAACTAAATTAACAATGACCAAGACTTCACACCCTAAAAGGGGCTTCCAGCTGTGGAGTTCCACCCATCATGTGGTCACAGAACCCAGTTTCTGTCCCACATCCCCGTCACCTCGGAAAGAGAGATAACAATTTGTGGTTGAAGGAGGAGAGTCATTTTAGAGAGATTGGTTGGGTCTTTTATTTTTGCTCTGTTCTTGCTTAACAGTAGAAGTTGTTTTTATCTTTCCCCCTCCCATCTCAGGTGCTGGCACAACAACGGGCAGAGCAGCAGCGTCGGGAGCTGGCCCAGAGCACAAGCTCAGACACTCCCATGGACCCTGTGACTTTCATTCAGACGTTGCCATCAGACCTGCGGCGCAGTGTGCTGGAGGATATGGAGGACAGTGTTTTGGCAGTCATGCCTCCTGACATTGCTGCTGAAGCACAGGCTCTGCGGCGTGAACAAGAAGCGCGCCAGCGCCAGCTCATGCACGAGCGTCTCTTTGGCCACTCCAGCACCTCTGCTTTGTCTGCCATTTTGCGTAGCCCAGGTAAAGTGCATCTGTTTCTGACATACTACTGTTTTTAGTTCTCTATGTCTCGACTCCTGATCTGATTGCTTTGCTTATTTTCTTTCCCCTAACTCAGCCTTCACAAGCCGACTGAGTGGAAACAGAGGTGTCCAGTATACACGTTTGGCTGTACAAAGAGGAGGAACCTTCCAGATGGGTGGTAGCAGCAGCCACAGCAGGTACAAGATCAGTGTTCAAAATTCCCATAGTTCTAGGCACATTTTGCACAGGGAATTTCATTAGCGCGAGCAGTTTCTGAGCTCTGGGCGCAGTACCGCACCTGAGATTTCAGATTAAAACTGCAGAGTGGAAAGAAAGGAGGACTTTTTCTGCCTCCTCACTTCCAACTATTCTCTGAAGACTGGAGAAGAGACCCTCTTAAGAATATATGGGGGGGCAGGGTAAGGACTAGACCATGTGAAAAATGAACATAGTATTTTAGCTGCAGTTCATTCATTTTCAGCCTTGTATTCTTGTTATTTAAATAAGTGTGCCTAGACATTCTGTTGTTGCACCCATAAGCTAAGTTTAAGGTGCCATTTAGCTCCTAGCTTTCATATCTCAGTTTCTAACACTGTACTAGACGTATGGGGGAAGGTAGTGCAGTTTCTTTGGAGGGAATAAGCTGAGGGTTAGGATTCCTAGGGAAAAACCAATGTAACTTATTAGTTAAGTTGGGTATGCTTGGGGAAACTAGAAATATAAAAACTTTCCCAAATTGTATAGTACCTAAGGTTAACCTTAAAGTCTGGAAACCAGGGGTATTATCTTGCTTCTTCCAATTATTAATCCTTCCCAATAACCCCTAGTTCTTGCAGGGCTGCCATGGATTCCTTTGGGAGGAAGGGTGGAAAAATGTTTAATAAATAATACTTGGGTTGAAAAAAAACACTCCCTGCCCCATTATGTAAGCTGAAAGATGGGCTCGGTGATCACTGCATCAGTTTAGGGAACAACTTGAAAGCAAGTGGGCAGAGTTGCGAGGCCAGTAGGATGTGCTGGTTTACAGGAACCAGCTGCAAGGCATGTCATGGTAAAAACTGTCTACCCTCACTTAGATGAGACACTGCTAGGGGAGAGCTGTTCACCTTGGATGCTGTAAAGAACTCTGCTATGCTTTCAGAGTCCATTGTAGACTGTGCTGATATTTGTCTTGTTGTTTCCTAGGCCATCAGGCAGCAATGTGGACAGCCTGCTCCGCCTGCGTGGACGCCTTCTGTTGGACCATGAGGCCTTGTCCTGCCTGCTGGTGCTGCTTTTTGTGGATGAGCCAAAGCTGAACACCAGCCGGCTACATCGGGTGCTGCGGAACCTTTGCTACCATGCACAGACACGCAGCTGGGTGATTCGGAGCCTGCTCTCTATCCTCCAGCGCAGCAGTGAGAGTGAACTGTGTGTAGAGACACCTAAGGGGACTGCTGCACCAGATGACAAAGGCAAAAGAGCAGCCAAGGCCTGTGCCCCTGACAGCCGGCCACTCGACCTTCTGCACAAGATGGAATCCAAAAGCTCAGGGCAGCTTTCTTGGCTCTCCGTCTCTATGGATGCTGCTTTGGGTTGCCGAACCAACATATTCCAGATCCAGCGAGCAGGAGGGCGTAAGCACACGGAGAAGCATGCTGCTGCCGGTTCCACTGTTCATATTCACCCCCAGGCTGCTCCTGTGGTCTGCCGCCATGTACTTGACACGCTCATCCAACTTGCCAAGGTGAAGACAAGGGCTGTCTAGAGTGGTGCTCTTTTTTATGCGATGGGCGTTCTGTCATTCTGATGAAAGTCTGGAACTTCTTGGTCTGCATAGCTTAAGAGAAAAAGTTAAGGATTTAGATTACAAGGAGGTAGCTCTCTAGACTAAGTATTAGGGTGAGTTCCAAACTGAGAGCAAGCAGGCAGTTAAGCTCCCTGTAATTGTTGTTGTTATTTAGTAGATTTAGATCCTGTTTTTCCATCATCATGTTCAAGGTGGCTAACAAAATTACCATTGCATAAAAACGCCTAAAACAAATAAGTGCAAATTTGCTGCAAAAGGTGTAGGGGTCATCATTTAAAAAATGGGAGAGCAGTTATTTTAGTATTTCTAGGCTGCATTTCTACCCACAAACCTTCAGAACAGCTAACAAAAGTTTTTTACAAGTTTTGAAATTGGTTCCTCTCTCCACTGCAGTTGCCGCCAGTTAATCAGCTGGTCTCTTTCTGTGCAGGGATTAAGGAAAATAATGGGCAGGCATTCGTAGCATATTCTGTACCAGGAAACATCCAGTTGTGCTAAAAAGGAGCTAGACAAGTTAACTTCTTGGTTCCTTTGCTGTTCAGAATAAATAAGATTAGTAAATAATAGCCATGGAAACTTCTTCTTCATGGGCTAGTTTGCACATCATGCTAAACCATTATCAGTGAGACTTGCATGAGCAGAAAGGAACTGCTGTGAGCCTCTTGCTTATGTATTCCCCCATCTTCCTGCACAGCCAAGAAGAACAGCCTTTTCCTCCTAGTCTCTCTCTCTCTCTCTCCCTCTCTCCCTCTCTCCCTCTCTCCCTCTCTCCCTCTCTCCCTCTCTCCTTGTTGTGTCATCCACACCAGGGATTGCTTATCACAACCTCTGGTTGGTTTCAAAACAAGCTGTTTTGCTTGAACTAACCAGCATTTGGGACAAACAGTAGTCCCTGGTCTGGATGCCCTGACAAGCCAAGATTTAGGGAAACTGGTGTGAGGGTAAGAACTGCTGGTCCTCCTGATAGTGGAGGAAAGAAAGACAGGGAAGCACGTGAGCCCACGGCTTGCAGCATCTCCCTGCTCATGTGTGACTTGCTAAATCATGTGAACACAGCATGGGCCCTACTTTTGTTAGCATGAAGCATCCTGAAAACCTGTGAATTTAAAAGTGCAAGTTTTTTTTAAATCATAATAATAATAATTACATTTTTTTTAATTTAAAACAATTTAGTATCTTGTCAACAAATGATTCCAGAGCAGTTTTTAATAACTTTTCCAATTCTTCTGTGATGATGGTTATTCAGGAGTGGGTTTCTCCTTACACCTGCCTCAGGGGCACTGCTAATGTAACTAAATTTTGTGCTTGGTCCCTCCCCACTTCTAGTCCTGCCAGTTTCAGGGTAGCAGAACTTTGTCAGAGCTCCACCTCTTATTGTTTTTCATTGTGATGATATGGTGGGATCAGCATTTGTAAATCTGGGAAGTTTTTCTGACCCATGGAACAGGGAAGATGCTTCTGATTATCTGCTGTATGTCCCATGAAGCAAAGGACCAGAACTGGTGACAAGGAGGAGCATAGCTCTCAATTTAGGGGAGCAGCTTGTTTCCCAGGGAAGGTTCATCCTCCTTTGGTGGGCAGAGGGGCCAACACCTCCTATCTGAAGACTTAATACCTTGTTACTATCTTATTAGCTCTGAATATGCTCTTTAATATAGCTGTTAATAGTTATGTCTTGCAGCAACCCTGGGGAATAAGTAATTACTTGGGTCCTAAGGTTATGTGCATGAGTTGCCCCAAACCATCCAGTGAGTCCCTCGCTTGTACCTGGAGTAAGGGCAAACATACATGGGGAGAGAAGTGAACTTGGTGCTCTGTAGATTGTTGCCACTCAGCCAAATGCTGACTGGGAACCTGAGGAGTCTGGCACACACGTGCTGCTCTGCATGGTCCCCTTTCTCACTCTGCTAATTTGAAGGAAGCTATAGAGATTCCAAATACTGGCTTTGGCGAAAAACTGTTGTTGGAGGCTTGTGTTAATGCTGCTTCAAAGGCATAGTTGTACTATTTATGGACCACAAGGTAGATATTCCATGTGGGACACCTTCCAATTACAGAGTGGAGACTGTCTTCCTGGAGCAAGGCTCTAGGGGTCGTTGCTCTGTGATTTAAGCTTATTCTCCCAGGACATAACTGCTGCTGAACAATTTGTTCTTTGCTGCGACTGGCAGTGCTGTATATATCTATGTACTCTAGGCATTTTCTAGAGAGCATCTACTTGGAACTGTTCAGGTTTATCTAGAGCCAGGTGTGCCAGTAGACTTGGAAGGTGAGGGGTGTGTGGTTGGGTTTTTTTAGGGATGCTGGTTGGAGAGGGTGCTGTTGTTGAACCTTGATTCGGTGGGCAGAGTAATAAATAATCCTATAGAACTGGAAGCCACATTTTTCAATGAGGAATTCCAGAACATGATTTGACTTGCTTCTCTCCTCCGTGCCCCCTTCCAGGTGTTCCCCAGCCACTTCACACAGCAGCGGACCAAAGAGACCACCTGTGAAAGTGAACGGGAGAGGGGCACCAAGCAATCGGGCAGCCCATGCCCAGGTCAAATGGGCACCAGTGGCATCTCCACTGACTTCTGGGACTTGTTGGTCAAACTGGATAATATGAACGTAAGCCGCAAGGGCAAGAACTCCATCAAATCTGTGCCTGTGAGTGCTGGCTCTGAGGGAGAGAGCTCTCCCTACAGTCTAGAAGCCTCTCCTCTGGGTCAGCTCATGAACATGCTGTCCCATCCAGTGATCAGACGGAGCTCCCTGCTGACAGAGAAGCTGCTGCGCCTGCTGTCACTCATCTCCATTGCTCTGCCTGAGAACAAGACCACGGCTGAGGGGGTAGCCAACCATGCTGCTGCTGCTACTACTGCAACTACCACCCCAGCACCTGCTCCCGCCCCTGCCCTGGCTGCTGCCGCCGCTGTAGCTGCTGCAGCTGCCGCCGCAACTGCTGCTTCTATCGCCACCTCTGGTGCTGCCGTGGTAACTGTGACATCTGCTCTCCCCACCACTGTGTCCAGTAAGTATTCTATTGATTGGGGTTTTTTGTGGGGAGGGGTGCTCGGAGACGAGAAGAGGAAAGGATACTTTTCTTCTCCTTGTTCCACATTCCATTTTCTTTCTTCATTTGAGTTGTGGAGCAGGACATGTCTAAAGAGAAAAATATATGTAAATTTCTACATCCAGGCAATCCAGACTCTGTGACCTGTACAGTCATACCTGGGTTTTCAAACAACTTAGTTCTCAGACATTTTGGCTCCCAGACGCTGCAAACCTGGAAGTGATTTTTCAGGTTTTTGAACTATTTTTGGAAGCTGAATGTCCAACGGGGCTTCCAGTTGGCTTCAGGAGCTTCCTGCAGCCAATCAGAAGCTACTCTTTGGTTTCTGAAAGTTTTGGAAGTTGAATGGACTTCTGAAATGGATTCCGTTCGACTTCCAAGGTACGACTGTATGTGTATTTGCATTAATTTAATTTATTTTTCATAATTCTGTGTTTTGGTGGCCATGGAGATGAGAAGGGAGCTATGAAGGACCCCAAATATTTATCTCAGTTGCTAGAAATCTTATTTAGCCACCTTTTAAGACTTCAGTAGGTATTGCTGCACACACTTTCAAGCCATCATTGCAGCCCTGAGGAAAATATTTTTGAAACAAAATAGAGAGCTGGGATTCTCAACAAGGCAAGCTCTTAATATCACACACTGTTAAATCTGTGCTGTCGCTGAATTCATAGAATTATAGAGTTGGAAGGGATCCCAAGGGTCATCTACTCCAAGCCCCTGCAATTTAGGAATATTAATTAGATCATATATGACAGGTGACCATCCAGTCTCTGCTTAAAAACCTCCAAGGAAAGAGTCCACCACCTCCTATGGGAGTCTGTTCCACTCTGTGCCAAACAGCTTTTACTGTCAGAACGTTCTTCCTGATGTTTAGTCAGAATCTCCTTTCTTGTAACTTGAATCCTCGGGTTTTGGTCCTACCCTCCAGAGTAGGAGAAAACGAGCTTGCTCCAGTTTCCATTTACAAGTGTGCACATCCCTTACATACAATGCTGGTGCTCCTCTCTTCCTGACTGATCTGTTCCTTTTGAGCAGGTTGTACCCCTCAATTTCTACATTAAAATTATGAGCCTCATCCCACCAGGTTTCAGTAATGTCTATTAGATTATAGTTGCCATTCTGTATTAAGAGCTCAAGTTCTTGCTTGTTTCCCATATTCTGTGCATTTGTGTAGAGACAACTGAAAGCATGAGTCATTCTTCTGCACACTGCTGCCGCTGTCCGCATCTGTAGGGCATCACCTGCCACCACTACATGTCTCTTCCTTCTCTGGAGACAGGCAGGAATGGTTCTGTACATTGTAGCTTCCACTGCCACCTTGGTATTTGCAAACTTATCACATATATGAACACAGCCCTGATCAAGGAGGATATTGCCTACTTATAGAAGCCTGATAGAGAGAGGGTGTCTCTGTGACTTCTGTGTAGGGATGGAGGTAGATGGTAGGCAAGTGCTCAAAGGAGACCCAGACTTCAAAAAATAGCTGGTGGTTTGCTTGGTCATTCTCTCACTGGTTAATTGTCAAATCCCAAGTTGGTTCTAGCTTGTATCTTGTCGTTCTCTGCAGCTATCCCAAAAAACAGCAAATCGCCAGCCAAGGTAGGCGAAGTGGGAGGTGGAGGTGGAACTGACAGCAAAATGGCTGCCTCAGGCCTAACGGAGAACCAGCTACAGCTGTCTGTGGAGGTGAGTGTGGTGGGTGTGGCCAACACACAATATGGGGAGGGGAGAGGAAGGGATTAACATTTTGAGCTGTCAGCGGCACAGTGACTTTCTCATCTTCCATTCCAGGTGCTGACATCTCACTCCTGCTCTGAAGAAGGCTTGGAAGATGCTGCCAACGTTCTTTTGCAACTGTCACGGGGTGACTCAGCCACACGTGACACTGTGCTCAAGCTTCTGCTTAATGGGGCCCGGCAACTAGGCTACACTCTTTGCAAGCAGATAGGTAAGGAGAGATGAGACTGGAGAAGTGCCAGTTTGAGGAGCTGGCTTGGTTAATGGTCCTGCCCTGCCTCAGTCACTGAGTACCACAGTGAACAGTCAGAAATGTGAAGCTAGGAATATTAGCCAGTAGCTCATAGAAACAATGGGCTTCAGTGCTCTTCTCATGTACCAGTGTGATAGTCTGGGGATTTACATGTCCAAGCACAGGTAACATTTAAATGCACACCTCCTCACAGAGGATAGTAACCCATAAGACTGTTTTCCTTGCTGTCACATTTGAATGAGCTACAGTCTCTTTTGGAACTGTCTCTGCTAGAAAGAGTCACACCATAGCATAAGAGAACTGCTCCTGGTGGTAGGGCAGGGTGATTAAACCAAATACGGGATTTCAGTCAGTTCTGAACAAGGTAGCAAGCATGGCCGGGGAATCCCCCTTGTGCTAAGTAGAAGCCCTTGAACTGACTTCCACTAGCGCACCAGATAAGTTGAATCTGGGCCCTAAATTGTACTCTTACATGACCACCCATGTTGATCCAGAATATAGCAGCTGTAGGGTGCTCACAGGAACACAATTATGTAAGCATGTTACCTATTTTAGAACAATTGCACTGGTTACCAGTAAGTTCGTGGGTGCAATTCAAAATGCCAACCAACCTGGCATCAGGCCCTAAATGGCTCACATCCAAGACCATTCATACCATCTACGATCTTTCCTCTGTGTCTCAGTGTGGGCTTATTCTAGGTTGGCTGGGATGTGTGAGAGCCCAGTAGCAGAATGCTCTCTCACTGGGACATTCAACTGGCCCTTTTAGTTTCTACTTCCTAGTGAACACAATTCCTTTTAGGCAGGGATTTTTTATTGCCTCGGGTTTTATGCTGACTGTTTTAAATTGTGGATGCGTAATCTTTGTTTTCTGGATTTTAATGGTTTTACCATCGTGTTTTGATATTGTTTGTCATGTTGGGTATAGTTTTATAGTGGAGAGGTGGGATCGATTTTCTTAAATAGGACTCACTAATTCTCTACTCTCCCTTTCCAGGTACTCTCTTGGCGGAGCTGCGAGAATACAACTTGGAGCAGCAACGTCGAGCCCAGTGTGAGTCCCTGTCACCAGACGGGCTCCCTGAAGAACAGCCTCAGACCACCAAATTGAAAGGCAAGATGCAGAGCAGGTGAGTCTCCTTCAAGTTGGCCTTTCTCTTTGTCTTTTGAGTGGCCTTCTCTGACTTTCTTCCCCACCTTCTTCCTCAATTGTTAGGTTTGACATTGCTGAGAACGTGGTGATTGTGGCATCACAGAAGCGCCCTCTGGGTGGTCGCGAGCTCCAGCTACCCTCAATGTCCATGCTGACTTCTAAGACCTCCACACAGAAGTTTTTCCTAAGGGTGTTGCAGGTCATCATCCAACTACGGGATGACACACGCCGTGCCAACAAAAAGGCAAAACAGACAGGCAGGCTAGGTATGTTAGGCAGGAGAGCAAGCTCTGTCTGCACAAGGCCTGTTTGTAGATGCTAGAGCATGGGTGGGAGATCTCCTGATACTGGTTCAGACCAGTCATACTTTACCTACAGAAGACCTGAGAGGCCCATAGGCCACTGCAGTTTTTTGGGGTCGGTTCAAAGCTTGAGTAGGGAGTTAAATCTTACAGGCTCAGCTGTAGGAACCAACCCTCATTCTTCTTTTTCTCTCCCCCTCTTTTTGCAGGTACTTCCGGTCTGGGCTCAGTTAGCAGCATCCAGGCCGCTGTTCGGCAGCTGGAGGCTGAGGCTGACGCCATTATACAAATGGTACGTGAGGGTCAGAGGGCCCGGAGGCAGCAGCAAGCAACAACGGTTAGCATGGTGCCTGTGGCGCTTGTAGGCCACTCATTTTGTTTATTTGAACTACCCTTTTTCATTATTTTACATTCCTTTCTCCATCTTTTCTCCTCCCTTTTTATGCCAACTGGTTTGTCATCAGAGGAGCCTCTTTGTCCAGGGAAGGAAGAAGCTTCAGCTCCTTGCTGCTGTTGGCTCTTGATCCTAAAAAGCTGTTCTTCAGAGCAGGCTGAGGAAGAGCTTGTGAGGACAGTTTGTGATTTGGATTCTGGGTTCTGTGCAGTGTTTTTTTTTTTCTTCTAAAAAGATGTTTAGGGGTACTTTCATTTTGACTCAAGAAAATCACCATTTTATAGTTCAAATCGGGGGAAATAAATACAGTAAATGGACAAAAGTACAAAGATTCACAAAATGTTTAGGGGGTATGCGTACCCCTGCGTACCCCCCCAGAAAAAAGCACTGGTTCTATGTATTGGGTAGAGGGATGAGAAAACAGCTGGTTTCAGCTGAAGTGTAAGAAATGCTGAAGACAAAAGAAGTCTTCCTTCTTTGTACCTGGCTTATGCATACTCCTTGGCTGTTCTCCCAACAACCTCAATATATACCTCCATGGGCTCTGGTGGTGGTTACCTTTTATGAAGTTGCTTATTGATATGAAAAATCTGAGTTGGATATTTGCATAGTATCTTTTAACAAATTGTGGTCTTCGGACTTTTCACTCCTGCGTACACCCCTTTGTTTTCTATTATTTTAGTTACTCTTCCAACACTTTAAAAATGTGTTTAGCTTCTGTATGTCTTGGACACTTCTATGCCAAATAGCTCTAACCTTATTTGCTTCCTCTTCATACGATTTTGGGTTATCTGCTGAAGGCAGGTTGAATGGGGGACGGGGTTTGTGGTAGGAGACAGTGAGCTGGGTGAAGAATCCTCTGCAGCTTCAAGATGCCTTCCCCATTTTGAAAGGCCATCCACTTCCATGGTGGATACATCACTAACTGCTGCTTATGTATTGAGAACTGAGCTTGGGATGGGGAATTCCTTTATGCATCTCCCCTTCCTTACTAATGGAAAGCCAAGGCCTGACTAGGAATAAATGGAAGGCTCTGCAGTTGTGTAAGCAGGGTAGGGATTGTTTTTCTGGTTTCAGCTGCCTTTTTCATACACTGTTTGGCTAGGATTGTTGGTTGAAAAGCTGGGTGTTAAAAGCTGAGAGCAAGCTAGCCATCTCTACAGTGGCAGATATTTAGCATTGGTGATCCACCCTGGATTCTTCAGGTGAAAAGCAAAATACTGCCTGTAAGAAATAACCTTCCATTGCCTACAGACCAAATCAGTTTTGTGAAGTTTAGCATTCTGATTGCTTAAGTTGTTGGAATTTTGACATTTTAAAAGGTGGGCATTGTGGCGGCGGCAAGTAATATTAGTGAAGTAAAAGACAAGTGGTCAGGGGACACTCTGCTGTGGTCTCAGCCGTTGACACTTGCTTAGTGCTTCAGATGTTCTGTGATTAATAGTAAATCTTTTGGATTTCTGTGGAAGTTTCAAAAAGCACAAACAACAAGGGAGCTAACCCAAAGCTGTACAAGTTGTGGACTGAACATGTGATCCATAGTTCTGGTCTGCCTTCCTCTACCCTTCAGCCTTATTCTCTTCTCCTGGCTCAAAGCCACTCAAATTGGAAAGCCAACTTGACATGGCTGTGAGTGAGCTGACACGCATGGTAGCTCTAAGAGCTCACTTCCACTTGTTAGATCCAGCATGTATTCAGGGTACTTCCACTGTCCGTGTGGCCCCGGGGCAGGACCAGCACAGCAACCACACAGCATGGCTTGAAGCCCAAATTCTTAGGGCCTGTACGCACGTTACTTTCCTATGAGAAGTAGCTGAGCAATAAAAAGTAATTGCTGCATTTACTTCTGGGTTGCAGTAGGTAGAGAGAATGCATTAGAGGTCAGCAAGAACCAAGCTTGTTTGCAAGCACAAGTGACACAACTGAATCACATTGGTGTACTTTTCAATCACAACTATTGTGGAGTGGATGTGACAATACAGTAATGTGTGTACAATCCTTGAGCCTACCTCTCTCCAGATTGTTGCATCTTAGAGGCCCCAGTCCTGTCCAGTTTCTGTAGAGAGATGTGGGCTGCCTTTGCCCCTGGCATGTGGGCCTTGTTAAATATGAGGTTATCCCTGCAGGAAGGTCCCTGATGACAACTTTCCTCTTCTCTCCACACCTGTTCTTTGCTTTCCAAGAACTTTCCCCACTCTGGTGCATGCACTTCACCATTGCTCCTGGCTGTAAGTGCTCCACCTCCAGATTCACGCATGTCATGCTTTCTGCTAGCTTTTTTCCCCTGCTCCCCTATTTCTCCTGTAGCTGTGTCATTCGACTCATTCCCTCTGCAGATTTTAGCTTGTGTATAACAGCATGTTTAACCTCTTTTGGTCTTTGTAAAGGATGGGGAAAGTGGTAGGGCCACCATGCACAGTTCTGTTGATGGTCCATTTTCTTCCCTGCCTTTTGGGAGTTACTGGGCTGACCTCCCAGCACCTATTTCCTAAGTGCTCTTGGGAAGCTTCAGCCCTCACTAATGTGTGCATCTCTTCTGTTCAGTCGGAGCCAAACCAGGCAGAGGGTTCTGTACGAAGAGACGAATCACCTATGGATGTGGATCAGCCCTCACCCACCACACAAGACACCCAATCAGTTGGTTAGTATCTGCTTTTTGCAGTTGAGGGGTGGCTGTCTCTGAAGTAGAGAAGCTGTTTTACCTGCCGTAGGCCCTCCTTCTACAGGTCTGAAGGAGTTGCCTGTCCTGGAACTGGGAAGGCTAAAGTGTGAAGGACTGATCTCTTGTTCTTACAGTGTCAGAAGGGTCCCAGCAGGGTGAGAAGGAGAAAGAGGAGCGTCCTCCGGATCTGCCTCTGCTAAGTGAGCAACTCAGTCTGGATGAACTATGGGATATGCTGGGCGAGTGCCTGAAGGAGCTGGAAGAATCGCATGACCAACATGCTGTGCTTGGTAAGGTTCTGGGCTGTTGGAAGGTTGGTCTGCTTCAGGCCTCTCTGCCTCTTGGAACTTCACCTTCTGCTCTCTTCCCTACAGTGCTGCAGCCTGCAGTGGAGGCCTTCTTTTTGGTGCATGCTACAGAGCGGGAAAGCAAGCCCCCAGTGCGTGACACCCGGGAGAGCCAGCTGGCTCACATCAAGGACGAGCCCCCACCCCTTTCACCTGCCCCACTGACCCCTGCAACACCCTCCTCCCTTGACCCCTTTTTCTCCCGTGAACCTTCTTCCATGCACATTTCCTCCAGCCTTCCCCCAGACACACAGAAGTTCCTCCGCTTTGCAGGTTAGTTCAAACTGTGGCATGTCTGGCTGTGTCCAGGGTATTAAGACTAATTCTTTCATGAGGGCTTCAAGTGGGGGTTTCTCGGCTGTCTCTATCTCAGAAGGGCAGCTGGTTTGCTGAGGGAGGAGTGTGTGGATCAAGGTGTGACTAACTAGGGAATATACTTGTGGAGGAATTTCATTAATGGGTTTCTGCAGCATGCCTGGAAGAAACACCATAAGGAGCGTGCAGCCGAACCTTCACTTTTGTTCTCGTCTTGCAGAAACACACCGCACTGTGCTGAACCAGATCCTGCGCCAGTCCACCACCCATTTAGCTGACGGCCCCTTTGCTGTCCTCGTGGATTACATACGTGTGCTGGATTTTGATGTCAAACGGAAGTAGGTTTTAGGGTGGGGTGTTAGTATTCTGTTTCCTATTCATTTTAAATAATAATTAAAAAACAAGGAGATGCCAGAGATTGATTGTAAGCACGAGTGTGATGTCTCACTTTTGTTCTCTAGGGCAGATTGCTTGAGTGATATTCTAGGCTTGTGTGCTGACTTTTCTATTGGCTGTGATGCCCTCTAGGTTGGCTACCCAGACATTTCTCATTTCTTGGCATTGTTCAGCTCCTCCATTGGCAAAAAGATCAGTGTGGGGCAGGAGAAGTCGTGGTGCCTGGATGGGTGGTCTTATTCAGTTTGATATGCTTCTTCCCCTAGAATGAAGTATAGTCAAAAGTGTCTCTCAGCCTCAATTCTGAAGACACTTTGTAAGGGCTGGAGAGATGGCAAACCCACCCACTTTTCATCTACATCTGTAGAATATGTCATCTCTTTCATTGTTAGTGCTTTGCAACTGTAACTGTGAATTGGCTTCAGGGAGTTCCATAGTAATAGCCCTGGGGGCTGCCCAATGTGAGAGGTAATTGCTACATGCTTACTCTTCTTTCCAAGGTACTTCCGGCAAGAGTTGGAAAGACTTGATGAGGGGCTGCGGAAAGAAGACATGGCTGTGCATGTGCGTCGAGATCATGTCTTTGAAGACTCATACCGGGAGTTGCATCGCAAGTCGCCTGAGGAAATGAAAAACAGATTGTAAGCAACTTCTTCAGCTACTAGAACTTTTAGCGTGCTGTTGTAATCAGAGTCCTCTTATGTGCACTGTTTTCTTTCTTACCCTTGCTGAGGACCTTTGCCCACGTTTTGTCTAAATGTTGATTTTTCCTTATTTTGTAGATTGAACCTATAAACCAGACATTCAGTCCCTGCCAGCCTTTTTGTTCTAAATCCATCCTCCACTTCTGACGTTTCCTTATTATTATATCCTCTTCTGTTTTTCAGGTACATAGTATTTGAAGGGGAAGAGGGTCAGGATGCTGGAGGTCTCCTGCGCGAGTGGTACATGATCATCTCACGGGAGATGTTTAACCCCATGTATGCGCTCTTCCGCACATCGCCTGGCGATCGAGTCACCTACACCATCAATCCTTCCTCTCACTGTAACCCCAACCACCTGAGCTACTTCAAGTTTGTAGGGCGCATTGTGGCCAAAGCAGTATATGATAACCGGTTGCTGGAATGCTACTTCACCCGCTCCTTCTACAAGCATATCTTGGGCAAATCTGTCAGGTGAGTAGTGCCTTTGCTTTTAGGGTTTTTGTTGAACTAGTCCATCTAAAATGCTTTCCTATCTTTCCCAAAACATGTTCCTAACCCAGCCAGCTTCCTTCAACCATACAGGTACACAGATATGGAGAGTGAGGATTACCACTTCTACCAGGGACTGGTGTATCTTCTGGAAAACGATGTCTCCACACTGGGCTATGACCTCACCTTCAGCACAGAGGTAAGCTGTCCCCTTCTCATGGAAGTATTTTGGGGCAAATCTTTTGGAAGTTGAAGGATATTGAAGCTAAAGAGACAAAGGGCTATCACATAGAACGGGCAACCATTCAATTTGGACAATTTTGAAGATGATGGATAAAAATCAAGAAGGTGGTAGAATTCCTCACCCAGAAGTTGTACAAATCCCTCCATGTGTAATAATAGGTGAAGATGACTATATATTTGCAGGGATTTTCTAGCAGTGGATACAGCTCTTTCCTTTTGAATTCAGATTTTTTTTGATCTTAAAAAATTAGAACTCTCTAAACAGTGTGAGAAACAATGAGGCTGTGGATATTGGCATTGATTATCAAGCACTGTAACAAGAATGGCATTCGGACACAGTGTTCCAGAATAGTAAGGATGTATTATCTGGTGATAACTGCCAGAGTCTTTCGTTGGCCCTGAATGATGGCTGCTGCTGTTCGGTTTTGGTTGTGTGTTTATATTTTACTATGCACAAGGGGTAAATCTGATTCTTGCAACTACATTATGGTGTTTTGTTAAGAGAAGCATCCATTGGGTTGTAATTTGAGGCTGAGGAGGAATTTGTGAAACTGAGAAAGGATTGAATCAAGGCCAGTATTGAGTCATTCTGACTTCTGGTCCTTGTCAGAAAGAGCAAGGCAAGCCTTCTCTTTTCCCAAGAGATGTTCTTGTTAATCCAGTTTCTACTTATTTAGTACACTTCTGTCTTTCCTCCTCCCCTACCCAAACAGGTTCAAGAGTTTGGTGTGTGTGAAGTACGTGACCTTAAGCCCAACGGAGCCAACATCCTTGTGACTGAGGAGAACAAGAAGGAATATGTACACCTGGTGTGTCAGATGCGAATGACAGGTGTGTTGGGGGAGTACACCTGAGAACAGTGAAAAGAACCTGATGATCTAAACCCATCTCTGCTGGAAGATGGGATCCCTCCACTTATTAACTTGCGTCTACCTTTTGAATTAACATTCCCTCCCTATCTCATAATTCATACTAAATTCTAAGCAAAGAACTAGTGTCATACCAGAGCTGTCCATGAGTTGCTGTTTCACCGGATCAATAGCAATAGCCTGAAGAAGGAAGCCAAACTGTGTTTTTTAAGGAAAAGTGTACAAACAACAGCAACAACAAAAACTTTAGTTGTCTAATTCGGTCTAAGGTCATTACGTAGACTCTGTACTTGAGGCAGATTCATCTACCAATCAGCTGTGAGAAGTTGTAAATTTTACATAAATGTGCACATTTCAGTGTTTAGATTTTATTCCCTCCTGAGCAATAGTTTCCCCTCTTCTTCGGCTACTTAGAACTTCCATTGCCTTCCCCACCCATTGATAATCCATATTCCCTTCTGGCAGGAGCAATCCGCAAGCAGCTGGCTGCCTTCTTGGAGGGCTTCTATGAGATTATCCCCAAGCGCCTCATCTCCATCTTCACGGAGCAGGAGCTGGAGCTGCTAATCTCGGGGCTGCCCACCATTGACATAGATGACCTGAAGTCCAACACAGAGTACCACAAGTACCAGGCAAACTCTATCCAGGTTAGCCTTTCCTTTTTAGCAGGTTGCCTTTCACCAACTCTCTCTTCTCCAGACTGGAAGTGTCAAGGCCTAATGGAGAGGAATCCTCTTGATTTTTCTTGGCATGATAACAATTAATTTCCTTAGTTGATTGAGCTCAATGAGACTTCAGGTAAATTTGTATAGTATCGCAGCCTTGATATGTTTGACTTGGAACTCTGTTTGCCACTAAGGTGGCTCTTCTCCTGTCGGGCATATATCATCGCTACCTCCTGCTTGGAAGGCAGGAAATGTGCGACCCCATCCCTTCTGCTATCCTCTCCCCCTATTGGCTCCTCTTTGTGTTGGTCCTTCTGGGCCCTTCACTTCTGGAGGCCTGCAAATTTCTCACGTTCTCAGAAATGCCAGCATCTCTGACCTGCTTTTGTCCTTCACAGATTCAGTGGTTCTGGCGAGCCCTGCGCTCCTTTGATCAGGCAGACAGAGCAAAGTTCCTGCAGTTCGTCACAGGCACATCCAAGGTGCCCTTGCAGGGGTTTGCTGCCCTAGAGGGCATGAACGGCATCCAGAAATTCCAGATCCACAGAGACGACCGCTCAACAGATAGACTGCCTTCTGCTCACACGTGGTAAGAGGCAAATGGATAAGCCCATTGTTAGTGTTCCATTATGCAGGAAAAAAAATTATGTGTGTCATATAATCACCCTAACTCCAAGAGGCCCTCCAAGCTTGTGTAAGTGCTAGAATTCACTGGTTATCATCTTGAGCCATAACACGTATACCATGATGCTGCTGAAGGTTTTTTCCTATGAATATCTGTAAGGTCCTAGCTATTTTACAGGAGCTTCCCTTCTACAGCAGTATCTGTTGCTCCTTTACCTAGAAACACAATTGGGGATTTTGTGAGCCGGGAGGGGAGAAAGGGAATGAGTGTGTTTCTGAAACAGAGGCTATCTATAACTTGAGTCATGAGTCAGTGATCAAGTCCTAAAGAAAGAGGTGCCAGAACTCCAGTTTTGTGCCTTGCAAATCCAAATCCCAGATGGAGTTGGATGGGGTGACAATTGTTTGGGATAGACATTCTGCACATGTGCAGAGGATTGTTCATCACTTCCAAGGACTGAATTTTGACCTTCAGAACAGGTTCTTAGGCTGTCCTATGGTTGAAATTAAATACTGCTAAGAATCAAATGTGAGCAGGCTGTAGATCTGTAGATTTTTGTCAGTAAAGTGATCACGGCCTACAGATTAAGATTTCTGGCCAGTTTGGGAAGGGTGGAGGTACTGTCTTTTGCTCTGGTTTTGAAAAAAGAAAGGCATTGACTTTGCAGTCAATCTGGTTGGCCCCACCCCCTTACACTGATGCTTTCTTCCTCCAGTTTCAACCAGCTGGACCTCCCTGCCTATGAGAGTTATGAGAAATTGCGTCACATGCTGCTACTGGCCATCCAGGAGTGCTCGGAGGGCTTTGGCCTGGCGTAAGGATGGCTCCAGCTGCCATATTTTTCTACTGTCAGACTTGGGGAGCAACAGGAGGGAGTGGAACTGAGCGATGCTGCTCCCCCTTTTCCAACCACCTGTGTGTGTGTGTGCGTGCCCTGCTGCCCCCTTACTGAAGAGAGCCAGAGACCCCCAGCCAATCAGCCGTCTTCGGAGGTGGGGCCGGGGTGCAACCCGGAGAGAAAAAGACAAATTATATATATAAATATATATATATTTTTTGGTTTAGTTTGCATTTCTTAATTTGTGCTTGGAATGTGTTGATGAGGCGGCGGGAGGGAGCGTTTGGATTCTTTTGTTGGTCTCTTTCCTTGGCACCCATTTGCTGCTGGAAGGGAACCTAAGGTTTAAAAAATTCCAAAAAAAGGAAAAAAAATTAAAAAAATAAAAGCGCACTCTTGATAAGAATGTACTGTGCTTGTGTGTTCATTTTGGTAAGAGTGGAGAGTCCACCTGGCTTTGGGAAGATCTTCTGGAGATGCAGAAGGAGTCAGGCCATTCTGAATGGTAACATACATGCTTTGCATACAAAATGTTCCAGGTTCAATCCCAGACATCTCCATGTACAGCTGGTTAACACTTGTGACTGAAATTCTAGCAAGACAAAGATTACTCAAGTAGGATGGGAAGTCTCTTGACAACATGCCCACCCCAAATAATGGTCCTCCATGTGGTTGTTTCCTGTCTGCATAGTGTTCTGGCAAGCTGGGGTAGATCTTGCTTCTAGCACCTATGACTGTAGTTCAGTGGTAGAGCATCTGCTTTCCATTCAGAAGGTCCCAGGTTCAGTCCCCAGCATCTCCAGGTAGGACTGGGAATGTCGTCAATCTCAATATCTGGAGAGCCTCTGCCAGTCAGTGTAGGCAATACTGAGTTAGATAGACTAATGGTCTGACTTGGTATAAGGCAGCTTCTTGTGCCAGTTTTCACCACTAATTTTATTTGCTGGAAACGGGGTGTGTATATTCAGCGTGAGAGAGAAGCAGCTCTCTTGATTTTGGCAGTTTCGGGAAGGCAGGGTGGCATCTCTAGTTATGTGTCAGAGGTAGCCAACAATGAATCACACAGAATATGTGAAGTTAACTCTTCATTAGAAGATACAAGGTCTGCTCAGGGGAGCCAGGCCTAATGAGCACAACAATTCTTGATAGGTATTGCCCCTTATGAAGGCTGAAGATCCGCACCTTCCCACAGCTGTCTAAATCTCGTCCTTTCCAAACAATCTGAGACTACGCCAACGCGCCTGTCTCTGCTCCTCTCCCTTCACCCCTCTTCTGGTCCTGGGCGACCAGGGGGATTGGTAGCTTGGAGCAGGCAGCGAGGAGACATCCTAGCTTCTTCACCAGCCTGTCTCATCTCTGCCTCTTGGACTCCCTCCTCTCCTGCTTCATCTTCTGATTCTGGACTTCTCTCTGACACAGACCCTCCCTGCTCACTAAACCGTTACCTTTTCAGCTTCTGACACCTCCTCCTTCCAGGCTTGGCACTCTGACCTCTGGGCTCTGAGCCTTCTTCCCTTGGGGGTTCCCCAGCCCGTGCCTCCAACCATTCCTCTGTGTCCAGCCAGCGCATGACATGCTTGTATTTTATGAGATCACTAGCCAGCATGCCATTTTGCATCCTGAGCAATCACACCTCACTTCCTTTAACCAGGTTTGTACCACACATCGCTTTGGCAAAAATAACTTGCGAGTTATGTCTGAAAAGGTAAGATGCTAAGAAACTGGCAATGCTTCTCATTTAACAGGTTGGGACTTGAGTGTCCAACACAAGCTCCCTGTCCTCCACCCCACAAGGCAATTTCCTGTCATCCTATTTCTATCCCTTCTGCCACATGAGTCCTTGCCAGAAATTCCTCTGTGAACTCAGTGAACAATCTCGGAAGACCAGAATAACTTCTGAATCATTTATTCTGGGCACTGAATCTCAAAGTGGAGTGTTTTGTTATTTCCGAATACCTAATATTAATACATATTGCATCACTACTTATTGTTTGTTGCTTTGGTAGAGGACTAAGACTCCCAGATTTTGAAATGGGTGGTCTGGTAGTAAGAGGGCAAAGGGGAATGGGGAGACTCTGGCTCTCCAGATCTTGTTGAGCTGCATCTCCCATCATCTGTGGCCATTGACCATGCTGGTCCCAACATCACCTAGAAGGTCACTAACCCCAGCACTCCACCTCGAGAAACATCACTTGGAGGCAGTTAATGAGCCAGCAGAATGCTGATGAAACCTCTTGAATGGTTTTCTTATGTGAGAGGCAATGGCTTCTTGCCCACTCCTCCTTTCTGTCCTCTGAAAGTCTCTTTAAAATCTCCATGTCTATTCCTTTCTGTACCCTACTGCTTCATTTAGGGCAAAATTGAATGACGCTACTACTTTTATGCTTGTGGTCAGCAGGGAGGAAACAAGTTTGTCCAGTTTCATGCGGGTGGCGCTGTGGGTTAAACCACAGAGCCTAGGGCTTGCCGATTAGAAGGTCAGCAGTTCGAATCCCTGTGACGGGGTGAGCTCCCGTTGCTCGGTCCCTGCTCCTGCCAACCTAGCAGTTCGAAAGCACGTCAAAGTGCAAGTTGATAAACAGGAACCGCTCTGGCGGGAAGGTAAATGGCATTTCCATGCTCTGCTCTGGTTTGCCAGAAGCAGCTTAGTCCTGCTGGCCACATGACCTGTAAGCTGTACGCCGGATCCCTCAGCCAATAAAGCAAGATGAGCGCCGCAACCTCAGAGTCGGCCACGACTGGACCTAATGGTCAGGGGTCCCATTACTACTTTCATGCTTGTGGTCAGGAGGGAGGAAACAAGTTTGTCCAGTTTCTGTCTCCCCAGCAATAACAGCTGGGCCTAATGTACAGATTTCTCCTAAGTAAGGTAAAACTATCATTCAGAGGAAAGGAAGATGAGCACTTTTTGGCAATCTGCTTGAATGTTTCAAAATGCAGTTACAGAGATCTGCACTGGAGAGGCAGCAGCCAATTTGCTGACTTTTTAACTAGTAGTGAAGCTACAGCTGGACTTAACAACATGATGCCTATATCCTTAGGTTTTGTGAGTGGCAAGGGAAATGCTCTTGTCCTCTGTCCCCTTTGCCATAAGTTGGCAATGGGGATTATTGTTTCCTCCTCAAAAAATGACACAAGAAAGCAAGTGGGAAGAGTGACTCTCCCACTTCCTCTTTTAGCTCTCTCTGCTTCTCAAGCCTCAGCTGAACAGAAAGTGGATTAAGGGGGGGGGTAGGAGGAAAAGGGAAGGGAAATGGCCTGACTGAGGAGAAGGCAGGGGCAAGATAGTGGTATGTCCTGAAAGGAGACAGAATAGAGCAGGCTTCCTCAACCTCGGCCCTCCAGATGTTTTTGGCCTACAACTCCCATGATCCCTAGCTAGCAGGACCAGTGGTCAGGGATGATGGGAATTGTAGTCTCAAAACATCTGGAGGGCTGAGGTTGAGGAAGCCTGGAATAGAGCAAGAATGAAGGATGAGTGGAGACAGAAAAAAAGAGGGAGTGGTGTCAGACTGAGTGAGAGGCAGAGGCAATGAAGAGCCAGAGAGAGAATTCATGTGCGTGCGCACACACACACACACACACACACACACACACCTGAGTCAGATGCAGAATCCTCTTGAAATTATTCACAGGTTACTCCTCCCCAACCCCCCCAAAACAGAACATGTCTATCTAAACTGACTGAACTGTAAAAAATAATGGATTCAATCCTTTACACCACTGACATGATACAAAAAATGGATGGTCATAGGCCCAAATAATATTTGCAAGATAGTCCCTCAAAGCCACCATTATGTGATTTATTGGGTTTTTTTTATCCTACATAAAAAATCATAAGGATCCATGCCTTGAATCAGAGTTTTTCTGTTGCTGGCTAGCAGAAGATTAGTGTGGTGGTGTTGTTCTACTGTGCAGTACACCAATGTAAGCTTTATTTCAGGATTCCATTTTAATCCTAGTGGGACGCAGGTGGCGCTGTGGTCTAAACCACTGAGCCTCTTGGGCTTGCTGATCAGAAGGTTGGCGGTTCAAATCCTCACAATGGGGTGAGCTCCCGTTGCTCTATCCCAGCTGCCAACCTAGCCAGTTCGAAAGCATACCAGTGCAAGCAGATAAATAGGTACTGCTGTGGCGGGAAGGAAAACGGCATTTCCGTGCACTCTGACTTCCATCACAGTGTCCCGTTGCGCCAGATGCAGCTTAGTTGTGCTGGCCGCATTACTAGGAAAAGCTGTCTGTGGACATACGCTGGCTCCCTCGGCCTGAAAGCGGAGATGAGTGACGCACCCCATAGTCAAATTGGACTGGACTTAACCGTCATGGGGTCCTTTACCTTTTTACATTTTAATCCTACTGGAAGCAACCTTTACCCAGATCCTGTGAGAACACACAGAACGTGCTCTTGCTCTTTCCATCTGCCAGGGGCAGGGGAAAGGAGCAACTGAAGAGGGGAATGATGCCCATGGCACACTCAAAATGCCAAATGGGCCCCAAACAGTTGGCAATCCTTGTGCCTCAGTATTGGCCATGATGTCTCTTTCCTGATTACTCTGAGGCTGTTTTGCTAGTTGGGGGCAGTGATCTTCCTAAGTCAGAGACAGCCATGGCAATACTCTTCCTGTTCAAGCAAAGGTAGTCAGATGCTACAGAGTACAACTCCCATTATCCCTGACCATTGTGGGTACAGTGGTACCTCTGGTTGCGAATGGGATCCGTTCCGGAGGCCCATTCTCAACCTGAAATGAACGCAACCTGCATCTGCACATGCGCGAGCGGCGAAATCCGGAAGTAACCCTTTCCGGTACTTCTGGGTCACCGCGGGATGCAACCTGAAAACGCGCAACCTGAAGCAAACATAACATGAGGTATGACTGTACTAGTGAGGGCTGGGCTTTAGCCCAGTTTTAGTGTAGGCTATCCATATGCCAAAGTCTTCACTGTTTATTTCTTGGACTTGACAATTGGAAGGTCGGCGGTTCAAGGCCCCGCGACGGGGTGAGCTCCCGTTGCTCTGTCCCAGCTCCTGCCAACCTAGCATTTTGAAAGCACACAGTGCAAGTAGATAAATAGGTACCGCTCCAGCAGGAAGGTAAACGGCGATTCCGTGCGCTGCTCTGGTTCACCAGAAGCGGCTTAGTCATGCCGGCCACATGACCTGGAAAAACTGCGGAAGTGGACAAATGCCAGCTCCCTCGGCCTGTAAAGCGAGATGAGCGCTGCAACCCCAGAGTCGTTCGCAACTGGACTTAACTGTCAAGGGTCCCTTTACCTTTAGTTTTGCTTCAGTTTTCCTTCCCATCATTCTTGAACAGTTTGCTCTTCCAATCTTCATATGATACTTTCTTTAGTCCAGATTCAGGTAGGCAGCCATGTTGGTCTGACTTTAGTCCAAATAACCTCATT